ATATCGTTATTCTGGTGGTATTTTATAAGTTGCACGAGTTCGCGATATACATAAATAACATACGAAATATACATAATTCCATTCAAGTTCCATTTTCTTATAGGAATTAATAATTGTGTGCGAATGATTGATCATTGGTATTAAGAGAGAGAGAGATTGCCATTTTGATAGAATACGGCTTAGTATGATTAAATATTCATACTTACATTTGATACATAGCAAAATGCCATTCCATCTGTTCTACATTAACCTGAAGAAAGACACCTTTTCCGATGGCTAATGAAAGGAAGGCGAAACAATGCGATGTTTTGTAAAAATTCTGCTTGCGTGTCTGGCGGAACGCCGTTCATCTAAAAACTTGAGACTGAGAGAAAAAAATCGATCAGTACCCAAACGATTACATTACTGTTTTAATCGTATCTCAAATGTGGGAGTGTGTCCATAGGTTTAAAGTTGCCGCCTCTTTGGAAATTATGGCGAATGAGAAAAACAAGATAATTAACAATTCCTTCAGGGGCACAAATTTATTGTGTATACTGAAATCTTACGTGACCAAAGCTTGTTCGTGCGATTACTTCCTTTTCGCGTGATTCAGTGAATTCCGGGTGTTTTTCTTAAGGGTGGAAAATCGTGATTGTGGACTTGGGAATTTTCTTACCACAGTGAGAGGATTTAAAAAAAATTTGAACGAGTTTTACGGTGTTTAAAGTGTCCATTAGCTTTGAAATTCTTATCCCTAAAATCGCGTCCATTACGGAGTGTTTTTTTGCACATGCTTTCGGGAATTTTTATGCAGAATTGAGAGTGTTGGCGATTCCTCCGCACTAAAGGTAGATCAAAGAGAATCCAAGGAAATAAATCAAATTAAAAGAAATCATTGCGCCTTATATACAACTTCAAGCAGATATGTAATGTGCTTTTATTTCAGTTATGTATAAGAGTGTAAAAGGCGAGAGCGGATCATTTCATATAAGAATCTTTCTAGACGATTGGTTGGAGGCGCGCACCGCATATTTGTGGTGCACAGAGTTCTCTTCTTCGCTGGCGCCTTCGAGATAAAACTTAATGGAAAGAATCTGTTTTATATTGAAAATTCACCGACAGTAACATACACCAGCTCAATTGAGTTACTGGTAATCGGGTTTGAGAAGGGAATTCCCTCAAGAACATTCACATCTTCCATTTCTTTGAGGATCTAATAAAGTTATGAGGGTTGCTCTTGTCTCTCAACACCCCTCAATTCGTTGGAATCCAATGCTCATGCCAATGAGAATGATCGTGACAAAAGAGGCTGTTTGAATTTCTTATTTGTCCTACGCAAGAAATCACTGGGAAAGTTATGATTTTCCTCTCGAAATGTCTTTGACATGAGTGTTGGTTTGTAGGTGAAAGAAATAGCATTTCTTCGATAATACACCATCCTTCAGATGTGTCTCAGTTTGCAATGTGTTTCCTTCCATTAGCCGAGAGTGTGAGGATAAATTTCAGAGTTATGAGATGCCCACACACAATGGTATGAGCTTGACGGAAATCAATTAATCTTGCACACCTCCGCTCTGCTTTCATTTACAACGTCTTTCTCTGCTCTTTCACTGCAGATACTAGATTTGAAATTATCACGATCATGTCTAATCGAGGGGTTTATGTATCGCGAGATGTTAGAAGCTCTCGAGTGCCGAAATAATGATAGAGTGATTGGAAATTGGGTCCTTTCATCCGCTTCGCTGCGATCATAGGAAAGTTGGGAGTTTGGCAAAAGACCTGTCGTGCGCGATCATACAGAGAAAATCAATTTAGGCGCATACATAATGAAACTTGGCCTGGCCTGAGAGTTCTGTATTGAAACGCAATTAATAATTTTATAATTGCACACAGAGTATCTGTCCTGACACATTTGCGTGGCAAATTTGCATACTACTAATGCTAAAAAGTGTCGTATATACAATTTATTATTCGCAAGTTATAAATAAGCGATATGTGTGTGTGTGTGTGTGTTGGACCACTTACATGGATACATAATACACCTCAATTTTTACTGGCGTGGAAAGACGGGTGACTTCAAAAAAAGCCTGCCGAAGCGCGTTTCGATGTAGTCACTTATTGGCTGGGAGACCGCAGGTCCCATAAATTACATCATGATTGAGACCCGTCGGCACATTTCAATGCAAAGCGTTTGATTTTCAACATTCTTTCTCAAAAATTTGTCATTCTTGGCCATAAACACGTTGATGAGAACAGATTGATGTACCCAAACCTTCTTCCAACTTCCAACCATATTAGAGGAGATCGTGGACGGAAAGTCGCAATGTCTGTCGGAGGAGAGTTTGGCTTTTTAGGCCTCTTTAGGAGCGAAATAACTACAAACATATTCATAATGTGATGATGGTGTTGATGATCGTTCCGACTTTGACCCCATGCATTAGGGTACAGTAAAGACGATTTCATTTTAATTGGTTCGGAAAGCTTTTAAGACTCCTCTTCCACATATAAAATACAGAGATTTTTTTATTCACTCTTAAGTATTAATGAATTATTTATATGATTGTTTTCTAAATAACTATTTTTTCACCATTTGAATTTTTATTGCAGACTGAAAATGATGTTTCCAGTTTGAGTGACTATTTCAATGTTAATCTTCACAAGAAGACTTTTGTATTTAAATGTAAAAAATACATTTTTCGCGAATCTCCTAGTTTAGAGAAATTTGTGACACAATATTGTCAAGTTTAGGCCAGTGTTTTCACTTCTGCTTGTATTGATTTACGGATTTCAAATATCACATCTTCACTGTTTCTCATATTCATGCTATTACATATCATTTGAGATTGCAGATACTGAAATGTTATACGATAAGTTTTCACCTTGGAAATATCAACTCAATAGACAGTGCGTATCTAACGTTTGACATTTAAATGACATGTATCGATTTTCATATTAAAATGTCATCTTTCATGTTGGAATTTATAAATAATAATTGACCAACATCACAGGGAGCAGCATGTAACAGTCGCATTTCGGAAGCTTTTGAGGACTTAATAAAATTAAGATAACTCGGTTATCATCTTGCAAACAAGAGAACTCGTCCTTTATACTTACCAAATTGGCAGAAGCCATAAAACGGAACTTGTTAGATGTTTGTTTAGGACTTTACAGAAAGGAAACGCTACAAAAATTACATTTCATTGACTAAAATAGTCTTAATATGATATTTTTCACAGAGAAGAAGAATATATCAGAATCTTCTTGGGAAATTCGATAACAATTGATCATAAGACTGCAATTGATTTATATGCATAGGTCAAGAACATTAAGACACTGCTTTTTGTGATTTATTTTATAGTTGAACTGATAAATGTAATAAACATGATTAGTTTTTGCCTTGTTTGTAAATTATTTAAATTTTTTCTGTGTCTCGAGACAATTGAATTGTGCTATAACATTTTATAAGAGGGCAATAGAAATAATTGCCTAATTTACATGATTAATTGCTTAATAGTCCAAATTTGTTCAAAGGACATGCGTGACAAATGAAAGAAGAACAAAACAATACCCTTGTCTTCTATTCGTACATATTTCGTTAAAAAAAGCGCTGATAAGGAGGAGCGAAGTGACATTGATCCATAACAACTTGACGATAATGTTATCGCGAATTTCCGGCGAGTATCTGCATGCAGACTGTAGTTTTGTTCAAACCACCATAAGGCACAGCTCACTGCCGTTTCTAAGGTATATATGAAGAAGACATTCAGATTCTTTGAGGACTCACGGTCGACCCTCATTTCGGTTATAGTCTCTCACTTTGCGATTGCCATAATGTAAATTTCCAGCCTTTGTCTTCGCATTTCCAGCAACAAATCGCCCAATTGTGCCCATAACAGGAAGGAAAAAAAACACACAATTATATGCAATGGCGGTGATTCTAATACCCGCGTAAAATTGTCGGACATGAAAATTGTAAAGATAGAGGGTATCGCGTATTTTACGCAACGCTGCCTTAACATGTGCACAATTAAACTATTTATCAATTAGGAATTAAAGTTTAATATCTTTTAATAGTTTAAACCACACAGCGTCTGAGCGTGAATTAAGCTATTCAATCGATGCAGAAAATGATTGTTGGTACACAAGCAACTTATATATTTTTAATACAACATAATCTCTCGTGGTGTTAATTTATTACTCCATTTGATGAGTGTAATTCAGTTGTTATAAAGTAAATCTAACTGGGATTAGATTTAATTGCAAAATGACGCGGTGTTTTATCTCATAGCGAGAAAAATAATTACACATCGCAAACTGCACTCTGTGTTATGAATTTACGAGGTGAATTTACACTTTTTCTGCAACGACATGCAAACTCTAAATATTTTATATCAGCTTGGCATAATTATCACGGCACAGACGAAAATCACTTTATGAAATTAAACATGATTAATCTTAAATGGGAACATTATAAGAGATAACATTTCAGTTGCAGTAGCAAAATTGTGTAACGTCAATTTATTCTTTTTCCCCTTTCGTAGAATATTTTTTTGTATCGCGAATGATTAAGTGTGCAGCTTTGGTGTAATTATTTTGTGGCAAGCTTGCATTTTATCAAGCACTTTGATTGTGCAAAAGTCCCCAGTTGACAAAGGATTGTGTGACTCATGTGGATTTTAGCAACAGTTGTAGTCTGAATATTCTGTGTTCGACAATATGATTTCATCAAGATGTAAATTTTGTAATTTGATCTGCCATTAAATCGGGTGTTCTTTCGGTGTCGCGCTTTGAGGAATTTGGTATTCCCAATATAATTAATTAATATGCTCATTTTATTTGTGGTAGGGAAATATATGAGGTGCTAAGAAATTATAGAGGGTAATTTATTGTCACCCTACTTCCAGAAATAGTATCACTTTACATTCTCTGCCCCCGAGAGACATGTGTCACTCGCCGTGAACGTCTCAATCGGCTCTCACGAGATTCCTGCCCATTTGCAGGAATTCCTCGACCGACTCATGTTCCACTCCACGGCGGCGTATCCGGAGATGCCCTCGATGGCAACCACTGGCGGCCACAGCGCCGTGTCGTTCCACCAGACGGCCAACGGCTCCACCACGGCGCCTGTGTACGTGCCCTCTAGCCGCGCCCTGCCGCCCTCGCAGTATGCGCCACACGGTGGCCCCTTCGCCGGCGCCACGCAGAACGGCTGGCCGACGGACGGCTTCGCTTCCACCCACTCGCAGCTGCCGCCGCAGTTCTACGCGCAGAACGCCATGATGATGAGCTCGTGGCGAGCCTACGATCCCACCAGATTCCAAAGCACATCTCCTTATGGTGAGCGCACTGATATTTAACGATGTACACTCTAATCTGGAATGGTTTATGACCCTTAAGAATTGCACTGAGCGTAAAGTATGTTTTATAGACTCTAATTCGGGGTTGGAAATGAATTTTTAGTACATTTCATTTTTAACCGTCGGTATTGAAAACAAACTAACAGCTTGACAATCGGCTGCCCTGCATCAAAATTTGTATGACTTATTAAGCAAAGGCGTCGTGAACGTCTTCTCTAATGAAAAAATATTCCTAAAATGTTGTTCTTAAAAAATGTTTCCAAAAATGGATTGATTGAGTTATGTTCTTTTTTGTGTGCTATTTAAAAATTGAATTTTGGTTTAGGAAGGAAAATCTGATATTCCTTGAAATACATGAAAACTTGTGAGTTTTCCCTCTTCTGTGCGCTTAGAAGTTGAATGTCCTTTTGGTCTCTTTCAGACAGCGCACTGGATTACCAATTTGGCGAGGGTCGCGAGTGTGTAAATTGCGGGGCGATATCAACGCCATTATGGCGAAGAGATGGAACTGGCCACTATCTCTGCAATGCCTGTGGCCTGTATCACAAGATGAATGGAATGAATCGACCACTCATCAAGCCGAATAAGAGACTGGTAGGTATTTAATAATTCCACTCACACACCCGCAAACGCGTGCTGCGGCCGCGCTGTGTCTCGACTGAAGGGTGTGCTATGTACTCTGAGCGTTGCTGTTCTCATAATCACTTTCCACTGTTGCTATCCCAGACAGCCACCCGCCGCCTCGGCCTGTGCTGCACGAATTGTGGCACAAGAACGACCACCCTGTGGCGGCGGAACAACGACGGGGAGCCTGTTTGCAACGCTTGCGGGCTCTATTACAAGCTCCACGGAGTCAATCGACCGCTAGGTAAATTGAGTTTTCCACTCACAGCGCAGCGTTTTCATGCCCGAGTTGAAATTATGTGTATTTTGCAGCTATGAGGAAGGACGGGATTCAAACGCGGAAGAGGAAACCGAAGAAAAACACATCGAGTAGCGTGGATGGACTGAATTTGGGAGGGAAGAAGGACGAATCTCATGACGGTGGGTTCTTAATTGATATATATTCCACGAATTGAGGAGTGTTTTATGAGCTATTTGAATTGCCTTGTAGATATCAAGCCAGCCGTTGGAGCCCTCAGTAATAGCACAATGACCCACTCGACTGATCGCAGCACCAGCACGAAGTCTCTGCAGCCGCACAACGCCAACAAATCCCACATAGTGACGCCCGCATCGCGGACTCACGCCCACCATTCGCCCCTCCATCCCCAATCGTACAACTTGGCGGCCAGCATGACGCCGACGTCGCACCAGAGCGCCAATTCCAGCGGCTCGCCTGTAGTCACGGCCGCCAAATATGATCTCACGCACGGCCAGACATCCAACGTGCATCCGCCGCACTCGGGCTACCTGCACAATAACCTGCCCGCGTCCTTCGGCGCCGTTAAGACCGAGACGCCGCCCACGAACTACGACTATATGAACAACTGCATCCAGAGTGGCTACTTCGGCGGCAGCTTCGGGGCGCATCTGGCCAACGCGCCGGCGACGCACGGCGCCACCGAACTGGCAGGATACCATCATCAGCACAATGTGATCCAGGCAGCTAAGCTGATGGCCTCTTCGTAGTGCAACAAGCGCCTACAAGGATGAAGAATAGTGCAAGTTTGCAGGCAAACGATCATAAAGTTTGAAAAGCATCATCAACAACAGTGAAACTATAAATATCATAAATAAGTAGTGTAATGACTTCGCCATCATTTCTCACAACGATGGTGCTATTATTTATTTTACTTCAACACATATTTCCCGGCAACTCGTTTATGAACACACACGAATTGTGATGTATAGTGTCCGAGGGGAGTTTCTCATCGCCACGTTTTCCACCTTCACCAGTGAAATCACATAGTTTCCAATTTAGACATGGCATAGAAGCAAGAGCATGGAAAACGCATTGCAGCTTCACTTTTTCACCCAGAGCTTTGACCAATATTTCACTACACTTTTATTTACTGATACTTTTGGTCCAATGAATAGCGCTTTAGCATCATACAGTGGCGTAGTGAGTATTTGGGTTCATAATTCAGTTCTTTATTTTTGACTGCGTTTAGAGGACATTTTTCGGTCTCACTAAGCTTGTAATTCCGGATAATTTGCAGTATCTTCAAATGATAGAAAATTTACTCTGAACATATCAATGAAGTTATGGACATTCGACTTTATATTTTTTTACATAATACTTTAATATTCCCCTTTGGATGAAATTCCTGAACACGCTTCACAGGGTTTTTCACCTGTGCACACTACGCCACTGTTTTCTAGTCTAAAAGTTTTTTTTACTGACTTTTTTTCAAATTCAGTGAACGTGAGTTTAGTAAATCACTAAAATAGCGAAGAATAACGCCGTCTATACAGTGCATTCTATACAGTGTACCCTGAATTGCAATTCTCAAATTAGATTTTTTGCTCGTTATAAATTTGGGTGAATTGTACGTTGTTTGTCTATTGAATTGAAAAAATGTTTCATTCAAAATCGTGTGCAATAATTTGATTATTTTCATATAACATAAATTCATTTTATGACTCTCTCTCTCTCTCTCTCTCTCTCTCTTCGTACATTTCCTCCTGAAGATGAAATCATGTTTGTTTTAATCTTGTCTATTCTGATTTAATTTGCTCCAAATTAATTCCTCCGAAACACGGTGTGACGTAACTTTTGAAGCATTTTCCTTCGTGCCCAAAATTGGGCGAAATCTGTGCTTAAGCAGTTTTGCGCATCATTGACAGTCTTATGTTTCGTTCTTGGTGCTTAATTAATGAAAGCATTTAACAATGGATTTATGATTTATTCATTTCACCTCTCTAGAAATGCAAAAGTCACATAATGTGGATTTTGTAGAAAAATGAAGAGAGAAAAGTCTCGCATTCCTCTGCGGATGATGGAAATGCGACGGTTAATGGAGGGATATTAGTAATGTATGAAAGCTCGATGCTGAATTCCATCGCAGAGAATCAAAATTCTCTATCTCCTTGCGTTCTGTGCTAAATTGAATGAATGTATTATGTATCTTATTAGTCTGGCTTTACTAGGGAGAAGACGGAGGAGTGAAGAGCGCACTGTCTCTCGTGTGTAAGAGAATATTCCAAGATTTCCTCTGGCATTGTGTCTCCAGTTTGTGGCTATGATTCATGGCATGAGTGCGAATCCCACACACAAAATCATACTTCTACAGACTAATTAACTCGATATTTCGCAGTGGAATATGCGTATTTTGTTGGGAAGGATGTTGAAAAAAGTAATGACTAACTAATACAAACGGCATAAGAAGTGCTTAAAGCAGCTCTCGACTTTGCACGTTAGTGTGAAAAATGAAAAAAAAAACACGATGCTGAATATTGTCTAATTTAGACAGATTTTTGTTCACTATTCTATAGATTTTGTAGAATGTAATTTGTATGATAGAAATGTTGAAGAACTTTTAATGTTAGAATGATAAATTTACGAGTTACAATTTTAGCAAGATAAATGTAGGAAGTGTATTTATATTTGTAAGCAATAATGGCGATATCAAGAGAGCTAAATTAATTTATGTGTAAGAATCTGGAATAATTTTACGATTATCATGTTATTGTGAATAAATTAGTGAATGTGCATTTTAGGAGGACGCATGAATAATTTAGGAAAGAAATAAAATATCGAGTAGAAATCATTTCTCATAGTGCTGTTTCGCTTATCTGATAGCCATGTCCATTTTCGATAATGTCCCCGATGATGTGTCTGAAGATGTTCTTCAGGCCATTAGTGTAGAACGAGAGTCCCCGAAGGCAAATGATCAATTTGCCAAATCGTTGCCACTGGCACTCTTTCTGGATGCTGTATCGTCCGAGCGCCAGCAGTGCTCTGTCGGACATCATCTCGAGCTGCATGGACTCTTCGTCGGTGGTGCTGAACTCCTTGCGACAGAGGATGAGGCTCTCCAGGAGGTTCAGCTCCACCAGGTCGGCCTTCACGGTGAAGCTGTCGACTGCGACTCTGAGGTCATGGCAGCTCTCGATGATGGATCGGATGTCTATTGACCAGTGTGACGCCCTGAGAATGAAGCACTCCGGCCACACGACCTGCAGGATGCTGTTTTGCAGGCCGCGCCCTAGGAGTCGGAAGTCCTCGTTGCACCTCGCCTGCTTGATGCACGCAATGAGTATCTGGACCATAATCTGATAGTGGAGCGTTATTTGTTGCTCGAGCGAGGCTGACGGGAGGGGCGGTAATTGCTGGTGATTTATTTTTGTGGCGCTACGCCTCTTCTCACTCGGTAGATTTCCAGTTAATTTCTTTGGTTTCCTCGGTCCTCGCTCCTCCTGAACGGCTATTATGTGAGGTGAGGTGGTGTGGGGGGGCGTGCAAGAGAAATTCGTTTCTATTAATCTGTGTTATTTAGATAGAGTGTAAGCCATTAGATAAATTTAAGTTAATTTAACCCAAACCGGCAACATTCATTCCAGCGGAAAAACATCTCTGCAGCCTGCAATAGGGACACCAATTTCGACGAGCTTTATCGATAACGCAATTTCCTTTTCCAGCTGGAACGAGAGAAAATGCACCCAGAGAGTCAGTAATGCATTTACACCACTGTGTCGAGTTCACTTCATAACTGAATTCACATCATCCCTTCTCTTCACCGACTGTATTTCAATTCACATGTACACAGTTTATATCCAGGAAAGCAACTATCGACAGTCCTCTAAAAGACTGAGATTGCACATTACGAGAGGACTTTGAGAAAAACACCACACTCAGTGCTTTTATCTTACCTATGCAGGTGTACAAGGCGCTCTTCCGGACGCTGCGCTTGAAAAAGCACGAGCATCCATCACACGTGAAGACGCTGTAATGCTTTCCTGAACTTCGATCTCCGCAAACTCGGCAACAGGCCGCGATTATCCTCGCAGAGACTGCAGAGAAATTCAATTTACCACTTGGTCGAAGAGAAATTGGAGCGCGGAAAATTCCTTTGAGAATGAATACGACAATAATAGCTATTCGAGGGCTTTTAACGTTTGTTGAGCTTCATGTAACTGATATGATGACTCTAAACTTCTGCCAAATCTATTATTCTGGGTCAACATTGAAAATGTTAATTATAAAATGAATTTCCTTTGGGATCTCTCAGGATATTTAAAGCAAAGAGATTAATTGAAAATCTTAATGTCTTGAAAGGGTTAAAAAAATGTCTTTTCTTGTAAAAAAAAAGGTGGAAAAGTCACTGTGAGCTTAACCCAAGGGTGTGAATTATTCACGGACTTATTATACTTTCTTATTATAAACAGATTACGGGATGGAAGAGTGTATCTTCATTCAGAATTTAAATATGATATTCTTTCCCGGGAATCTTTTTGTTTCACGAAACCTCAAGATATATTCCAAAATTCACTTTACCCGGCAACATTCAATCCCAACAATTCCCAAAGACCACACAAAAGGCACTGAATGTCCTGCAAGGTGTTGGGATTTCTTTTATACCAAATCACTATATTGACAAATTAATTGACGCTGGGTTTATTTAACTTTTTCCCCGCGTATGTGACAAACTACTTGTCACATAATATGCATGAACGTGGCATTTTCACACCTCGCAACCTTTGCGGAGACTCGGTGTCTTCTGAGCCATACAACACTCATTCTGGGGTGACAAAAGCGATGGCAAGGACCCAATTACAAAAGCCAAAGGCAGAAATAGGAAACTGAAGGAGGCGGTAGTCAACACTTGACGCAGCAAAAGTGGTTCGACTAAGAAAGAATAATGCTCAAGGTGGACAATTCGATTTAATAGCATACACAAAGTGTTTGACCAGCGTTTGGCGTTTGACTATCCGCACTTGTGCTCCGGGGTGATTCTATTGACATAATTATAATAGCCGGATTGTGCAAGTCACTCGGGAAAATGCAGGCATTTAACATGGGGAGCAAAACTATGCATAATGCCAAGAGCACGCGAGTAGAAGTGTCAGCATAATTAAATTTTTATTAATTGTGGCTGTGTAGTGCACGTAATTGGATTTCATGTGGCAAGAGAGCGCCGGAAGTGACAAACTAACAACCATTCCACAAATTAAATCTCTTTATTGCTGAATATCTATCATCAACAATCATTTTGGTAGGAGACACGTGATTTCCAATTTAGTATAGTAATTGTGGAAATTGCAGTGGTTTGGATCTCTCCATTGCATTTCTCATCATCCTTCATAGACAAATTTTTGAAAGGCATTATATAAATTTCACGATGACATAGTACAAAATTATTAACTCAAGTTTCAATAAGACGAGATTTTTTTTTCACAAATGGCACATTCTGAAAGGTATTTTGGGCTACAGTTAGGCCGATAAATTCGAATTTTATATAAGTAAATATATAGTCAATGATAATAAAATTTCACTAAGGATACATTCAGTTATCATCAGAGAAAATTGTCTAAACAATTATATATCGAAAAATTTTCTATGACAGAAATACTCCTACAATCTTTTTGATTACAATTGGAAACGGCGTCTAGAATTTCATCTTTGGCAGAATTTCACATCTTTGGCTTTGTTACACCCACGTTTTGACTTTCGAAAAATGCACAGTCTGTGAAAAAGGAGCTTTGCTAATTCTACACACACATCTTTTTTGCCTTTAACTGTTCGTACAATATAAACTCTGGGAATTCACACTATCAAATCACTCATAAGATTTCAATATAATTTCCTAAAATCAACATTACCATATAAATTTGTTCTGTAATGCATTTTCTTATTATAAAATATATACATATATTTCATATTATAAGACGTTTACATTCAATTACATCCATAGAAAATTTAAATACCAAATGTTATTTTAAAATATATACCTTTCTCACTATCATTTAAAAACTAAACTCTACATGATATAACGCTATAGAATACACGATGTCTGTTACTTACTTTGATGGTGATAGTTTAAGAGTCGTTATCTGCTACGAAAGTTGCGATTAGTGATGGAAGAAACACTTTACTAAATTTACATTTTTTCCACTCTAGTCAGATTACAGAATTAAACCCCTAGATTTTATGCTTTCAGCACTAATGTTTTCACTTTGAAAAACACCGATGGATGAATCAATATGACTTCATTATTGATCGATAATGGAATTTCAACATTAACGACGCTTGCAAAATCCAACATCCAATATAGGGTGAAATATGTGTGTTATGTATAAAACTTTGTTTTATAATTTATGCAGCAACTCTTTCGGCAATTCACCCAACTTGATAATATATACTTAATCTCCAATCTTTTCTCTGTCATTCCTACTGGTTTCTGCTCGGACAAACAAACACGATTGTCTTTCGATATATTTTTTTTGGTACATTAATAAATTGTAGTAAATTTCAAAATGTCCTACTTCTTCATGCACAATTCTACATATGTATTTTCTTTAGCAGTTTTTCTTCAGTAAATTTTCCTACCTGGCTACAAAGATTTTGGCAATACATAAGTTATGTACACATGAAGACGCGTTATCATATAATTTTTCAGAGTTTACAACACCTTTTATAGGATATCGAAAGCAGGTCGTTTATGTGTTGGAGAGTTTCAAATACACGATTTCACTTATTATATCGCTTCGGTGGAAATTACGAGTCTTGCTTTTCTTTAAAGATATACACAACGATATTTTGGTAAACATTTTCTGGGCTAAAATATGTCATTAGTAAACAGAACTTTTCACAAACTCTCTTCATGGAAGAAATCACTTTATATATGTATATATATATATGTCTCTCTCTCTAAAGGATAACATTTTGGACACAGCACAATAATCAGAGATGATTCTTCCCACTCAAGTGCCACAATTTCTGGTGTGAGGGCTTTTTTGGCTTCTGCAAAACAACCTCACGAGAGCGAAATTCTGGCACGGAAGGTGGAAAACAAACAATTCTCAAGTGATGTTAATCGATATCCCTCTTCACTGTCTTGCCACAGCGATTAGGCGGTATCCTACCTGAATAGCAGAGTTTCTACATTGAGATTAATTTCACAGCGACCATTTCCACCAACAATCTTCTCCTCCTCCGTCTGGTCAGCGTGCGTCTCTGCGGTGTCTCTTCGCGAGCTCTGGCGCTTGTTGTCCGCCGAGGAGGCTGGCGACAAGGGGATTTCCTCGATTTTCTCCAGATCCTGAGCCAGACTGTTGGAGTTCTGCTTGTGGATACGCGGCATCGCGGCCTTCGTCAATTGACCGCCCGAACGACAATCTCCGCTGTCGATACTGTGCTTCGCGCCCTCTCGACTCCCGCCCTGGCCATGTACGTCCTCCTTGTCCAGGCTAAATTGCCGGCGAAGAAGTCTGCTGGAGCCTGGCTTGTTGGCCTCATGGAACTTCCCAAAGCTCGCCTTTAAATCGGCGCCGCACTGCAACAAATTGCTCTCGCTCGGACTTAGACAGCGATAGTGATTGTAGGGTGAGCTCAGGTCCATCATTTCCTCGATTTTCTTGAACAGACGCGCCGAAGAGGCCGAAGTGTTGCTCAAGCGATTAAATGCGGAGGGATTGAGAAGGCCATCTTGGCCGAACTCGGACATTTTGCGCTGATTCGGACTCACTGTGGTTGTGGGCTTTGGCGGGAAGTCGGGAATGTTAATGTTTAGGTTGAAGCCACTTGTTGAGGATTCCAGAGATGTCGACGCCGACATGGTGGCCGCAGGCAGGTCTGGTATCACCGGGGGCGTTATCTCCACTTTCACGTCTGCTATTTCAACGGCCATGTGGTCAACACTCGTTCTCGGTGTCATCAGATTGTCTTCGACCTCAGTGAGTACACCCACGCTCTCATTCATGCTCCGGGCGAGAGTTTCGTCAAAACTGAAAATGGGAAAACTTGTAAATTCACTGGCGAGAGGAGTGAGAGAGAGAGAATAAAATATCTTGTTTGTTCTCTGGAAAATTGCAATTTAACCACAAATTGACCTCCCGACTTACCCGTGAGCTTCACTGTTTCCAGGAAATTTCATCAGCATATGAGAGAAACATATAAGATTTTATATGAAACAATCCCTGAATGATTCATTAAAGAGCTCTACATTTGGCAAACACAGAGCTCAGCATAGTGAATTTAGAGCATTGACGTTGAGAAGTTGACTTTCAAATACTCTTCCACAGTGACGTAGTGAAGAATTTTCAAAATCTCTACTATAAGGCGGCAATAAAGGGTTCTCTAGGGCACGCAAATAGGCTAAAACTTGTGAACTTTGAAATGGCTTTTCTCGGGGCTTTCTTGTGAGGGTGGAAGAACCACAAAAAGCACTCATGGGACTACTTTAAGGAGCACAGCTAATGGCCAAAAGTGCGTGTAAATCTTGCGCCCAAATCTGAGGGGTTCTTAAAGTCGAAACATGACGATCTATCTTTACTCTTTTCTACTTTGATTGCAAGGGAACTTGAAAAAAAGCTAATTATCACACCTGAGAAAAAACTCTTTGCAATTTTTTTTCTTCAAAACATTTAACTAATGATTGTTGTGTTGAAGATTCATTCTCTGCAGAACAGTTCAAAACTTTTTAAAGCACTTTTAAACTATTAAAATCATAGGAGGGTTGGGAAGTTTTCGGTGTAAAATAAAATCGCATTTGAGTCATCTACTTTCTTCCTACGCCAATGCGTTCGGGAGTCTTTTTAATAAAGTCGCCTTTGAACTGAAAAATACAATTTCATCACATGTGTGACAATTTCCCGATTCCCTGCAACACCCGTGCGTTGGCTTATTGCCTCAATTTATTTAAGTGCAACCCGTAGTGTAGGTGCAAATCAATATTTCATCCATTACGCAAATATCCGATATTTTTCCACATGAGTGGATTTCAATACATCGCCAGGCTCGACTGTTGCCACAATTTTTGTGGCCATAGCGTATTTAATTGGAATCAATTCCAATTATGGAATAGTTTCTGCTGCTCTGCTATTGCGAATAACAATTAATTAGTTGTGTGAACTCACCCGATGGGCGGCGGACTGGGAAGCGGCTTGTCGAAGCCCTTCTTGCCGAGCAGCCAGTACGTGTTCATGAGGCCTTTGCCTTTGATTTCGATGGGACCGCGGGGCTCCAGCATGTAACCGCCCGCCTTCTCGAGGCGATCGCGCGTTACCTGAGACAGGTGAATGCGCCAGGATGATCCTGCAAGAGTGTTTGAGTGACCAATTTAATGGAGAGCAAATTCCCTGTGGCACAAGTTGACAGATATTGTCATAAAGGTGTTTTATCCAATTTCAGCTAAATCACCGTGCTTTTCCACATATATTTTTACAGAGTAAACAGGTGATACATCACGAAACCAATTACATTATTCCAATGTGACATTTCAATTGGGGAGTGTGGGTGTGGCTGCCAGAGCAAAATGCCTTTTTTGTGGGGTGGATTTCGCCAGAATGGATATTTTATCCTCAAGCGTGGATTTTGCTCCTCTCTCCACACAGAGAGAGATTATATCGTGGATGTTTCTAAAGGACTCCACAGTATATATTATATATGAGAATTACCTGTTGACTCCATTCGAGATGCCGTGTTCACCGTGTCCCCAAATAGACAGTATCTCGGCATTGTGAGCCCCACAACGCCAGCACAACAGGGTCCTGTAATAACATTAAATAAGGCGAGTAACAGAGGGCGAAACTATTGCCTCTATCTTCAGTGGGGCTCCGAAAGATAAATTACTGGGCCTTTTGTAGTCAATACAAATTCATCTGCTCACCCGTGTGGAGACCAATACGCAGCTGAAGAGGTACATTTGGCAAATGTTTCACTTTAAACAGGCCGCTCTGGTGGAGCAAATCCAGCGCCATGGTGGCTATTTGTTCCGCATGATCGGGAATCCGGCCAGGCAGTCCGCTCACAACCATATACGCATCTCCAATCGTCTCCACCTTGCGATTACCCACAGTTAATTAAAATCCCTCCACGGCGTGGGATGAATAGTTATTTACCTTGTAGACGTCGTATGCATTTATCGTGTCATCGAAGCATGTGTAGAGGTCATTAAGGAGATCAACGACTTGCACTGGACTGCAGTGTGCTGCTATTGTGGTGAAGCCAACGATGTCACTGAAGTATATTGTCACGTCCGAGAATTCCTCAGGATCAACAGCCAAGCCCATTTTCAGCTTTTCCGCCACGGAGCTGCACAAACAGAGCACACATACAGTTTGCTAAATACCACTAACACTGGCAGCTGTCGTGAGGGCTTCAGGGCGCAACCCGCAGCTAAGCAGCAATAAGGAAGTGGATTGGCGTTACCTCGGAAGCATCCGGTTCAATAGTTGCTCAGTCTTCTTACGCTCAATGTCGAGCTGCTCTGTGCGCTCTCGAATCAATTCCTCTAGATTGTTTGAATACTTCTCGAGCATTTGAAACATCGTGTCAACAAAGTTCACTTTACGTCCATGATTCAGCTGCTTGAAGCGCTCGTATACACTGCAAATGAAAGTCAAAGTCAAGATCTCAAGTTTGCAGTGGTGGAAACGTTGTAATTTCTATTAGTCAGTTCACTAATGGTTGATACTAATCATGTTACTCGATTCAACTGGGAAAAAGTGTTGCTTTTCCAGAGAGCTTTCCAAATCTACACCTTTGAATTTTTTTTGCAGTATTTTATTCAATAGTCGGAGGAGAAAATTGCTCCTGTTATTGCAGACTGTGAACAAGGGTTAAAAATAAAATCACCTACGAGCTCAACATCCCCAATCTTTTGTGAGCTTTCAGCCTTATAATATGGCTTTATAAAAAGCCTTATCTGAGATTTCTGCAAAATCTCTAGACACTTTGAAAGACGAAGTGCGTCACATCAATTCTATCCCGACTCTTTCGTACTTTCAATTTAAAAGAACACTACAAACGGCAAAATACTTGGATTGGTGGACTTAAAAATCAAATTTTGTATTAGTTTTCAAAAAAAAAAAATGCATATTTCCAATGTTTCTTTAAACACTGGAACTTTAATTTGAATTTATGTATACCTTAATCTTTATTGTCTCGCGCACTTGAAATTATTTGTTCAAAAATAACAGTCGCAGTAATGTAAACGACATTGGAAGTGACGATAAGCTTTCCGGAATTGTAGTGGAAAAGTGTTATGAGATGCAATAAAGTAGGGTGAAACAGAGACTCACGTGTTAAAGTCCGGTCGCATATCTGGCATTTCCGCCCAGCACTGGCGCATAATATTTATGGCTTCGGGTGGTGCAGCGCCCTTCGACACCGAAGGGCGGATTAGGGGCGGAGGACGCTTTATTTTTGCTATTATATCTGCAGAAAGGAGAAAATATTTAGCAAATATTCCATAAATCAGAGAATGGCCGAAATAGGCATTCGCTGAGTTGGAAAGTTCGTAAATTTGTTAAACCATTTTGGTCTATAAATTTAAGGGTTTGCGCCAGCGATAAGGATGAGTTGAGAGGGATAGTATTTCAGGGATTGTGTAATTAGGAGAAATTAAATTATAATTGAAACCCTTCCTAAATCAAACAAAGAAAGTGCCTCAGCGACGAAAAACCCTCATAATTTGGATTAAGCACAGTTTGCTAATGTGTGACTCTCGAGAATGGCTGATTCCACAGGCAATAAAATTTCATGTACCTTCAGGTGATAGGGAGAGCATACAGTAGGGCTCGCCCCGCACCACCACCTCCTGCATTATTATACCGAACGAGTAGACGTCTGCCGGCTGTGTTCCGTGCTTGGGGAAGCCTTTTGTGCCGCGCAGAGCTTCTGGGGCGGTCCAGAGGAGTTCTTCATTTCACCAAAATGAAATTATTCATATTTTAGCTAAACAATGACAACTCACTCGGCTAAATGCTCTATGAATTAATTGTGAATCTAATCCACTCTCTCAGGGACTCGTGTATAAATACCTTTGGGAGATTTCGATGGCACCGCAATGCCCTGGGCCTCGTAGAAGCTCGGCAGACCGTAATCGGTGATTTTGAGAACCCACCTGGCGTCCACCACGCAGTTCCTCGATGACAAACCGCCGTGAACGCGCAGAGCGGAAGTGTGTAAATAGCGCATTCCCTGCAAATCGAATTCGGTGAAAGGAGAAAAAATGCAACTTTAATTTCTACACCAACAGATCGTAGCACCGAGGATGTGAAATTTTGAAAGACTTGAAAGTTAAAGTCTTTGTCAAAAGTGAATTATAATATCCTGATTTCATGAGAAATCATTTCAATTTGATTGCATAAATTGCTCATAACACCATTTTTGACATATACCTTATGATTTTTTGATTTCTGAATAAGTTTCTTGATGTTTTATGGTATAAAAACTTATACAAAGCTCTTCATTCCTCACTGTTTAGCACTACAAAAACTTCTATAGCTTCAGAGTCAAGTAGAACAGAAAGGCTTTTGAACAAGCTTCTAAAGGTAAATTGGCTCTTCGCGTGATTTCTTCCAGTTGGAGTCCTTCTAATGGTACTCTAGGATTTCTGATTCATTCATAACGCCTTGCTTGTTTATTCCTTCTTCCGCGCTCTTTAATTACACCGGATCATCTGCAAACTTTGCATAGTTTGCATTTATAGCTTAATCTTCATTCAATAGTAAATTATTTATGTACATTTGAAGTGAACAGAACAGCAAATTCTCAACCATAATTCTTCTCTCGAATTTCATTGCACTTTTTGTGGGATTCTTCTCATGTGAAAGCTTTAACTCACCCGAACCAGATCCGTCAGCAAACTGAGCCGGAAAGACCAATCCAGCTTAATGTCGTCCATAATAAGGACGTCTTGCAAGGAGCCACGAGAGCAGTACTCGAACACCATCGCAGTGCGATTGGCATCGCTCAGCCACCCTGAAATGGAAAATTAATGTTGGTTAAACAGTGTCTTGAAACTCGCAGGGAAATTTATATACTCTCGCAGATTCAATTAAGCAGTATGAATTGTCGATTGTGTAAATTTATGGAGCGCAAACTATTTATTCAGCTACATTATTTATTGACTCATGGGAGTGAGATATCAAATTAGGGAATAAACTTTATCCGCCATGTTAAATATGTATAATTTGAGTACAGTTTAATAAGCCATATCGTCCCAATTCCAAATTGAGAGCGTACATCAAAAGCCGAGAGTGTTATTTCCTGTTCATTGCCAGACTTTTCAATTGAACAATATTTAGCCCTTCTGCCAAAATGTCTATTTCTGCGCAATATATTATTTTTCCTCATTTTCCAGCGCGGCCTGTCAAAATTACACAAATATATCATATTTGCGAATGAAGCCATAATGTGCTGTATCAACAAAACATTTCAATATATAAAACCCGCCGCCGCCCCCATCATATTCCGATATAAAAGAGTAACAAGAGGGATGACAAGTAATTTTGTTATCCCATCACATTCACTCCGCGCCCGAACACAAATTCTCCGCTGAAGCCCAGTAATAATTTCCTTGGGGATAATTTTGTGTCACAGCGTGTGAAATAATATGCATAAAATGTAGGCACGAGCTTAGCGTGTTTTGCCAAATTTGCTGTCTAATTGACCTAAGGGAGGCGAAACTGCGCTCTTCTCCATTCGCAGCCACCGAAATGGAGAGATAGAAGAAATGTAATGCCCTGTGTATAAAATCTTATTACGAAGCGAGGTTGTTTACACGTACAGCAGAGTTGCGTATTTAATTTCATATTGATGAAAATCATCCGTACGTGAAGGCGGAAATTAAAAAGGAGCTTTGATTCGGATTAAAAGCCAAACTAATGAACTCTGTGACTCTTGAACTGCAAAGAAAGGGCTTTGTGAGCTTGTATTGTCAATTTTCATTACTCTTGTCTTGTAGAAATGCTTTGTGAGATGTTTTTTGCGATCCTTTCATCTATTAAAAGTATCTCGGAGAGTCATCCGGATTCCTCCATGTTGCAGAAAGTAAAATTCAATGAGATAAAAATCAAAATTCCAAGCGTGAAAGGATTAAATTGACAGCAATGGAAATCGTTTTTATTGCAGCTGCTACCTTCTTTTCAGTGTCATCGGATCACAGATGTGCGAAGCGTATTCTTACACTCAGATAAATCATCTGTAGTATTTGTAAGTATTAAAATAGTCAATGTCAAAATGAAAAACGGAAAAGCAGCTAAATAGTCTATAAAATCTCAGTTTTGAATTTACTTCTTAAAAAACATGAAGTTTTAGTTCAAAATGAACTCATAATAATTATATTCAGCATCGGAAATGAGGAAAAAAGAATTTGTGTAGAATTAGTAAAGCACGGCGTTAAGCACATCACTGGAACTTTAGATATTTCTCCCTTTCAGCTGAGTAAAAAACTTGACTGCATTTGAGGTCAAGCCATAACAAACACGATAGTCATATCACTCACTATAATTAAACCGCAAATCTCTATAGAAGGAAACACACCGCAATCGCGGCTTGAAAGTGTTGTCAATTGTGGTTTAACAGTATGATTTACCAATGAGGGGATTGATGTTCTCGTGTCGCAGTCCGTGGGCTGTCATCAGGATGTCCATGGCTTTAGTCTTCAGCTCTGTCACGGCCATCAAAGGGATTTCCTTCAGCTGCACGAGGTCACCCTGTAACGACGAGGCATCCATTTGAATCCTCTCCCACAAATGTATGTACATGTTTAATGTGATTTGAATGAATTGGACTCGAGTAAGCACTTAAACTGGTGGGATTGAGCGCTTTCCGTGTAGTGGAAATATCAAATGGCTGTTGCCTTACATTGTATCTGGCTCTAACGTCGATTACTGTGTGGTGGCGCGCTAAACTCCCCGAGCCAGAATTATTTTTGGCAGCACTGGCTAAGCCCAAGTTCTTCAAGGATCCAATTGAGCCCTTCAGCAAATCCGGCTTGTCGACCTCGGGGCCCCCGAATTCCTGGAGTTGCTGCAGCCAGCAGCACAGCATCGCCTCGATTCCCTCGTCAACCTACAACGACGTTATGAAATTTGGAGTGAATGTAAACAGGGATATAAAAAATCAATGGCTGTTTAAAATGTAATCAGCGCGGCTTGAGTGAGTGCGCAAAAAAAGTGGCCATCACACTCCCACTCCGCCTAATTGTGAGCGACTGAATGAATCAATTTTGATAGCTCAATCAAATTTTGTTTCACACACCCATAATCCCGCCTCGGCGCATATACTCACCCGCCTCGAGTCGACCGGAAACACAAAATCCGATGGTGACAGAACAATTTTGTTTGGTCCCTTTGATAAACGTTTCTTCAGTAAATAATTCCTGCAAATGTAGAGAACATGTCAGACCTGTCTTAAGTACCAAATTTATATACAGATTGGGGTCCACTTGGGAGTGATTTAGTCCTGAGAGGTTCTTCTTTGGCTCAGGATTATGGCTTGAGATGTGTGTGCGCTTCCATAGCGGAGAACCGAACGAGTTTCTTGGCTAAATCTTCAGCTCAAAATATGACTTATTTACTTAAGACTGTTTATTAGCACTTGAGATATGGCAAAATATATGTCTTCCGCCGGATTTTCCGTATTACATAGAAAAACAATTAAGTAGAGAGCTCTCTTTAATCTTCCGGGATTTTTCATAGAACAATATTCACTGTGTGTTGCATTAAAGAGGTTTTGCACACTCAGTTTAATGGGGAGGAGCATGCGAGTGGGCGGGGTTTCTGACAAATGTTAATTTGTCTTTCAATCTATTGAAGTGTGTGAAATTGTCTGGGGAAACTTTGCTCATTTCATTAATTTGCGGAGCCGGATCCACAGGTACACTGTTTGGAATTGTGTCAGCTTGTTTCACCCAGTTAAGGCTTTATCGCCGGGCATGCCGAGGCACTGCCGCCCTCGCAGCCCTTGGGAAGTTGGTGATATTTATTTAGGAAATTTATTAAGATGTTGTGGGTGGAGTGAAATGAAATGTGGTAAATATCATCAATTAGGTGGACAAATAGGCAATAGACTCTCTCACCTAACAGCTATTCCGGCCGTAACGCTGGCGACAATAATGCACAGGAGGAGAAAGATGGCCAGCCCGATGACACCCCAGCACAGTGTGCCGCACGTCCAGAACTGAGACGTGTCCAATCCCCAATCACGGAAACCCCTCAGGAGTGGATGTGTGGTGAATACCTGATGATTGATGTGATTCTGCTGGAGTATTAGAAAGGGACGCCAGCCAAAAGTTGACTCATTCCTCGCATTCACATTCTGATGGAGGTCCAGCACAATAAAGTCAAATTTGATACCACTCTCATTAGCACCATACAGGATCGTCACTATGAAGTCGAACAAACTGAAAAATTCACTATACGCCAGCTGATGCTGGGGGTGGGAGTCCCTCGTGGCCTGCCGACGCCAGCGTCTCGCTCCACTGCGCTGCGACTCCTCGATGATGTACTCCGCCAGCCTCTTCGCTGCTCCTCCGGCGTCCACTTTGTGGTCTTTAACCTTAAAGCACACTTCCCTTAGGCGCCCACCCACGCCAGCGGCATCACTTGTAGAGTTTCCCATTGATTTTGTACTATCGCCGAAGGCGTGATAACAGAAGAAGTAACAGAAATCAGTGTCCCCGTCGAAATGCTCGGGATGACAATCGATTTCTCGTGGACATTGCTCCCGCACGAGCCTGTCCCAGTCGTCTGGAGTGCCAACGGAGACATTAGCAGCAAGAGACTGGACATCACAATTAAATGCAATCACTCTGCGTAGGAAATTCAATACTATACCACTGATATTAGACACTAGAGCATCTCTTTGTCCTTCCACATCACTTGGCGCTACGTTCTCACCAGACACTCCCGGATGCTTTCCTCTATATCTTCTCGTGTTATCTGCCAGATTTCTCCTGTCTCTCTTTACACCCGTCGCATTGCGGGAAATATCATGGGATTTGCCGTCATCGTAAGTCTTGCTCGCCATCCACTGTGAATACTTTTCAAATTCCACATGAAGTGTTTTATTTAGCAGGTGCCGCAGTTTCTCCGTGAGCACCGTGAGCACGAGGAGATTTTTATACGGCCTCGTGCTATCATCGCCATTTGTACTGCCATTTCTGGTTGTGTTCTCGCCGAGATTGGCATTTTCTGGCACTATTCCAGAAGACCATGCGAGAAAAATGTTATCCATTTTTGTAAATTTTCCGCCCAAGTAAGTGTAGAAGTGACTTCTACTGTTGAATATTGTGCCAAACATATCAATGAGGAGTAATTTTGTTAGCCTGTAGTGCTCAAAGTGCTGAATAACCTGTTGCGTCTCCATGGAATTCAGAGATGATGTTATTATCACAACTGAAATGGGGAGGAAAGGATGAGAAAAAAAGTGATGAACAACCCCGATGCTGCGCTAAATTAGTTTCCGGAAGTAATCATGCAAAAAATGTCATATCTCTCTGCGTGGGGCGTCTCACAATGCGCGCTCCATCTTTTTGCGCAAATCATGCAACACATTGTACAGCAACTCATCGTGATATCCACTTCTCTCTCTATCTAGTGTGAAAACCCCCATCAATAAACCGAAGATGTACAAGTTATTCTCTAGCCTCCAGCCCTGAGATTGATTGCTATTGACAAATTTTAGCCACTTAACCAGTCATTACGCTTAATTATTGAACACTTATTCAAATTGAGAGTTTGAGTGTGACACAGAGCAATTCTGTGGAAAATGACTTTCCTTTGTGGATGAATAATTACAAATGATATATAACAAACCCCTCAGAGATGATCTCAAGAGCCAAAGGCAATCTCTCATACAACCAGGCATTATTTACGTCTTCAATCAATTACACTGTTCCCATGGATAGATTGGGTATACAAACAAATTAGAGAGATATGCTATCTTATTGGACCGTTTACAAATGTAAGAAATGTCCATTGCTATTATCTCCATGTCGTCTCATCGCAAGGAATGACTGTATTTTATTCGTTTGATTACCCACAAACACTGGAAGGAATATCAAAGGCATCAGCGTGATATTCCTCAGTTATATACACGTCGTCGGAGTTATCAGCATTTATGCTAACTGCACATTTTGTCCATACATCAGTACATTAGAAGATGATAAATGATTGCTCAAAACGATACTGACTTGAAAGCTCACATGTGGAAGTTTTGATTGGAATTAATGACTTTTGCGGGGTATTTTGCAATTCTATTTCCAGATTCTTTCACATGACCAGATTTACAATACAACTGTTCAAAATAGGATTGGAAGATTAATCACACTGGAAAGATGAGTTTATAGCTGCAACGTTAATTTCTGTGCTTTCGAATGCAAAGTTATTAACCAAGTTGGATGATAAAAACAAAAGAAATGACTCTTAATTTCTGGTTTGGCATCTGATGAATCCAAGATCGAACTGCAAATAGCTTTTACAAAGTGAAAAATTCACCCTCCTGGAAGCAATCAAAATGCTGATAGCGCGAATGCTGATAATGCCTACGACATCTCTATAATAAGCACATGATGTTATTGTTGGCAGAGAAATGTTGTGGAAACTCAGAGGAATTTTCGATCTCACCTTTTCCCCTTTTGTCAGCTATTTGTCTTTCATTGAGGTTTGTCGTGCCGATTTCCACTCGAAATGGTATCTTAATATTGGCTGAAATTGCCAACGGCAGACCCCAGTTCGTTTCTGCAAAAGGAGGAGAAGAGCGAAAGACGAGGTGAGGTAATAATACTTGATAATTACGGAGTGAATCTAGGAATCTCATAAAATATCTATGCAAAAATATATCATTAAGTAACTCTTCACGTTGTCGAGCAGCACCTACTCATTAAGCTGCCATATATTTGCTTTGCTTTCTTGGAAGTTTGGAGAAACCCTGCTATAAATTTGCACCTACACGTTTTGTAGAGGGACGTTATTTATTCATTATATGTATAAAGAGTAACTTGGTTAAAGAGTGCGCTTTAATAAGTGGAATTTGAGGAACGTTCCTATGCTGCAGAGTTATTTTAATTACAAGTTTCAATTGCTTCGGAGCTTTTTTCTTTTAATAAAAGTTGGCAAATTATTTGAAAAGTTCGCGATGGAGTTGTATTTTGTGGTTGCTAAAGACTTTTGTTATACTCTTTGGCTCAGTTATAGCAATGAAACATAATTGAATTTCCACTATGATATAGAGTGAGAAACTCAAGTGTTGGAGAAGCAGTTTCAGAATCAATTGAATGAGATTATTAAGGAAGAAGAATTCTCACATTTCCTCACAACCACGAGGCACAATTTGAACTTATACGCAAATAAATTATAATATCACGCACTTCCTGCCACGCAAAGTTTATAAATTTGCGTGTAGGCAGAGAATGTATGAATTTGCGAATGGGCCTAAATGTGAAAAGATTCATTAAATATTTGACATTCTGTGTGTCTCTTAAGTTATTAACAATCTGCTGTGGAAATTATTTCATAATTTAATTACCCTCGAGCCTTACACGTTTTTGTTAAATTGCTTTCGAAATTTCATTGCGATAAAATATTTGTTTTCCATGGGAAATGAGGGAAAAAAGAGGTTGTTTCTGCTCTACAGCAATTTAACATCGATTTTATTTGATTTAAAAATTTATGGTTGATTTCAGGGTTTATCGATTATACGGTAAAGTGCGTGATTTAATCTTCAACTGCGAGCTTTCATGATATTTTCATGTTGTGGTAAATGATTATTACCTGAAGCAAAGATCACAGCCTCTGTCCAATTCAATTCCTGCGAAATGCTCTTCACCACGAACGATATTATCTCGTAAGAGGGCAGAAAGTTCTCGGTAAGCTGGAAAATAGGGGAATAATAATGTTTGTCATGAGAAGTGCCGCACAAGGATTCGCATAAATGCCATGCTATTTAGTTACTCAATTCCACACGGAAGGCCACACTTTTCAATGGCACATCTTAATGACTCCAGAAGCTGGGTAATTCAATTTCACTTGAAATCACTTGAAGTGCCACTTTGCTAGTCATTCCACCCAAATCCGCCCTTTGATGTCTGCACCGCACGGTTGGAATGTTGCCCACATGCGTCAAATTCTTACCTTCATTCTCGGACATGGCCAGAAGAGCACATCCTTGTTGTATGTCAGGGAGAATTGCTTGGCCATATCGCAATATCCAGCATCTCTCGTGTTGTTGTTGCTCAGCACAAAAACCAGCGTGGAGTAATTGTTATTCTCCAAATACTTCATGAGGGCGCTCAGACCTAATTTCCAAGAGGCGAATATAATTAAGGATGACGGATTTGCGTGGGGGAATAAAAATGAATTATGAAGAGATAAATTAATTTCACATGAATAAAAAGTTAAATGCTACATTGCCTACCATTGGCGGGCAAAAAATCCACCGTATTCACAGCGTGACCCTCGATGTCGAATATGTTGCGAAACTCACTGAACTGAAGGCGGACGTCGGTCGCATTGGTTTCATCTTGGAGCAGCACGAGGGTGGCGTTGCCCTTGCGCTGGTTAATGGTGGCGGATTGAGTGGTCGGGAGCGAGATGAGGAGGAGGACAGCCAGGAAGAGAAGACGACTGAGTCGACGGCGAAAGTCGTTCGGCTTCATGTGGATCTGTTTAGTGCATGTAGAAGAAACAGTCCCGCCGATTTATTTATATCACCATCGATGGACGTTTCTTTGCGGCGATCCCACTCAACACTCGACTGAGGATTCATTATCGCACAACCATGCCAGGATATCGCCACATCCTTCAGCACGCGGTGAGAGTCTTGGAAAAGACCAAAATTTGCATAGAATTAATCCGCTAATGACACTGCAAATAGACTATTCTGTGACAGAGAAGGGTGGGAATGAGATGAATAATTTTTGAGCACAGTTTCGGTGTGATATGAGCTAACTTTTCCACTAAATGAACGAGTTTTGTTTGTAAATTGAAGAATGAATTACACAATTAGACATCTATTTTGAGCCCAATTTACAGCTATAAAAGCAAAATCAATAGGTAATTTTATTGTGCTAAATTCACATTCATAGCTTGTTTTTGATACCATTTAAAATTAAGCCTTTTAGAAATCCTATATAATTTAGAATGGGTTTTAATTGTAAATTTGCTCATTTAATCCTACATTGAATATAAATTTACATGATTTTCTATGTAAAAACGCAATAGGTAGCTTTTATTCTTGTTTTTTTTCTCAGAATTGAGAAGCGTTTGTGAAAAGATCGATGGTCAGAACAAGCACTTTCTGTCCTTCAAACCCTATTACAAAGGAGCTTTTGGGGATTACTTTGAGAATTGCATACTTCAATTTTATTTTACCGTTTGCAATAGTTTATTGGTAAGTCTGTTCAATTCTAACATGTATTCCACACTGGTGATGCAAATTTCAGTCGTAAAATTAAGCAATTTCGGGAAAGAACACAAAAAATTCCGAGCGCAATTTCTCAAATTCTTCTAAATTTCATTCTTGTGTTGATAAAATTCATCATTGAATTCATCACTGACATTTAATGGTGAGCTTTCTGGGTGAAAATCTTTTTTACATTGCTCAAAGATCCTCTCCTAAGCCTCTTTACAAACATGATTTATTTATTTCAATTAATAAAAGAAGTCTCACAATCTTCAGCGAAATCATAAATCTATTTTATTAAATTCTCCGCACAGTAATTAGAATTTTACTAAAGTCGAAAACCACCCCCTGGGCAGCATTACAACGTATCTCAAGCTCTCTGGCTTTGCAGAAAAACCAGCGCGAGGATGTAAATGAAAAGGCAAAAAATGATTTATGCATAAGAAATATAATTGCTATGTACTTCGTCGTCAGTTGAAGCTATAAAAAGTAAATTATATTCTGGGGTGCTTCAACTCAAGTGAAAGTCGCTGGCGATTGATATCAGTTTAAATGAAGACCAGAGCTTAAAAATTTACCGTGAAGACCGTGAATAATGTGATTTTCATCTTCTTAAAGTGCCTAGTAAATGATGCTGTCATTCGTGAAATGTTGAAAAAATTAAAGATTCATCAACTCTATATATTCATAACGACACGAGACGAAATTGAGTGATACCCGAGAGACTTTTGAATGGAGCTGCGCGTATTTGACGGGAAGTGAATGGATGTGAAATCACAGAACGTTTGTCATGGCTAAAACCGAAATTCGGGATCAATATTATGTTTCATGGATGGATTTTGCGAAATATAACCACATAAATTTTGTGTTTAGGGCAAAAGTCAATTGATTGTGATTTTGCCCTTGTCGGCGCACAGCGAAATTGGCCAATGAAGGGTTGGCAAGGATGAATGGGGGATTTCTTGAAAGTGAAGAATGAGAAATTGCATATTTATGGAAATATGAATTTCTGACGATGTTTGTCAACTTGTGACATCGTTGACATTTTTCCCCTTTTTCCCAACCGCATATCATTCTGGGTATTATCAACAACGCATAAAGCATTCTCTCGTTGAATTCTTGGAAGTGCTCAAAAACTGTGTCAAAGATACTGGAGAATTTAAAGTGAGTGTGCTTCACTTAATGGTAAATTACAACCATCGCGATGTCACATTTCTCCCTCCAAATTGCACCCTTTTTCGCATTTTTCTTCAAATTATCCTCTTCCGGTGACTTTTCCCGTGAAATTTCTTCCCACGCTTGAAAGTTAGCATATTTCGGTAGTCGTTTAACAGATTGAGCGCACACCATTAATGGTAATAATTCATATTTCCCACACACGAGAACGAAAACTTCCTGAAAACCCCAACAAAGTTATTCTGTGTTGCATCAAATTTCACTCTGAAATTGAATTTCATGCCTCAAGAACACAACTTTTTCTATTAGTCTGTCTAAAGGGATTTGCCAACATTAGTGAGAGATCTTCACTTTTGAATTTGCACACTTCTGCGTGCCATCGCCACCAGTCGTCCGTCAACACGTCCTCACAGTTTCGAAAGTGAAATAGCATATTTTCTGTGTGGAAAAAAGTGTACCAACTTGACTACGTGTCGAGACTTTTAATATTGCTCTGTCGCTGTAATTCACACTATCGCCCGATCTCGTTCCTTTTCCGCGCTGACACTTTATTGTGACGGCGCAAATCTCGAATTTATATCAGGCAGAAAATGCGCCCCATTCTGCCCATGAATCACAATACAAATTGCAAGAATTTATTTCAAATTCGATGGAATTCATTGACAGTGAATTGCGGAGGAGTGCTTTTCACGAAAAGTTAGGGTTATAAAGCGATGCCCTTTGGAGAAGATGGAGTCAATTTTTGGGTTGAGAACGTTGAAAAGGAATTCAGCGACAGCTTGTCGTTATATATAGTCAGCGAGTGAAATACAATTCACAGATTTGCCCCCCTTTTTGAACTTTGAAAAAGCCTTTTTATCTCTCGTCCTATAATTTTCCATTCAATTGACTCCTTTCGTCCACGTATTCGTGTTTACTGGTGCGTTTGCGAAAAGGTGTCCCGTATACACTTGTGTCTCTGTGCGTACGCTCGCCTGAATAGTGTGTGCCATTCCATCATAATGACGAGGGCCTCGGAAAATGTCCATCTTCTGGGCTAAAGCCATTGCATTCAGCAGTCGGAAGCGCCATTAGACGCATGAGGATACTGAGGAGGAAGAAATAATGATGTATCACGACAGCGCCTCTGTTTCAGGGAATTCCACAAGAAAAGCTCCCTCAGGCAAATAGAAACGATAACAATGGAATTGTGCAGAGTGTAGACAAACTCTGGGAAAAAGGTTAATCAGGATAATACAATTTTTGTGTTAATACCTGAAGACATTCTATGTCAAACTAGAGAAATTCATCCATTAGAGGTTTGCTTTGCAAAGAACCCAAAGGGTGTTTGGCTAGATCTTCGGATTATATAGGACTTTAGCGGACTCAGATTCCACACTAACCTTATTCCATGTAAAATAATCAATCTTGCAAAGAAGTTCATGTAAAAAAACGTTTTACTTTACAATGTATTCAATGATAAATTCTGAAATTTCTGCCGATATCTGACTGAAAAATATAATTCGGTAGAATTTTTTCCATTAACTTCTCTAAAATATAGTGAGAATTTAAATTCTGAGCGTTACTAAAAAAATACTTCAGCAAAGAAAGCGAAATGAATAGAAACTGAGAGAGAAATATAATAAAATGTTAGCCTCGCAAGTCAGACTATACAAAAATTCCACACAGAATTGGTGTCAGAAGTGAACAGATCCTGCATTACCCACTTATTTTCAGGACTTGTCAATATCCTCAGCGCCCAACTTTTCTCTCAGAAAGTTCAGCAAATTGTTCTGCACACCATTCTACCTTTATATCTATGAGATGTACCACAATTGATGTGATATTTGATATATCGACATTTCGGGAGTATTGACAGTTCATGGCTTTATTTATTTTGCTGTGAGAAAGACAAGCAATCTCATCGAGTATCGCATGTATACTTGAAGAATTTTCTCACTAATTCTTCGTTATATGTTCGCCTTTTCGAAAGACTGAAAACATCGAACATGACACTCCAAAAGTTGACTTTTTTCCTCCTTCGCGCTGGCAACTTTGCGCCACCCTCTCGCTCTCGTCGTCGCGTGAACACCCCCGATAAAGGTATGACAAAATGACCAAACGCAATTTATTTGTCGCCCTCGCATGCGGCACATATGCTCCATATGTATTAAATATGTAGTCGCACGTTCGCTCCTCTTCACATCTTACGACTCCACATGCTTGTTTTATTAGCCACCCACCGGCGGGCGGCGGGTGGGGTGAACGCTTTCCGTGGGCAAGGGATGACGAAGATTTCAGGTGATGCACTCCGTCTGAGTGTCTGGGCTTCCTCTCACTGATTATATCGATTAGTTTATTGTGCGATATACGAAAATAGATGTTGGCTGGAGAGGCTCGTAAAGCGCGCGCTGCGAAAAATCTATATAGCGCATATAAAACTTAGTTCGTGGCCGCAAATATACGGCAAAATATCGGCCTGGGACGCCACATCTTCCCCAACCACGCCAAGGAGGATCGTAGAGACAAGGTCAGCACAGGAAGCGAACCTGTAGTAATGTAATTGTTCCACCCATTTATGAATTATATATACCATAAACGCCACGAGCATTCATATTCGCAATTGTTGCATAACAAATTGCGCAATGATATATACAATTCATGTGCTTTTTACACCGCAGAAGCAGAACAGAAACTCCCCGTCGTCTTATCGCGATTGCAATCTGGCGAATCAATAAAATTGCAAAATGTTACCAAATTCAAATTGCCAGTAATGGAGATTGCAATCAATCAATATTTGCAATATCCGATTTCCGCCTTGTCTATCTCATCTCAATTACATTATCTGGCGTTATTCCATAAATATTTCCACTTCCTCCACACAAAATGCTGCAAATTCACGCTGAATCTCTTTAAGATTATACGATTTCGACATTTATTGAGCGCTCTCGAGAATACCAAGCGCTGCATTGGCATTTATGACGTGATAAGGGTGATAATTATTGATGTTCACACGGTAATTGGAATATTATCGTTTTTAAATATTGGTATAATCAGGTGAAATAAAATAAATGCGTGTTTTTACAAACAATTACCTTGACAATTACTGAGCATAAACTGGTATATATTATTCTAATGAGTAAATGAAAATTCCCACTGCAAATTATTTAATCGATTTCTGTTTGGCAAAAATACCACTCGTGGTCTCATTTGGTGAATATTATTTTTAAATTCACTGTAATTATATCGCTGATTTTTCGACATTGCAGAGCTTACAGAGTTGACAAAAATTACCCATAAATTGGTGACACGTTTTTTTTCAGAGTGTTCATTATTATTCGTGAAAAATTCCCTTTTTTGAATTGAATTATTGAAGTGTAAGGTATTTAATTTGTCACCATAAGAATCTTCCTCAGCAGCATCTTAGCTATAGTGAAACTTTTCTTAAGCACTCGAGCGTTTGAAGCATAAATTCAACTCACGTTTCCTGAATGATGACGATTGCAATTAATGCATGAGAATTATATCTAATTACATATCATTGGCCAGAGAATTTTCTTCCTTGTTACATTAATGAGAAAGTCATTTAAAATCAAGTTACGTTTAGACTTTTCTGAGATTATTTTTCAAAACTGACCTCAAGTGCGCTAGAAATTCAATTTGCCCACATTCTGGTGGCGGAAAATCCCATTTGGCCAAATTGGGAAAGTGTGGAAATGGACTAGTCACTTTCCTGATGAAATAATGTGTTGATAAGCGTATAAAAATAATCCTGTCCGTCCATCTCGTTCGTGGCAATTGAGAGATGGCCGTATAAGCAAAGACTGATGAATGTGTGGTGCAATTTACTGAAACACAATTAATTTCGCTGGATTCTCTCTCCTCTCCTGACTAGGATTTGCCCGCAGAGTGAGACTTTTTAATTAAATCCTTGGCAATGGCGCGCGATGTGCACAGAGTGGCTCGAATTGATGTCTGGAGGAGTGATTTTGAGGAGCCAATTGGCACATGACAAGATTATTAATTTGCAGAGTCAACGCAAAAATCGCAATCTCTGCCATTGGCACGAGTCATAATGAGTGTAATGCGGTGCTGAATTCTCCACTCAATCCTCCGTACTTTGCGACTCTTGTTCATAAATCACTCTTTGCCGACAAGACGCGCGCCTTGTATTACCTTTATTCTTGCCATCGCTAGTCACTTTGCTGCTCATTGTTTTGCTTTTTATGTACACAGAGAGTTTTGGGGCGGGAAAACGGCAAGCTTGAACCCACGGAATCAGGAGGAAACAAACTTCAATTCAATAACTCCACGGCAAGACCAACAAAACAAAATCGATAATTGTTTTATACGAGTGTCTCTTGTGAGTGTGTGTAAATGCTTGTCTTGCTCCGGGGACGATTTTGGGGGGATGAAGAGTGGCAGCCAGCGAAAAAAGAGGAGCGACAATTGTCTTAAAACTTTGTAGGCGGGCTGGGAAGTCTCCCTGCTGATGGTGTGGGACGAAAAGTCTTGAGATGTGTTGTTCATTTGCGGGGAAAACAAGCCCCCTTAAGGACTTGATATTTACACCGAAAAGCCAGCTTCTTACAGGCTACAAAGTGCCGTAGAAGTTTTCTTCTGGCCCCTCTGAAAATTAATTGATGACTTCGGGATGCTTCTTACCGCATAAAGTGACGAAGATGTGGTGTCAATACACTGCGAGCCGAGATTGAAGGTGTGTGTGCGCGTGTAGAGGAAAATTCCAGCTGAGATGACACGAGGAGAGATGGTCCAATAGTCCGTCAATTTGCCTAATGAGCACGTACAGGACACCCTCTCACACTATCGCCTCATTATTCAATCACTCACGGAACTAACACAGAACTAAGAGGCACCCTTGCGGACCTGGGAAATTCACACTCTGCTGGCAGGGTAGCGGGGAAAATCTGTGCTTTGCACCATTTCTCGCTCCCCCGCAAAAATCCGCGTATATTTTCACTCGATTTTCCCCCTTTGTGCACACACGATAAACAGCGATGGCGATACGCCCGAGGGACACCTTTTCGGCTGACTGCAGACTTGTGTGCTCTTGTGCAAATTGTGGGGCTGAGGACGCGCGCGCCAGAGAGCTTTCGTGCTGACCGAATCGCTTAAAGTCTTCCTCTCGACTGATGGATGGATTGATAATGTGTGCGCCTTCGGGAGTGAATGGAGACGAGCGCCGCTTCGCAGCATCCCACGAGCGGCGCCCGACAGGACGCCGAGGGCGACCAACCGGCAGAGAAGGGGTTTTCCGTCCCCCGCCATCGTGGACAAACATATAAATTACACTTGATGCCCGACCGTGGTGCGTTCAGGGAATCTGGAAGAGAAGGACAATTAAAAAGCACCCACAAGAGTGACTCTAAGCACATCAAATCCCTCAGTCAAGGGAAATGCCACAGTAATTGGTCGCAGCGCGCCTTCCCCTCCGGAAGTTGTCGCGGAGGGAGCTTTCGCGTGTCTCGGCCAAAAGCTCTCCGCGTCGCCAGTGGCGCCGGCGAGATGGCGGCCGAGCTTTCGCAACGGATTCACACACACGCATGCATGAGGACCATTTTATTTATTTCAAGAGATATTTCACTGAACAAACTAATGCTACACACAGATTTATCAATCAGTACATCAGATTTTGCCAATAAACGACGAGAGAAAATGAGGGCGGAAGCATAAGTCACGCTCTCAAAGGGATTCCCATTTAATCTTCCGTGTATTCAAACGGCTCTGGTGCCTCAGGCTCTTTCACCTCTTCATTCTTCGGCCCAAAGGCAGCCACGGGCTCAACCAGAACTTGTTCGGTCTTTGCAGTGTGTTGCATCATGATAATTCCACCAATGGTCACATCCTTCAGCGGCACGTAGTTCTGCGCTTCGGCCACACTGATAACCTGAAATAAAGGCACATGATTACTCTTCAAGCTCGTCAACATCACAGCAAATTGATTAGTGCCAATACGCAGTGGCGCAGCAAAATAGACGCAGTCAAAAGCAGGTCAATAGGCAAAGGGAAAACACTAATCTAATCATTCTCTTTAGTCACTTTTACACCACATCCCAATTTCAGCGTGGAATTTCACGGACGCCATTATCTACTGAGGATTAAAATATAGTGCAGAATTTTTTTTGAGCATGCCAAAAAAGCTTTAGAACTGGGCGAAAATCAAGGAATGTTCACAAATGATTTTTTACAACACAACAACATCCTACTGAACTAACAATTTAAAATTTCCTTCCTACGCCACTGCTGATTAATACCAAGAACAGACTTTCCCACCATATTTCATTTCAATTAAAAGAAATTCCCTCAGACTGTGGCTATTAAAGTGAAAATTCACGAGAGGCTTTCCTTAATTCAACGCTCTGGTCTTTCTAAAAGGTCTGCTGACAGAAAGGATTACCCGGCTTGGAATGGGCTGATAAATCTGACTGAATGCAAGGCAAGAGAATGGTCATGTGCTCTGAAAACATACCCAACACTTCTCGGCTGGTCAATGTTTTCTTTCTAAATGAATAATTTAAAGTTTGCGGATGTGATTTTTGCCTTTCTTCCTTTTGTTTACAAGAAGGATTTCACGAAGGCAGAACGACACGTGTTCGCAAAGCTTAAGGGTTAAAAGTATGAGATAAATTCTTTATCCCTTCATTTGCCATCACTTCTCCTTTGATATTTTCCTCAGCATGTGAGAGCTTTGTGTAAATTTTCTTATAGTTTGACAGGTTTTCATGCTCATTAAGACCTATAAAGTTTCGAAAGCATCTTAAGGTGTCCAGAACAATGACTTGGGTACTCATTAAAACTGAGTTGAGAGTGGTGAGAAGTTTTGACATAAACGCATTTCAGATATTCTCATTTCAAAACTTCATTTGTGCATGTGATTTTCTATTGAAGTCTCTCACAATCGTCAGTACATTTGACAGAAACTCTCTAAAATCCTCTAATTTAATTAAAATACAGTGAATGAACTAAATTAATTAAGCAACCATTCTTAAGAGCCAGTGATTCTTGACACACCACAAAATTTTGTCATTTGTGGAAAAGGGAAGTTGGAAAATTTACTGGCTGAGATTTGTGGCTTTTGGCCCAAAAGGTCAGTTCAGCACTATGTGATGTGCATGAATTTCCAAGCATTTGCAACAGCAAAAATACATGCTTTGCCAGAATTCAAGCACAATTTATCCCAAAATCTGTGATAAGACACGTATTGATGATGTCTCTCGAGCCATTATGGCTTGCAATAAAATAAAACTTAATATTTTGCCTCAACTAAGAAAACTTTTTCCAAGATAAAAATCATATATGGATGGGAAACCTTCAATTGCTGACGAAGAATCCTCGCTGGATTTTGCAGTATTTCGAAATTGGGTTCAGCTTCCTTCTTTTCACGTGTTGCCTCCTTCTCCTTCTCCTTCGACTCCGTTTCCGCTGAATCGTCCTTCTTGGCAGAAGGTGCCCCTGTAAACACACGGAGAAACAACAGTGAGAATAAATAAAACAACACACAAGAGAGGCTTTTTTTTAAAAGAAACAGGGCGCACATACAGAGAGGAGTGTCCCTTTAATAAATCAACCATTACCGGATGATGCTGAGGATTTCTTATCCTGCTTCTCCTTCTTCTCCTCCTTGGCTTTTTCCTCCTTCGCCGGTTTGTCCTCCTCCATTTTCGTCACTTTCTCCTCATCCTTGCCGGCCGCCAGGACATCCTCGTCCACCTCCATCTTCTCGTCATCTTTCTTATCTGCCGTCTCACGGCGCTTCTGTCGCGCTGCAATTGACAGCACAGCGGTGGCCACCTTCTCTCGCTCCTCCGCCTTCTTCTCCTCCAGCGGTGCCGGATAGGCGTACAACGAGGGACGCGCCGCAGACTTCAACTCCAATTTGGGCATCTATATTGGGGACAAATTGCTCATTAAGACTGTGCGGCTGAGACAGTGACCGAAAAACCCACCTTCAAGTCCGAGTTCAGGGCAATCAAGCACGTGGGGCTAAAGGCCAGCGAAAGACAGTGCGCCAGCGGGAACCAATACCAGTAATTGGTGAACACCAGCATCCCCACAACGGCCTGCAGATTCGTGTGTCCCGTGCGCGATTGCAGGCTCACCGTAACATTCCGGCCGCCGGCATCGATGATTCCCTGGGCTAGGATGGCGCCGTACTTTGCCATCACATCCTCGTGCTTGTTCGTTATCACCTCCGCGTAGAGTTGACGGAAGAAGCTCGTCTTGGGGCACGTTTGATCAGTGTGTTGAATCAAAATCATGGCTGAAGCAATCTACAGAATGAAAAGAAGACACAATTCACAATCTGCTGCACAGCAAACAGAACCATTTTTAATAGATATAATACACTCACCAGAGCGCCTTGGCGCACAAAGTTAACCGGATCAAATTTAACCATCGGCTCCAGCAGAGCAATTGCCTCCCTCAATCCAGTTCCAGCACAAGCAATTCCAAGGGCCATTGCCGCACCATAGCGCACATGGGGATTGTAAGATTCCGCAAGGAGAGACACAACAGAAGGGCATTGTTCCGGTGTGCTGCAAAGGAAAAACAATAAAGAGCAATTAGACATGGTTTTTTCCTTCCCTTAACACTAGATTTTCCACTGCAAATCATTTTTATTTATTCCTCGAATTTTTGAGTGTTTCTAGATGGACAATTCAAAGGGTCGGAGCGTAATATTTCACTATTTATCTTAATTATTATTACACACCTAATGACAATGAAATTCGAACCAAAGTGTCCACAAGGTGATAAGCAGAGATAGTATTCAAAAATTGCCTTAATGTTTATTATAACTATTTAAATCTACAATCTTCGTACAAAAAATCCAAAAATGCTCGAGCACAATTGCAATTCTGTTTCAACTTTCAATAAAAGATACATCTTTTAATTGAAAAAAAATCCACAGATCTCAGAAAAGTGAGATTGTGAAGAAACTTTTAAATACGAATTCAATTTTTGCGCTACAATCCAATTCTATGCACTTTCATGGAACGCTCAGAACTTCAACAAAAGTTTCTACAAATCAACTTTCATAAGACAAAACTCATTTGTTCTTTTCAAAGATTAAAAAAAAACACTTCTTTCGTGCTTCCTTCAGTCAATCACTTAATCAGTCAAGTTTGTGTGAGTTAAACGCACGAAGAGGATATTTTCGTGTAAAAACACTACAAATCGTTCACTTTTATACTGTCAAATTAACGCATTCCCAGAGAGATTTGTAAATAGAAATTGACTTTGAATGACAATGAAAAGTTGTCAGTTAATGCTGATTGTATGTCTTTTCGCACTCATGGTATAAATAGTGTTAAGCGAGCAATTTACCTACAAATAGATAGAAAATAAGTATGATAATGCTCCGAAGAGATTCAAATGCACAAATCGCTTCTAATTGTTTTATTTTCCAACAAGTTATCGGAAACTGAATATTACGGCATTCTGCCACAAACTGCAAGGACCTTTTAGTTGATGGATTTTGTTCAAGGATGATAAATATATCCGGATTGAACATGCACACAACATAATGTCTTACTGACAATCACTTTGTCACTTAATCGGGTGATAAGGAAGGTATTATGAAACTCAAATCTATTGAGAAGGCTGTCATATGCAGCTGGTGTTCCTGCAAACTGAAGTTATCTAATAAATTTCGCATCTCCCATAATCTTTCATGTGTGCTGGTGCTTAAATAATCGCACTTTGTGCAATTGACAATTAATCCTAATTCTTTATGAAGAAAATGCGGTCATTGACAGGAAAAGGGGGAAAAAGTAATTAACACAAACTGAAAAATATGAAAAACCACGAGAGAAAATTGAAAGAAGAGCAAATCCAAGCGAAGTATTTTATACATAGCACTATATAATGAAAAATCCTTTTCAACACTGCGCCTCTTGTTTATATAAAGTCGTGTGAATGAGCACAGTTTGTCTCTATCTAGGAAATAAATGTCTTCAACAGCCATAATCCAGGGTGAATCGCACTAAAACCCATTTCAGCAGCATCTTTGTCAAACGAATACTTAATTTGAGAGAGTGTAAAAAGCTAAACACCGAAGCCTCCCAGTTGAGTTGACTAGGAAATGAATTTAAAACATAAATTCCCACTTATTTACCACTTTGTCCCAATACAGTGACACACGCAGTATCATTGAGAGCGAGAGAGGATACAAAACACGAGGGTTTTATCATACCAATGGACAATCCCTGGGTTTCTATACGGGCGTCATAGTGAGATTATATGGCAATTTTCACGTTTGTACCTATACACATGAATATTTACTGGCGGAATTTTGCCCCAAAAACACAAAACCCCCTCTTTTCCATCCCCTCAGATCAAAGAAGTTCTGCGCTCGGCAACTTGGGACTTTATTAAATGATATCCACAGTGATGCCATGGAAATCCTACAAATAAAATATACTTTTAGGTATCTCACTGGACTATATAATTAAAGATAAAGTCACATAATTAAAATCATGGATTTCCAGATGGAGAACATTCTGAAATATTACCGCGCGCGCTTTGATCCCTCAGACCCTTAAATATAATACCCCATAAGAACATCTGTCCATTATGTGTAGAACATTTTCTTTTCACTCTCCCGTTAAACATGCGTTCGGAATTGTGTACAAAAGAAATTTTTGCTGACATTGAAAAATAGATTCCGGTAAAGTGTATAACGAATGGAATTCATGCGTAATATTTCGGAAAATCATTCGCATTATTTCATTCTCTCCTCTTTTCTCAAATGGGTGAAAAGCAAAAAAAAAACCAACATAAATATTTCATGACTATATAGGATAAGGGTATATGAAAATGATGAAAATACTAGCATACAAATTGCTCATCAAGGAAATTAAGATAAAATGTAAACAGAGGAAAAAAGACTTCCCTTCTTTTATTTACATTTTCTCACAGATTCACCATTTAATTGCTATATAATTTATATACCTACCTAGTCATATATAACAATAATGTATAAAAAGGATGTAAATTATTACACAACTCTGGTCAGCGCCACTTCTATTCAGTCATAATCGTTTATTAGTTCAAGAAAAATATTTAGCTAATGATTTAAATTATAAAGCCAATACATTTCCCTCACTGATTCACGCGTTTGCAAGATGTATTCAGAAATGTTTTGCTATATACTCAAGAATTTTCTAATTAGCTACTTAATGACCGAAAACGAAAATACTAATGAACTAATTAAAAAGCTGTCTCTTTGAAGGACACCTTAGGTCACCCCTTAACCAAACTCTTCAGTGCGTAAAAATAATCATAAGGTTTTTATAGAAAGCGAAAGACAAAATGTACGATTTCGCACGACATTTGTGAGACGTGATAGGCAAATATTTCCGAGCATTCTATCGCATAGAAACACGTGAACGTGAACATCTTTTTCCGCAGCTCATTAAATGTATATTTGTACATGAAGTGAAGACAAAATAGGACAATATGTGTTCCCTAGAACACCGTTGGACAAATAATGCAGAAACTGGTGGTTGTTTTTATATTTATCATCTCTACAATATCAAGTTTATTTTTCTATATTAAAAGGAAATACTGTGAAATTGCATTGCATACTGTTTATAGGGAAAATACTGCTTCTACAATTTAATTAATTGAAATGAATATACAAGTAAATATGTGTAATTGAATAAAAGTTCCCACTCACACTAATTAATACATATATACCAAAAATTATATCCAGAACCAAAAGCAATGTAGCACTGAAATTTCCAATTTGAATAAAAATGAGGCACGAAATAAATTTTACGTGTTATTTTTTGCTACGCTAAAGATATAACTTATAATTGAGCATGATAATGTAAGAAAAACTATAAAATTTCATCAATATGATAGGTGCCAAGCTTATAATGATTATGTACAAAAGAGAAGGTCAAGCAGTTGCCGTTCTTCCATGAAGCGCGACATTGGCAAAAAAAGCCTCAATAGCCCAGAGAAGAGCTTCTAAACGCAGAGTTCCAGTGAATTGTTTGTCTATGAAAAGTCACCGAGCGCTTTCATGTCGATAAAGTGGTTCATGAAATTCTTCAAAGATGCAATAATATCGTCATTTTCTACATAATAAAATATTCACGAAATTGTACATCTGACAAATCTCACGAATTGTCAAATAAATTTCACCTCCTGTCCAAAGTTTTGGCATTGAGCTATGTTGAAGTTTGACGGCGAGGAAAGGGTGAGAATCGCGAGAGAAATTTGGAGCACGAATTCCTCACAGAAGCCTTTGAGGCACACAATAAATTCATGAGAGTCTTGAAGTGTTTTCTTGAATTACACCAAAAACTTTATAAAAGTATGCACAAATTATACTCTCCACAGCAGTATAGTGTCTAGTTATACCATTTCCCAATTAAGAAATCTTCATCCTCTCACTCGATACATAAAGAATGTGATTTGTGTTCTAATTTCAGTGATTAATCTTGAAAATATTGTAAAACTGTAATTAAAAGTAGATACAGCCATATAAGAAAGTAATTATACTTTTACCATAATTGAACAGATGTGTATTTTAGGAACGTGAATAATGTGTAATAAAAGCTAATTACATTTACGTGTGATAGACAACACAACTTATGAGGAAATAGTTTTCCAACTAACATTAACACAATTTGTCGTGTTGAGTTTGCAATAATTGTAATATGATTTTCCAGATTCAACGTTTTGCAAAACATTCACAGCTTTTGGCTATGCGAAGAATTATGCGACTCAGAAGTTATCACTACACAAATTCTCTTTGTTGGCCAATGTGATTTGTATGTGAACATATCTGAAGTTTCAGCATTTCGCATCTTTGAATTCATACCTCTAACAATTTTCCCTTAATATCTACATCAATTTTATTTCCGTCTGACTTTTTCCTCACAGTGCAATTTGGGGAACAAGGGAAACCCCTCGTCATATTTCTTACGAAGCGCCATATCCGAGGCCTCAGGGCCCAAAACTCGAATCGCGTATTATTGAATTCCTAAAAATATTAGGGTTTTTTTTATGTATTAAACTTGAAAAGAAAACACATATACACACAAGAATAGAAACAAATAGAAAGGCTGGTAAACAAAGAGTCTCATTTGGACACATGTCCAAGATAAACATTGATGATTTGATCTGTTTTCTTTTTATATATTCGTTTAAATATACCCAAAAGACTTTTTCTCCACTTTTTTTTTCTCTTTTCCTCAATTTTCTCAGTGAAGAAAGTGAGCGAATAAATGTAAAAGCATTCACGTCACTTTGCTAACGTTTAAAGGTGCAAAAAATGACATTCCGTGGCGAAAGCTCACATAGAGAAAGGCAGGTTACTTTAGATGAAGCGACAAATATTTTCTTTACAACATGATACATATTTTGTGCACAATATTGCAATATCACATTAAAACATTGTTTTAATCCATAGCGGCTGATCTATCTTTGACATTCACATTTTTATCGCCTCTTTTTAGTATCTTTCACCTGGAAACTCTCTCCGAAAAATGACAAAGACAGAATTTCGCAATTTCCTCCCACATTGCGGAGTGCATTGACGCCACTTCATCATCTGCGCTGAAATGCCGACAGCGTCCTTTTGTTTTCAAAAATGTGCAGATACAATTCTTACATCTCAACCATTAATGCCGTCACTCGTTGTTTGATACCTGTCATGTACACATTGGCATTCTAATTGATATAAATTGTGTTAATAATGGAAATTTGAAAACACTTTGAAATGGAAATACAATGGAGAATACAAGTAATATTCTCTCCCTCGTGGAAAATGTGTCTTCCACAGAAAATTGACTTTCAGGCATATTTTCCATAAAATCGACAAATGAATAATAGCCCCAGACATTCTCTTTATGTGTGTGTGTGTGTGTGTCTCTTAAAAATTTTTACCAAGTCACGTTTTTCTTTTCATCTTTTACATTGTGAGCTTCTGTCACATAATAATAAGAATTTGTTGCTCCACACGAACGTAACAGCCAAAGTGCGGTATGATGGAGAGTCATCCAATAGGTGAAGACGTTTACAAAGTATTATCGCTCAGAAAGTAATTAATTGCTGTGTGCTATATTCTTTTCTATCGCTCACCTCCACGCTTAATCTCATTAATTAGACATTGCCTGGCAAAATTCATCATTTTCCACGGATGATTAGGGCAATTTTAAAAATTAATGCGATCCGCAATGAATTTTCCTTATCGCCCTATTAATTCTTCATGCCTTTTTTCGGCAATAGCAGGAAATTGAGTGCACGCTTCAGGAAAAATAATATTGTCCTTAAATATCCAATTCCAACAATAAAGGAATTAAATCAATGTGCCAAATAATTTCCTAAGGGCCACAAAACACAGTTAACAACTTTGTATCGCAATTGCAAAATTAGATTCTAGGCTAAAATGTATGAATTTAATTTTCTAGGCATATTTTTGCACTGTTGACGAGGCAAAAGAGTAAATTTGCTTCTCTGTGCTCTTGTATTGGCGCGCATACTCCTTCTGCTCATGTGTATTCAGCCTCCGTCCACTTGGCGGAGACAAATGCTTCACATCACCTCATCGCGAGCTTTGAGAAATCTCTCAAGTCAGTCGTCAATTCGAATTCGTCAGTATCGCACCAACGCGCGGAACATTCTCAATTATACAAGTACTTTGTGAATTTAACACCGTGTGTGCAACGCGTGTGACACTCTTACGCCCGTGAGAAGCATATTTTCACCTCCATTTTTCAAGGAAGAGGTGAAACTAAATTAAATTTTCTCTCGGTGTTAACAATCTGACTTAGGAATGTGAAGAGAAACACTTAAACTGGATGTAACAGTGCAAAATAAAGCAGAGGGAAAAGGCCAAAAAAGGAATTTGTGTGCAATTCGATAAAAAGAATATAGAAAAGAGAGACTTTGAGCGCGAGATATCAAAAGTGTGTTCATTAAATTGAATTGATAGACTTTGGGAAAAGTCACATAAAACGAGAGTGAAAATTCTTTTGCCGAAAGTGAGTTGGAGAATATATAGAGCACACAAACAAAATAACAGTTCATTCCTTCTGAAACATAAATCCTAAAATATCACCCAGAAACCAACCCCCAAAACATTTTCATTCCTCCTTCTTTAGTGCTGAAACACACACACACACAATCTTATCTCTTCTTGCTTTCAACCATCCACTATCCAATGCCTAGTATAAGCATTTAGAGATTATCAAGATTAACTTGTGCGTAACTTGTACAGTGAACACGCGGTCATGAATTTACATTTTGTACATTTCAATCACACATCAGTTGAGGCAAGAGTGTCGGAAAAGCCTTTGAAAGTCTCAATATAGAGACAAACAAAATGTAGAGGACACTTTTTTCTTGTTTGGAAAACCACACACGACCAAAAACAACCCAGCAATATCAGAATAAATATCGTAATTTTCAAAAAGTCCGTTCACAAAAAACCTCCCTCATGCCGCTCCAAGCACACTCGACTATTTATAGACAGACAATTTTTTTTTTTACCAATTCTCAAGTGTCATAAATCATAACCAGAAGCTTTTGCAGGAACCAAAGTACAAATGAAGATAACGTAAATGCGTGTGTGTCATCAATTACGGAGTTTGTCAATTATTTACTCGATGATTTGTCAGTCAAAAACCCAGACTTTAATGCTTGATGAAACACGTCCATTGACACTCATTCACGCAAGTGAGAAAAAAGGAACTCTATAATATTTCATTTGGCACAATTAAAAAGAAAAATCTATTGTGCCTCTGCACATACAATCTAGTCTAAGGCACTTCACGCGGATTCCATTCAAAATTACGTGTCGACGAAGACGTGCTGAAAATGACCAAACATTTAAACAAGTCTGAAATTTTTTGAGGATAGACATAATGTGCAGACAGACAGACTATATCTCTCCTTATGATGTACAAGAGCATCTTCATCACTTTTTTCCCCATTCTGTATACCTATTGAACTATTTTTACACACAGTAAATGGATTTTTGTTATGAACATTATTATCTTACATATTTATAATTGATGAAGTATTTATGGTTTCATTAATGTCATGCCACAGTTATGCTGAAAAAAAAATCTCGCGATAGTTAACAGTGAAAGATTTATCCAAACAGAAGGAAGTGCGTGCATAAAAGATTTGTGGAAATTGAGAAATTCTACTCATTTATTTTCCTACTCATTAAAAAATTCCATTAGGCGTCCCTATTCTTGAGTAATATCCCGTACGTCTGGAGGAAATCAATTTCACTGTTGCCCTTTGCTTGCCTTTATGTAAAATTAACTAACCTTCATTAAACATAATGATTCTTCTGCCCCAAATATTCATTTATTATTCAACACATATACCTTAACTTACATTTCGCTTGTAAATGCAGACAAGCCTAATTGAATTTACTACAAAAAAATAACCCAGAGACTACGAGTCGTCTCTAAATATGATGAAGATGAATTTAATTTCATTACCATATTCTTTTCTTCTAGAGGTCTTATAATATATTCTTGTACATATCATTATGGAGCAAATAATATGGAAACGTGAAGCGTTTTCATTCTCTAGAGTAAATATTTTCAATAAAAATAAATAACAGATGGTTTTGTCTCGACATTTTCGGTTGAACATCAAGTATTTCACTACTGTAAAATACACATACGCACATCTTCGCATATCTTCATTTATTCCACAGAACTGTAATTCCCTGAAATCCCTAGTCAATTTGTCGACATCATATCCAGTAATAAGTCTGATATATCGAACAACTGTTGCACTCTCAACTCAATATATTGGCCAATTTGGTGATGACATGATTCCTCTGGCTTCTTCTCTGACCAAATTGCTGCCGAGCGAGAGTTGCAATGCTTTTTTTTCCACGAAAAGTCACTAAAATTTGCATATCCATTGCATAAAAGAGGAAATAGCTTTTCCAGCAATTTCAAAGCGAAAGTTATCAGAATACGAGTTTGAGTTATGGCTTCGAATTCTTCAAACCAAAAGCACTTGGAATACTTATTACATTTTTTAATGAGTCCCGCTTTTTAACCGCAAGAAATGACGATTTGTAATTGAAGAAAACGCAAAACAACATTAAAACACAACCAGTACTAGACAGATTATTCTCAAATTACCACTAAAACAACAAATCTGCACACCAGAATTCATGTTCAACCAATTAATGAAGCAAATGTGATTTCTGGTTAAGCAATGATTTAACATGGCGAGAAAAATCCACAGGCAAATCAATTTATTACTGTGAGAGAAAACAAACACACTTCTTATGTAGTGAAAGCCCACAATTCGTCATTCTTCTAAGTACATTGTATTGGCTAAACTCCCGACTAAAAACCTCTTTTGCCGACAAATTGTGTGTTTCTTTTGGGATAAAGAGAGAGCAAGATTTAATATAAGCAAATGAATGTGGTGTGTTTGTAAATTCTTGTCATCAAGAAATTCCAATAATAAATTCTACTTAGCAACGCAGTGTTTATTCGAATAGACACATGTTGAAAGTGTGCCGCAAAAGAGAGAACTTCTCCTTTGCCATTTAATATCAAATTTTGGATATAAATCATTCATTGTGTGACATTTTTGCTGACTTCAAACCTCACTCGATGTCACTCGTCATTAATCTGAAATATGTATGCGTATGTGGTGCGTACGTGAGAACATACATAGGTACATATAGAAGATGTCCTTTTCTCATAGCATAACGGAGATTATATAGAGTGCTCAGGAGAAAGTGCTTGGCTCTGAACCAAAACTAAATACTTTACACGATAATCTAAAGACTAGTCCAGAAAATCCGGTGATTAAAGAGCATATTTATAGCGAATTTGTGATAAAATCTCTTTGTAAAAATACCTATTAATAAACAAAGCACAATTTCAACTGGTTCATTTATAGGAGAAAAAACCATGTGACATTTTGGGTAGTTAATTTGTGAATAGTTGTGGATTCCTTGTGGTTGAGTAATGTTGAGCAAAGGATAAAGCCTGCAAGGTATTACGACGGAATCTGATAATTGGAATTGCTAATATGTGCAAATATTGCGTTGTGTTCTACAAGAGAATGGAGACTCATTCACCTACAGAAGGATTTCAAACTAGAAATGTGAAGTTTTGTTTTTCACTACCTGAATGCTGTTCCTCTGAATTAAAAAATGCCAGACAAATCCTTTCAGATTTGTAGACAAAACAGCTCCAGAAAAAAAGCCATTTTATGCTACTTTGTAAGCGTCGAATTGATGTCAGCTAATTTATAAACTCTATTGTGCTTAAGTTATTAGTTAATAGCAACCATTAATGGAAAGTAAATTAACGTCAATTTGCATTTTATTTGTGTGATGGTTTGCTAATAGTGATTATTGTTTTAGATTAACAGAAAATGGTTAGAAAAATCACCAAATATGATTAATTCTTCCATAAAGGGCAACTCTGCAAATATGTTTCCTATTATTAAGGATCTACTCTGGATAATTACTATGTGAATATATCTATTCACTCTTTTAATGGGTAGCAGCTTTTGTACACCATTTCCACTCTTATCATTCTTCCTCCTCTCGATACAGTCTTAACTGTTTCTCTTGCACACTGCAGTCTTTGAAAAGGCACAACTCACATCCAACTTTATGCATTTACAGAACATTGGAATACATCCAATTTTCCAACATTACAAAACACTCTGCGTTAAATACCGACAGTATTTAGTTCTGGTTGTTCAAATATCCCACAATAGAACTTTCTGCTTTAAGTCACCCATAAATTCACACGTATTCTTGTTGGGTACATAATCTTGATAGTATAGAGAAAATAGTGCTGACCAGCAACAAACAAGAAGATTGCATGAAATATCCATATCCATCTCTTTTGCTTGTAATATAATAAGAACCCTGCAGTAACCTTTAAACTTTAATACCTCCCGTTCTTATAGTCTATTCACCGAACACGCAGCAATTTAGCTAGCAACACACTGGGTACCAGCGGTGTAAGATTCTACAACTCATATTACATTCATGCATGCACTTGTGTATGTGCTAAAATTCGTGTTTAGAATTTTATCTCACACAATATATACGTATAAATAAATAAAATGCGAAAGAACCAGAATCACCAACTCATATTCACGCAAAGTTTGATTTTGAACAAAAGAAGAAACATTTTATGGAAAGAGTTGCACACTTGTCGCCCTTGTAGTCGCGTGTATCATTACAGAATCATAATCACTTTAAGCACGTTGTCATCCTCGGCAGTGCTGTGCTTAATGTATTAAATCTTTTATGCTCTTCACTAATCATTTCATTTTATTTCAAACACTTCATGCGCCTAATTGAATCATTTAATGCCTATTAACTGATTCTGCAAATTTAACCTGTGTGTGCAATCAAGGAAATCTAATTTTATAAACTCGACTTCACTCCTTGAAATATTTCGTTCAAGTAATAAGTTGTGGAAACACTATTGAATTTGTATACATGATCCTCCATGATTCGCCATGTAGCATTGCATATTATTCTCATTCTCTAAACAAAATCAAACTTGCCGCGATATCCCAACATTACCAGTCAACTATCTGATAAACATCCAAGTAAAAATAGACTTTTATAGGTAAACTTTCCCCATTTCTTTTCTCTATCTCTTGTTAAGACTAAAATATATACTACACGCATTCAATATCACAGCAACTTTTATTGAAAATCAACTCCAAATAAGATAAAGTTTGAAAGATGTGTCAAACAACGATGGTTGGAGAAGAGAAAAAAATGTAATAAGCCTTACATTTTCCTCACCACGTCTTTCGCCCTGTTTTTGTACCTTTCTCTCCCTCGTTAACTGTTTTTATTTGCATACATTTTGCCAAACCATCTCCACATTTTGAGACACACTCATTCAAGTTTCAATTATCAATGGACGAGGCGCTCACGCCAAGGCTATGAAGAGAGGTTCACAACTCAACATCCACCCTCTTTTTCTTGTCTTTCCAGATACAAGACTCAAGGGTTCGAAGCCCCAAATGAGGTAGAAGTGATGTTAATAATGAAATGGAGTTTGAAATGTTCACGGGTCCTGGACCAGGAGATGATAATATTTCAGCCCCATCCTCGCTTTCCCCGGCCGGCGCGCTATCATCAAAAGATCTACCATCCACATTACAAACACAGAACATTGTTGAGTTGGTCAGTTGTGAATCACGAGGTCTAGATTGGCCAACATTATGGGGACCGGAAATATCTTGCTATCTCAATCGACCCACCCACAACACAACTCACCACCTGCCATATCAACCGCCCGAGATTGCCAGTTCCGATTCAAGCCGAGTGGCATTTGACAACCCCAACAATCACACCAACTTCATCTACAGTATCACATCATCATTGTGGGAGAGTGCAAACAATACGGCGGAATCAGTCCTCGATTCAATACCATTCACGTGCGAACTGGACACAGTCAATAAACTGGACACAGCAGCAACAGAAGCTATTTACCAATGCAAGAGCGACTTCAGCCAGAACCTCACTCAATTTGTGAGCGAAAGCATACAAAACATCATCGACACTTGCATCCACAACACATCAATAGCCGTCAACAGTGTTGTCAATCCAGTGTCTGAATTAAAAGTGCTGCTGCCGCAACTATTGACAAATGCCACAAGTGGAATGGTCAATGAATGTGTTAATAGTGTTAACCAAATACTGAATTGTAGTAATTTAAATGTGAATAATTCACTTTTTGAAAATGAACCCTTTGATCTCTCCAACTACACTTCAGTGCTCCTCAAGCCTATCCAATGCTATTTAAGCTTAACCATTACACAGTCAACACCAAATGGTAACATCCAATATTTTGACTCGAGCGACTTCGCCACATTGCCCACAGGCATCCCACCAACGCCGCACCTCGGCGCGTTCGACCGAAATTATGACTGGAGTTTTCTGTTTGTGATCATCTTCATTTTTGCCGGCGGTTTGGGCAACATCCTCGTGTGTCTGGCCGTGGCGTTGGACAGAAAATTACAAAATGTCACCAATTACTTTCTGCTCTCCCTGGCCATCGCCGACCTACTAGTCAGTCTCTTTGTTATGCCACTGGGAGCAATACCTGGATTTCTCGGTAATGACACATCACTTAAGTACACGCAATCTCCTCTCTCTCTGTGCCCTTATCACTTTTGCATTTTAAATTATATTTTGTTTCGCAAACTTTGACGCTATCAAAAGCCACCAAAGAACAATACTAATGTACTGCCTCGAGCAGATAAATAACAGTCGGATGAGGTACAATCCGCGAAGAGAGGAAGAGAGAAAGAAAATCTTGAAAATAACCATTCATTTGAAAAGAAGAATAAGCACGAGTCTGATTTTCAATTAAAATAGTATACAATTGGGGGGAAAAGTATAGCAAAGCAACAATAGCAATATAGGGAAGAGCAGGGCATTTTAGACAACGGAAAGAATTAATGATTTTTAGAGAACTTTCAAACATGCGAGATTAGGTAATCATATTTAATTATGCGTGATCAATGAGAAGTCGATAGATCTTTGCATTTTCTTGCATATTAATCTATTTATTAAATTATTTTGCATATTCAATATTCAATAGAAATCAATTTTTCATAATTTCAATTTATTTTTCACCTCGTCTTCTCAACATGCACAGCAAGGTTGAATACAATAACATTTTATTGAGATTATTTTTGATGTCAATTTTTGGGTTACATAAGAGAATGTGCAATTTTAATCACACTTTTAGTTTCCTAATCTCCTCCCTAAACAGTCTCACTCTTCGTTATGTAATTTAACATGCACAACATAATATTCACCTTTCATCTATTTGCGTCGACGACGATGACTAAGAATGAAAATTGACTATTGTCCTCCTCTTTATGTTAAGGTGTGTATTTGCCATTTTTGTGAATTATCACGACACACACAATGTTGATGAAGGGTCCTTTATATTTTTTGCCCTGCCCTAATGAATACAAAATTCCTCACACGAATAAACTCAGTCATTTCTCCCCCTCGCAAGAAATTCGCCACACATAATTTCAATCATCATCTCTCTTCGAGAATTTATGACGTGCTCACGAAGTAAAAATAAATTTACAATTTAATAGTTCCTGCATGGTTTATGTTCTCCTAAGATTTTTAATATCAAGTGACAGACGATATTATGTCCTCTCTTCTGTGAATTAACATTCCGAGTGTTGTGAATTTTTTTTTCTCTCATTCATAAACACTGGCATTTTTTGGACTTGGCAATAAGGTTAGACAATCTATCGATTCTATCTAAATATCCGATGGGTTAAGAGCGCTCAAGCAAGTCCTTCGGCATGGATTCAATGCCAAGTTATGGGTGGTTACGCATATTGGAGATGTCCTATGAGATATTGCCCTGCCATATTAGAGTTTTTATAGGAGTTTTAAAAGTATATATTTATTACAAAATCACATATGGATATTAGACGTTATGACTGAAAGGACACCCAGTGAAAGAGATACACTAAATGGATATATGCAAATGGCTATTAAGGGCATTTTTTCTCCTCACCCATCTATGCAAATAGCCTTATTTATATGCATACATCTCCGATACATTCTCCTCATTTCGCTGCACAGCTCTCTCTTCAAACTCGCATCCAATTCCTATTTGTCAATGAAATCAATATACATCAGACCATACAACACACAGACCCCCATCAAGGTATTTTATGCAAGAAGTGCGAACAAAAGAATTAACTTCCAGAGTCGCACAACAAACTTGGACTCATCCAGAAGGGATGGCATTAAAGTTGTGACTCATGAAATATAACATTCACCGTGCTTCCTTGCTTAAATGAATTGACGTGTGGTCTAAATGGCAAATTAACTGACTTTCCCATTTCCTCTTATTCACTCTATTTCAGGTTATTGGCCATTTGGTGTGACATGGTGCAACATCTATGTCACATGTGATGTTCTTGCGTGTTCTGCTAGTATTCTGCATATGTGCTTCATAAGTCTTGGCCGATATTTGGGCATCAGAAATCCATTAGGCACCCGCCACAGGTCCACAAAGCGATTGGCCTGCATCAAAATCGCATTAGTTTGGGTCATGGCGATGCTCGTCTCGAGCTCTATTACAGTATTAGGTGAGTTATTAACTTCCTTATCAGCACGATCACCAAATATAATGCACTCAAATTGATTCAATTAAGCGACGGACATCCCATTTACGCCACATCCTTTTCCCATCTTCTTTTCCAGGAATAGTGAACGAATCGAATATTATGCCACAACCTCGCGTCTGTGTCATTAATAACAGAGCTTTCTTTGTCTTCGGCTCCCTGGTGGCTTTCTATATTCCTATGCTCATGATGGTCACAACATATGCCCTCACAGTTCAATTACTGCGAAGGAAGGCTCGTTTTGCCGCTGAACACCCGGAAAGTGAAATTTTCAGAAGGTCCGCGCATAATTGCTTTAGCCGCGAATTTTCCCCACCAGAAAAAAGAAACCAAGCAACTCATATTTACACAATTTTTGCAGACTCGGTGGACGCTTCTCCAACAAATCACAATCAAATCAACAAATAGCTGCCACAGATACAAGTCAACAGCATCATCCAATGTCGGTAATTGGAAAGATTAAAACATCATCAACACATAATTCAAATACGCCAAATTGTATAGGAAAAAATTTAATAACACACTCACATTCCCAACAAACATTATCTTGGAGGACATCGGACAACCTCATATCAACTGGCGATAATAGGTGAGTTTTTCCTCGCCATTTATAATTACTGAGCAATTTTGACAAGACGTCACGATTAATATGATTGCTTTTAGGGACTTTACAAAATATTTTTGCACACTTTTAACGATTGAAGGTTGTTTTTCTCTAATAGTGTAGTTACAACTTTGAAGAAGATAAATATCGCCACTCGTATCTGCAGTTATTCTATCATTATTGTGTAGATTGTTAACAAAATTTAAGAATCGAAGAATTCGCCTTTAATATTCTGAAAATTAGTTTGAAGTCGCTTCTTAATTTGATATGAAATTATTGAAATGCAGTTAGAACACGCTCCAATTGATCTCATAGTAAATTAATCCCAATAACTCAATGGCTGACACTTGATTTTTGGCTCTTTCTCTCTCTCTGCAGTATTAGCACATCGCATCCACATCTGGGATTCAGCAATGGTGGCTCTAAAAGCACCACTGTGAGATCAACAAGGAGCGGAATGTGTGATCAGAGCACTCAAACCCCATCAAATATAGCACGAGAGACGAGACGAGGCAGGTTGCGGTCGTTAAAATTGCAATTCAATAACGTGACTCCTGCAGCAATTAATTGGAATCTGAGGTATACAATTTATTCATATCAATCGCAATGCGCGTTCATATCACTTTCCTATGCTCTCTCTTAACTCAGGTTATTCGGCAGTCGCAATAAAAGAAATGACTTGTCTGCCAATGCTGTCGCTAATGAACAGAAAGCCACAAAGGTATGTCTCATTAAAAAGCGCACTTTATTGCGCCATGAATCCATTTTGAACTGAAATTCCTTCAGACAAACGCCAAAGTCATCATCATCATCAGACCAAAAACCTCAGAGACATAAGATGGATGATTAAAGCGTGAAATATGATTTAAATATCTCCATTTTCCGCTTTTTAACAGGTCCTTGGCGTTGTGTTTTTCACATTCGTGCTCTGTTGGTCCCCCTTCTTTATCCTCAACATCATCTTCGCCGCCTGGCCAAATTGTCACGTACCTGAAAATGTTGTTGACACTTGCCTGTGGTTAGGATATGTGTCTTCAACTATTAATCCCATCATCTACACAATTTTCAATAGAACGTTTCGAGCGGCATTTATACGTCTACTGCGCTGTAACTGTCAGAGGTAAGAGAGAGGACTTTCAAGGCGTGAAAGCACCCAACTGCCTGGTGAAATGTTATCTCTACCAATTTCTCCAATTTAATACCCAGCACACTTCCGTTCTACCTTAATAGCTCAACGTTCTAATAAATATTTCCTTTGCCTCTCGAATATGCAGATCCGGACGACCACCTCGCTACAGATCAGTGATGGAGAGCAGGGGCGCTGCAAGTTTGTGTGCACCATCCACTCTGCCTCTGGCTATTTCATTACAAGGAGCGCCACTGCTGACACCGTCAACTCACGGCGCAACACCGCTGAGTGATTTTCGAGGCAGTTACACCATTACGGACGACGAGTGTTAAAAGCAATTGATAGTCATGAGAGTTGCACCGCTAAATGCACGCGACTTCCTCATCACTACCTTCATATTATACTCGTTAGAGTCAAGCAAGAACTGATACTTTTTCCCTAAAATCCCCACTATAATATCTAACTTTATTTTAATTAACAATACTTGGACTTGTACGTCTGCATTTATTTTAATAAGAACATAAAAAATTTCAATCAAGAGAAAGAAGGACAATGAGTTTTATAAAGTTGAATTTTTGCATTTAAAGCATTTCTTTTCCTCCTCAGCACCACTTGAAAACTTCCATTGAAATTGATTTTGAGTAAACCGTTCAAATGATCTTTTAATTTGAATTAATAATTGTAAGAATAAATTGTTCTTAGAAGAAATTAAGTAGATTAAAAAATGTAGTGATATTAAGTGAAATATGTGTATAGAAGTTATGGCATTAAATATAATATTGAATGAGATTTTAGTGTTTTACCAATTTGTCAATTTTTTATTAGTTTTCCTAATATCGTGACAGCAGTGTTTGAGCGGCTGTGGCTCAGTGGTCAACGCGTTTGACTCTCGATGCTACAGTCGTGTGTTCGAATCCCACCGCTTGCAAATGTTCGAACACAGCAGAGTGCAAAAAATTTACCTTTGAATGGCAAATTATAACAGCCAAAATGGGTTGCTGCTGAATGTTTCAGCTGAAACATACGCTTCACTGGAATTGTCTTGTGCTCTGTCTGTGTATATATAAAGATGGACGTTAGAACCATTTATGATTGGTCGGCAAGCTGACAAACTGCCACCGTAAAACAAAAAACTTGTCTCGAGTATCTCCTCTAATGGAGAAGGCTTTGTCCCTCAATGGGATGTCCAAGCCACGTAAGTAAGTAAAGTAATATCGTGACATCGTTACAATTGAGTTTTTTGTAAGTAATGAGTAATAGTAAGTAGTAGACTCATGTAAGTGTTGTATTTTGTGTGACAATATAGACACAAACAAATGTTCATAAATATTCAAATGAAATATTGCTAAAACCTTGAAGCTTGAGTCATTGGGTTGCCAAAATTTTAAATATCTTTGATTCCTAAAGGCAACGTTCATGCAAATTAATGAAAAATTTCGTTCTAAATTAAATAATTATGAGTGTTGAAGAGAGAGTCATGTCGAGTTTGCTAATTGGGTTGTTATAATCTCTCAAATCATCTCAATTGAGGAAAACATTTTAATCGAGTACAACACCCCAAGTCGATAAAAGCTCTGGATATGTGAGCGTATAAAATAAAAGCTACCCAACAAAGCTCAGAACCACTGGAGAAAACCTTCATACTTCAACCCTCAATTTTGTCCAGACTTTTGGTGTGATTCCAGGCTAAAAACCGCCCACTCGCCCATCCTTCGCACAGCATTCAACACGTTCTAAGCATTCAAGCGATATACATTCTCTCCAGCCTATTAATGTTTATTTGCTGTGTGAAAAATGTGGATAAAGAACAACTTACCGCCCCTTCAATGCGAGATATTCACAATGAATGAAAGAACATTTTCTTACCTGAAAAAAAAGAAAGAGGAAATATTACTCATACAAGAATTTCACACCATTTCTTTTCAATAAAAATATATACATTCATCAAAATGTAAACACATGTAGAAAAGTTACATGACAAGTTATTTTCTCCTCTTTTAAGTAAAAAAGAGAGAAGAACACGTGAATATTTCCCTCAATTCCCTGATAAATATTATGCCACATAATATCCGCTCCATCATTGAATGAATAAAATTGAATTCTTCACTACGTCAATAAAAATTCATACATATGTACATAATGAAGTAAGTGTACTCAAAAGTGGCAAAATAATGGAAGGTGAAACACTGGTAGAGAATTTTCTGAATTCACTTAGACGAAAATGTGGAAGATTTTCCGTGAAAACATTCAGCTTAAACTACCATTTTCTTTATGTACCTTTATTCTTCCACCATTGACTATATGTATAAGCCTTCCCTCAAGTCATACTTTTGCGGTATACATAAAATGAATTGTGCGAGAATTCCACACAGAACTTTATATCCATTACACTATCACGAAAATACCTGCTTGCAGAAGAGCGAATAGCTTCTGTGCAATCAAAGAAAATTCTCAAATTCTGCACATTATAAGGGTTGGAGGCTACAATATTATCATCCCCTTTCAAAACACGAAAAATCTCAAACTACATCTATGCTCACACAGTTGTCTATGCTACTATGAATATCAAAAAAGAAGTGTAGAATGCTGTTGAATCGCTTGGCGACGCCCGCTCCAAAGTCAGAGGAAATAGTGTCTAAAACTTTGTCATTTGAAATTCATTAGCGCATGGATTAAGATTTAATGCTCTTTTAGCATAATCCCTCATCAGCAACCGCAAATTTTCATTCTACATTTTCAAACTAGAATGTAATTAATTGAAGAAACTTTGCCGTGAATAAAAAATAATGCCGAAAAACATTGTATAGGTAGCATAGCGAGATTATTTATGTACATATGTAGCCAGATATTTAATGTCCCTTGCTAATTCATCATTATTTATTTAATCGGCACGTATTTTATAGCCCTGCCCATAAAAGTTATCACTTTGTGTGCATGAGTACGAAATGCCTACGCACCCGTTTTACGCAAAATGATACAACTGATGAGGCGTGATATTGTTATCTCAATTCCAGTCGAATTATGCATATTCCATATGTACATATTCATGGGCAGTACTGCGCAAATAATTAGTCCACCATCATACGGAGATACTACAATTGGCAAAATATCATTGATATGCAATTGAAATGTTATTATCATGGTTATAATTAAAACAGACAACATACCATATCGATAGGACATAATTATTGGCTCTTTAGCAACATGATTGGAAATTATTGCATTACTCTGTCTCACAGTATCCAAAGAACCCTACCAAAATCATTGTTATGGTGTTATACACTTTGAAGTTTGAGATAAACTTGATATCTTGAAAAAAAAAACGCGCATCTTTTCTTCACATAAACAAGTAATTGGAGTCGCACAACACAACTTTCAACAGCTTTTCACATGAGCGACGACAAGGAATTACGATAGCGCTTGCCTCAAGTCAAGAAACATTTTTAATCAAAATTCATGCTATACTCGTGAAAATATTTAAACTCTGACTACACATTGTTCCACAATTGTACCATTTTCAACCCCTCCACAGAAAATCTCTCCGCAAAGCTATATTTGGACGATATTTTGTGCAAATTTCGCCCAAATAGCGAACCCCTCGCCGGAAATAGACTTTTCTCTTCGCTAGCATATAGATTTTGTGAGCACATGCCTATATGCTCATTCATACATACATATAAAAATATAAATTGTGTATGAGACAGAGCATCCTTCATCTGCTATTCTCATTCTTCTAAAATTTTCATACTGAATCTACAGGTGTAGGCATGTGACAATTTCGATTGGATTAGACTCACTCAGTTATATACTGACTTCTTATCATTCATATTGTCTGAAGTTCATACGAAGAATGATGGTTATTGATTGCCTGATGTTCTATGAATATAGATTGATATTTAGGGAGATATACTCTTGGCTCTTCTGCTGACAATAGTTCGGCCAGTGTCACCAAAAATAAAAGCATTTAACATTGAATGACGGTAAACGTGAGATAATCAGAACTCCTAGAGATTTCTTGAAATATGACAAGTTGAGATGTAAGTCAAGAAGGAATGAAGAAGGAACTTTCAAAAGTCGTTGCACAGAAAAAGTTTGCTAAAAGTAAGAACATGACATTGTCGCATTCCGAAGTGAATAAAGCACCCAAAAGCAGAAAATAAAAAAAAATCAAATACAAACCAAAGGTAAAATACAAAATTATTCAAAGGAAGTCAGTTTTATCGTATTATCAAGAAATCAGCAAAACAAACAAGTGTCCGATATTAAAGAAGTCTACTGAATTTATTAAGTAAAAAATAGCAAAATCAAATATCAAACTTTCTACATTGTTAAGAATCTGCTAATTTAGGTTAGCGAACAATGTTAATTAGCTGATAAAAAAAAACTCCATTCAAGTTAGCTCAATTGATATTATTCACAATTTTCCTTTAAAATTAACCAAAAGTAAGAACACAACTTTTGTTGCATTTCAACTTTCATCATAATATCTGAAAATGCTGTGCACCGTGAAGAGAGATTAAAGCTTTAGCATAAATGCGTCTAGACTTGATTGTAAAGTGGGTGAAACTTCAAAGAGTTCCCATTGACATTCTCATTTTTTTCACATTTTAATGAGGTTGATGTTATGTGGGAAATGAATAAATCCACAAAATTCATTAGAGAAAATTCTACTAACTACAAATTCTGCAGATTATCTGGCTTACATCTCCTTTTTGCTACTTGCATAGCTTAGAATAGTGCTTTAATGGAGAGTCTTTTAGCATAAACTTATGTACAGGAAAACAGCAATCACTCTATCCTCTCAGTATATAATGTAATGCCCAACTACAATTATAACCCCAGAACATTGGAAGTGTCAATTGAATTTTTTTGCGAATAGGAGAAAAGTTGTTTAATTATACTCCCAGCATTTTTCTCCCTTTATAGAACTATTCAGAACAATTAATTACACAGAGATGTAAAAAGTAATTGACCCTAATCCATTAAATTCAGACGAGGATATATAAGCACAGTGTATATAGTGAGATGTCTACTTCACAGGAATTACACACTATGCGTACTGTAGATGTATGTAAATGGGAATTTCTAACCTTTGCTGACGACGTCGTCATCATCGTCATCGTCATCCCTTTTTGAAAGAACCAACCAAACACACACTCTCCTGTTTTACTTGATGGCAAAACGTATTAATGACGAGAATACCCACGATATATATATACATCACCACACAAGTGACAGAAAAGAGTGAGGAAAAATTCATGTGCTTATACCGCCAACATTTCACATTAACTCCAAAATACACACGACAGAAATTTTCCCCGCGCGCGTATATACAGCATAGAGATGATACAAACTGAGTGTGAAGGAAAAAAGCTCAAAAGCGCATGCGATATTTTGACCGTCAGTGGGTCTATGCAACCCGCACAACAATAGACCTGTTCAGTCTGCTGCGAACGGTTACTCGTGAAACAGTTGGGGAAATTCATGGGAAAGTGAATAGGGAAATCACTTTCCCTCCACTTTATACATACATCTGCATTTTGGGTGAAAGCACATTATGTACTCAATCAAGCGGATACACACATAGATGTGATATCTATTTATATACACCAACAACTTTAATCACAATTTATATGGATCTCGCATTTCATCAGAAAATCAAGATGGATTTCTATTGAAGATAATCCCACCAAAATCTCTACAAATTATGTTTCAATCCATCAGAATGGAAGTGAATAAAGACGAACACTGTGTTCAATAATTTGTGAACCATACAAACTGTAAACAATGTATATATAGTGCGTTAGGGAAATAAATCAAATGGATACAGTCTTGCGTTGATCGGATTTAATGTGCAAAATTTATCGGGATACAACAAACACATAACGAGCAACTTTTTCATTTTAATCTGTTCCGTGCGTTTTCTCATCCCTAAAATACACCCAAGAGTATTAAAAAGTATATAGAAAGTGCTAAAAAAAAATCTCTTTTCCATGCCCAATTTTAGGCCTCTCTCTTTCGCAAAATTAAATACAGGCATTCCACTTGGTGTGATAAATATTTAAAAGATACATAAAAGAGTGGGAATTATTAAATACGGATAATCTCGGTAAAATGTAAAGTTAGATTGATTGCATTTTAAATACTCCACAGCAATTAAGTCCATCGCAAACTCCAGCAACATGCCTAAAACCATAGGCACATGATATTCATATTTTCGTCCCTAGACATGTCTTTATACTAATGAAAAAAAAAAGAAAAGTTAGCGCTACGCACAAAACACTGCATATGTTAAAGAAAAACAGAAACAAAGAAAACTTTTAAAGCACATCCTCCAGAGAAAAAAACTAGCCATAGAAAGCAACTTCACCCAAAATGTCCCTCAATGTCGTGCTCATTTTCTTCTTAAATCCCTCAGAAACTTTGCTCTATCCAAAAGCATAGAGCTTCTATAGTGATGCTCAGTGTGAAAAGTTTAGAAAGTTCACGAGATAATCAATTTGTACTCTAAGTGAAGCACATTTAATACACCCATTGTCACAGGAATTAACCATTCCATTTAAAATTCCACACCGTTTAGCGACAACAACTTTCCATACCACGTGTACTATTCAATTTGATTTATAAATAAATTTCACTTTAATTTGACTAAACACGAAATAAAACAGCTGAGTGTTTTCTCCACTACACGTCAAACTCTTTCACACCACAAACAATATGGAAAGTCGAGTAATATTATTTACGACATAATTTGCTCCGCGACACCCCTCAACGTCTGGTACACAATAAATACATGCGATAAGACGAATATTGATTTTGAAATAGGAGTTGAAGTGTCTAAAATGAGTAATATTTCTTTTCACTCTCCCATTTTTTTATCCTCATGGCGCGCTCTTGAGCGGCACAAAAATACATGAGAAATTCAATATTCACGTAATCTCGAAACTCAATTTTTATTACAAACTCACATTACATTAGCCAAGAGTGAAAAAGTATGGGAAAAACTGATTTTTTCGCCGTGTTGCACATCTCGAGTGAAAATTATTACAAGGACAAGATGTGATGATTCTCTCTTCATGGAATTATTATTGCATTGAACTCAATGAAGTTTTATTTAAATAAGAACAAAAATATGATGCACATTGTGTTTCTCGCACGACAAGGAGAAAAATGATACAAACTTTATCTTTACCAAAATTCACATGATGCAATTTAACCATAAATGACAGAATTTTTTCATCATGTAATATTCAGAAACACCAAAATTCTCAGTGGAAAAGAAACACGAAAGAACATGAGTAATTTTGTGGAAAACAGATAATACTTGTTTCATTTTTTATTGGGGAATTTTTCGTGAATTTCTACACTGAAAACTTTCCATCCTGAGCATAAAAAAGCAAGAGGACAATTTCCCATGAGAGGAGTTGATCAAATTTATACGAAAGACTCCTGCAGCACATTTTGTGGTTTAAATAATAAATACACGGTGAAAAATTGCGTTTCTGGCGACTCGAAAATTGACTGAATACATAACATTATTAGTCACATTTATATTAATAATTCATACTGACCACAGGTGAACATCGTAAAGTATAGCTCAGAAAAGATACCGTTGAAGCCAAGGAAAGTCACTTCTTATCAATGATTCCACGAACATCTTTGCAAGAGAAACATTTCATGTCTACTTATGTTCAACCCTCTTCATAGATATATCTACATTATCTTATGTATAGTCAGCATTCTAACTCATTTCATAATGACAATCCCATTGTGTTGCGAAACACGGGCAGGGATTCTCAAGAGCTACCGAAATTATTTCGCCTGTTATACTTTAAAAGTGATTTTAGTAATTTAAAAAGCGTAAAAAGTTTCTTAATCAAGGATAGTCTTTGAACAGCAGCACATCTCACAAGTTTTATTGCATTTTAAGTTAAATTTGGGAAGAATTTTGTGTCTTTTTAAGTGGAAAAACTGTGCCAAGAAAAGCTCAAACCATATTTACAGCAGTGATCGGAAAGGGTATAAAACAAAGAGATTTGATAGTTCATTCACTAGAGTATTAGACCAGCATTCCAAGAGTTTCTGGTCCGAATTCACACGAATTGTAGTTGGAAAAGCAGCCCCACAGCAATATTTTATATTATTTGTTCCTTTTTTACATACTATTCTTTCTTAATACTCATATATTTTCTTCCGTTGAGTTTCACTCGAAGCACGATGTTCTTTGACGAATATGAGTCACGCTCTTAAATTTTATTTACATAAAAAAGACACCGTCAACGAAAATAATTCTAATGCTCAGACTGTGCATCAGCAGTTTTCTTTGCGTTATTCTGAAGCTTCCCTCTTATTCCGAATGGCATAAAGCACTGTTTCACTGACTTTCTTCCATAACTTCACAGAATCTTTTATTTCTTTCAGTTCATTTCCGCAGTGCGTTGCAAATAGTTTGGCTTTTGCTAAAAACTTGACTTCAAAAATCTCTTCTTATAACAAAAAAAGATTTTGCAAAATCATTCAACAGTCACAAAATCTCATATTATTATCTAAAAACAAATACACACAACATATGCCTCGCTTCTGAGAAAAACCCTTTTCCCTAAATCCAGTTTATTTTTTTCCATTTCTCGACACCGTACAGCACTTTTAGCACTCTACAAATTTCACTTTAATCCGATTTGGTAGAAAATACATAGGTATACAAAAAATAGAGAGGTCTTGCGTACACGATCAAAACGAGAAATAGTTAAATTGATGGAAATGTATCAGATGAATAATTGCGGGGTTTTATTATCGTTCTAGCTTCATCCTCCCGTGAAGCATATAAAACTCCACCCAGAGGATAATTTACGCGTTCACGTACGAAATGTATTTGTTATAATGTCAAACATTACACACGTTTTGCATAACCGCACACTTTTTCTTGCATACACATTGTAACAGATTAGGGCCACGAGCTTTCCCTAGACCTCTTGACGCTATAATCCATCCGCACACACACACGAACACCTTTGCATACAAAAAAAACGAGGTAACAAAAACAGATTTATGACTGTGGAAAATTAAATGATAAATCCATTGTGTGTTACACTATGTGAAATGATTTTCCAACCACCCCCGGAAAAGCCTCAAAATGTAACATACAAACTCCCCATAATCAAATTCCATTGTCCATTGTTATTGCTGAACATCACTAGCAGTTTCATTAGGCACAAATCAAAAGGGCGCTGTGGAATGTAATGTGGTTGAGCTTTCATCGAAAAATTGTTTGTCACGCACATATGCAAAATTCTCACATTCCTCTCCTTCGGTAATTAATGGCTCAAGTTGCAATTATAATCACTTCATATTTCGGAGAAAATGCCAATTTACTAATTCGTCTGCAGCAGAGAGGCAGAAAATTGGACATAATTAGATCATAGTGAAAATTAAAACACAAAATCAAAGGTGGAAGTGAATGAAAAATTCAATATTTTCAGCATAAAAAAATGGTTTGATATCAATATGTGAAATATACAGGGACAAGAAAATAGAAAATGCTAATAGTGGAATAGCCGAGAGACATTCAAGCACAACAATCAGTGGAGAGAAAATGAGTGAAGTGGGACCATTTAACTCATCAAAAATAATACTGTGGTCCCTGTCATCGCTGGCATCCACCAACAAACAGTCACATCTGCTCGATGCAAATTCTTTTGAACACCCTTACAACGCGGCAATAAATAGCAGCAAAATCAATGAGAGCACCCTATGGGCCACCACTTCATCGGCCGCCACTGCAACAAGTACATCGTCAATTATCACCACATCGCCCACATCATCGGAAGCATCGGGAACATCGTCCTCGACATCAGATAACGTAGATGAAATTACAAACGCCAAGGAGTTGAATAATTACTGGGCCCTATTGGCTTTAGTTCTGGTATTCGGCACCGCGGCAGGAAATATATTGGTTTGCCTCGCCATTGCATGGGAGCGTCGATTGCAGAATGTCACCAATTACTTTCTCATGTCGCTGGCCATAACTGACCTCATGGTGGCAATTTTGGTCATGCCGCTGGGAATATTAACATTAGTTAGAGGTGAGTTGTGCTTTTTTTTTCTCCCTCGCGCACTCTTTTCGAACACAAACAAAATATGCTGTAACGAAAGTTTAGCGCCAATTTTGAGAATACAAAAATATATGTTCAACACATTATACAGTGTTTATGGTTTCTTCTACAGATCGTTTAAATATACACTTAATATAACATGAGGAATTCCGTATATATTTATAGAAAGATTCTAGCACGCAATTCATAAACGTATATGCAAAAATAAGTACCATAATATCCCACACAACCATTCCTCATTATGAAACACAAATTTTTTTGCTAACTTTGCAATTTCACCAATAAAATCTGAGCAGCATAAACTCTACATGAACTACCCAACACACATTTATTGCTCAGATTCCAAAGAAATGGAGTGCAGTTTTAAACACAAATCAGTCTTCCCTTTAGATATTGTGCAAGAAACTCAGACAGCAAAACTGTATTGCAAGACGAATCGTTTATCTTATGCAGAAATTTTAGAGTTTAGCACTTCTCACGAACTTACAGTGATTGTGCTATTAATTATTTGAATGAAACAAGAATCTTAGAGAACGATTGCTGATTATATAGTTCAAGAGTAAACTTCCATTGACTCGCGTGTTGAAGTCAAAGACAATCGACTTGAATAAAGAAGAACTTTTGCTTGTTGAAACTGAACATCCACATAAATTCATGTGACACTCTGAATAAATCTATTTAACTTTTTGTTTACTTGCACAATTACAGTAGTAAAAGCCAGTGAAAATAATTACACATTTCAAAGCACAAGTCTGTGCACCTCACATTAAAATTTTTGCAAAAGCAAATGCACTAACGTGGTTCGAGTTAAATAAATTAAATTACAAAATATTATACCTACTGGATAAAAATGCATCAATCGATGGCATGAGAAGGAAAATACCGAATTTAACTATTTTTCTGATATTCAAAAGATGCATTTTACCTCATTTTTACCCTAATAAATGGTAGTTAAAAGCACATTTTTCCTTTCCAGTCTGATTGAGGGAGCGATTTTTGCAATATTTCCCCGTTCTTCCCCAATCGCAATAAACACATGAGACACACAATTGAAATCTAATATTAAAAGCTCAGTGCAATGAACGTATTTTCCTTTTTTATACATATGCATAAAATATGTATAGGAAAAGATATTTCGTGTATTGCATTTTATGTGCGATATTATATATTTTATTGTCACGATATAGTGCAATTTGGTATTATTGAGTGCTGCTGGCATAGAGCAACTTCCTTAACGGATGAAATAGTCATAAATATGATATTTTGCCGTTTTCAGTGTGTATAAATCAATATGAATAATAAGACTGACACAAGCAAATCACATGCAATTATATTTAAGAGAACAATAACTTCCAATTTATTCAAGTAGAATTAATCTGTACGAAAACATGACTGAATATTAAATTCAATTTCTCCTTCAAATTTGTTTGTGTCTCTAATCTTTTTCCAATACAAAACACACATTTTGATTATGGTGTTGTTGAAAAGTATAAAGACGACATTGATAGGTATTTCTTCCTTCTCTTGCATAAAAATAGACAAAGTTCACGGACAACAATTCACAATATGGGCAAAAATACATTTTCTAGGTCTAGGTTTGCATCGCGCTGCTGAATTATTTACTGTTTGCTGTCTGTATGCATTCTAAGAAGACTTTAGTATACTTGCACTTTCCACTGTTGCATATTCTTTCTCTATGCGATCAGCACATGTGTTTGAAATTGATTTTACCTTAACATTTTACCCTCTCTTCACATAATTTATTATTTATTACACACACTCGCGACAATGACATTTATAAATTATTATGACGATCAATTTTCCCTTGCGTTGCAAATGCAAAAATGATATTTTTCATTAATTCATGGCAGTTTCATTGTAAAAATTTGCGTCTCCAAATACGAATTATGCATTCAAGTGCAAAATCTCTGAACTTGTGGCCAATAAAAATGTGCGCATAAATGATGTGGAAACTTTTGTGAAAGTTTCACAGAAAAATTTTATACAAATTTTCTTATTTTCATATAATTGTATTTTTCTGCGAGCTTACGAGTGTGTCACTTGAAATATATCCAATCCTCATACCTGTGAAAACTTCAAGAGGAAACTCCTCTAAAATTTATTCATTCTTTTTCACATCGTGTACTCGCAACTTCCTTCTTCCATGTGCACACTTTCGATCCAACGCCCCTCCAAGGATTCATTCAAACATGAAATTGTTCGTTGCCTACAATAGCAAGTACCAAGCAAACTCAAGTGCTTCTTTTGGCACTCATATGCGAAAGGAATATGAGTAACTATGTAATACCACAGAAGTTGATAAGCGTGAAATTTTATAACTCTCTCTTCTGCCCTTACACTTGTAAATCTATTATATAAAACACCCTTACTTTCAATTTCACCCAACGTACTCCAATGCGTCTCGATACCGCGCAAAGATATCGCTAAGGTATTCAGAGGGAAAAATATTTTAGCAATAAAAACTTACAGTTATTGACATCGTGGAGTTCCTCTACTGCATATTGGCAAAGTTAGAACGATTGTGGCGAAGCATTAAAAAGCCTAAGCTAATAAATTTTTTTTAGGTAAAGTTCATTACACTCAAAATAGCACAAGTTGATGATACTAAACAACTTCTCATTTAAATGGGTCGCAATAAAATTATTCACTAATTACCATGTTACATTTCACAATGATGATGCCTGTAAAATTGCCAAGTCAGAAAAGGGACGAAGAAACTGCGTAATCTTTAAAGTGACTTCTTCTCCCTTCATTTTAAGCGTTCCCCGAGAAAAAGATGGTTAGAGTGTGAGCAACAATAAAGGAAAACGACTGAAAAATGTGTTACACCTACTAAATGTAACTTTGTATTATGCAATATACAAAAGTACCAATTTAGTCACAAATCGTCGAATAGGGAACTTTTCAATTTGAGATTCAATATATATTCACACACTGAAGGCACACACAGGAAGGCATTTTCGTATATATATATATATATAAACATATATTTCTGGGAGGGAAAAGAGATGCCAATTCACTGTGAGAATTCACAGCACATAAGACTAATATAAAAGGGAACATAATATACACTTTCCCGCCTCTCGGTATTTGCCCAACAATCTTCCCCCCTCATATTAGTCAAATATACATAAATGCGAATATTTTTACTACCACACCTCGAGCCCAGGAAACTGAAACGATTAATAGGTACCAATTCCTTTGATACTTGCATAGACGGCAAATACATTCACAGCACTGAGAAAAATGTATGAACGGAATTGCCATGAGCTATCAAATGATATTTATTGAAATATATGCAATAAATTCACAATTTATCCATGCAAAATGGGAATTTTTATACATACAAATATGTATTGTAGAGCTTTGAATGAATTTCTCTATGCCGTTGACGGCTATAGTCAATGGGAAAGTCTTCTACAAAAATTTTCAGCACCAAATATAACCAAAAAAAAATCACTAAGAAAGATCAGATTCTTTGCGCAGAGAGTCACAACTGTCTTTTCTGATTTTTTGCCACTTTCCATCAGGAATGAAATATATGTATTCAACCAAGTACATTTCTTTCAGTGCACATCAAAATGATTTTGCACTTAGATCTCACATAATATAACACTCCTTCTTTGGTACATTGCACATATATACACGAATTGTACATAAATCCTAGGAAATTTCGCCATATGTTCATGACTATGTAGGAATGCAGAAAATTCAAAAGACGAAGGTGAATAATGCCAACGACAACGCGCTTTAAGCGGAATTTCTAAAATGAACTCCTCTGAAAATCCTATAACGTTCGTCACATCGAAACTTTCATCTCTGGCGACAGTATATAAAAAGCGATTTTGTCAATATTAAATTCACTTCCCAAACTGCTATATTAATCTTTTCTCTAGGTATGTAGTCGAAAAAAGGATATTGAGAGTGGCTCTTCAAATCCCAATATTCTTCCCCAAAGTACCTTCTCCAATGTGAACAGAAGTCATTAAAATAAGAACAAAAATCAATACAAACTTATAGCGTGAACTTCAGCCGATGTAGTTTACACAAGAACTCCTTGTGTTTCAATCTTGACACATTAACTATAGTATTATTGACATCCCCAACAAGCTGATTAAGGGTCCTTCATGACTCTACCAACAAAACATCAGCCAAAATGCCAATGTGTGTTCTGTTCTTACTTCCCTTCCAATTTATCTTTATTGGACGAAATTACAACTTACAACCGTATAATAAAACACAACAAGATGTAAGTGATTTAAGGCTACAAAACCTCACAATAGTTGTGGCAACAATATATTGAGCGTTAAAATGAAACTTACCACATTTTGTACATCATGCACAACACAAAGTCATGGTAGCAAAACTTACCTGAAAAACGTAAAGGGAGAAAAGTGAATTAGTAACATACAGGAAAAGGCACAATCATTTATTTATAAACCTAAACACAAGGACACAATTTCCCATCAATATTATTGACCTATGTTATCGATTCATAATGTTTTCACAGAAAACACTCAGGGTCTCCCAGCATTTCCACCAATGTTGCCCTTTATAAATGCATAAATAACACTGTGGCTTTGATCAATCTATAGATCGTTCACGCGTGATGAACTCATGACTCAGGAAAAGGAATATGATTTTCGATTGTTTCCCATACGGAAACACACGTGTACACTTTTCCAGATCAACAAGTTGTTTCACTGCACTTTCAAAATTAAAGTAAACTATACGTCAACCCTCTTCATACTCCCAATTTTCTCATAGCTCTACAAAATTGAATGTGCAACACATGCTCGTCTTCCTACCATTTTCAGCACACATTTTCCCTCGAATCAGGTAGAAAAATCACATCAATTCGACTTATATACTCCTAATCTTTCTCTGCACATAAGCGCCCACATGGACTATTACATATGTATGAAGAAACATATAATTTCCCATACTAAACTACTTAAAGGCCAATTTAAAAGAAGCTTTCCTCCTCCTTGTCTCCTTTTTCATTACGTTTGCTCTTCATATGGCGAGAAAAGCAGATTTGCTGTTGAATTAAAAGTGTCTATTATACAAAAAAAAAAGTCAATTGAATAGCACAACGCTGACATTTCCTTTTTCCCACACACACTTTATATATTGATGAATGGTTCAAGAAGAATAATTCAGAGTGTAAAATTGCCAAGTAGCCATATATTACGCCATGAAGACACGGCCATGCTGAATTGTTTAAAGCACTTTATCACAAACTCTGCCCACACTTTTTGTTTACCACTCATGACGTTTATCTAGTCTAATTCTGTGGCTTTTCTCCCATCTTTGGCTAAAACTTTTCTCACAGCGCACACATACAACAACATACATAGAGATCCATCAAATATTTGCAATATTCATAAGTTTCTGCTTGTGGATTGATTACAATAAGATAGAGAGGCACACTGAGATGATAATACTGCATATAAAGAGACATATTTATATCCTCAAGCCAAGGAGAGTGAAATAAAACTTTCTTATGTACACTTTACTACCAAAATATTCCTATGTACCACCCCGGCATTTCGCTAAACTCAAGACGATGGACTATACATAGCACACTTCACTGCTAGATAATTCACAATTTCACAGCACAACATCTTCTGCACTATTACGTCAAATTTTCCCCACTGTTACCGTAAATTTATTGATTTAAATTCACACCATTTTTCCCGTAGAGATTAAAGAGAGAACCGTAATTGAAATTCCACAGAATGCAAAAAAAACACTTTTATGTGCAAATTTGTATTTTACACGTTTTCACTAAATATCAACTAAATGGTTGTCTGTTGCGGTTCCGCTACCTTTTTATGATTCAATACGCCCATAAAGGAAACATTAAATAAACGTGATGGCATTAATTGCTATGATCTACCTAAAAACAAATGGGATTTAAAGCTAAAAGAGCACATAACCACGTAACAAAATTATATAATAAAAACAACAATTACGCTGACTCACTTTATACAGCATCTGACTTCTTTTATATCTCAAAATCGCAATTATAAACTGCCATTAATAGCCGAGCATGAGTTGAGCATTATTGCGAAGATGAAGTTACTCTTCGAAATGGCATTTTTAATCAATAAATTCTCGCGAATATGTAGAGTCTCGTTTGACATAATAACACTTGACACCACCAGTTCGAGTACACATCGCAAAGCTTTATTTTAATATCAAATAGTAGCTCAATTCTGGTTGCTCTATGGCACAAACAGTGATCACAATTAGGATAAAAGCAACATTTTCAAACAGACATTTTTATACAACAACAATCTAAATGTAAATACTCCATTCACCAAATTTTTTCTTTTTTTTTTCTTCTTTATACGAAGATTTTGTAGTATTTCGTAGTAAATCATTATTTTAATACACTTTAATCAGCAAAGCTTTGAACATATCCCAATATCATTCAGTGTAGAATATTTTTCATTCCATACACAAACGACAGACGGCTAAACCAAAAAAAAACACACACATACACATCAAATCCTAGAGTTGAAAATCTAAATTGACATTTCTATAATACTTTTCAATCACGTCTGAAGGATCAATTTTATGATTCACTGCCACTGTCATATGGAGAAACTTTTCCAAACTTTGCGTATCAGAAAGTCATAAGTTCAATCATATCTCATATTTTATACAACATCTAGCTTTTTATGATGATATTTCCACCATAATTGGATAGGCACATGTTCATGAATTCATCTCCTCCAATTTTTCTCTCTCTCTCTCTTTTCAGGATACTTTCCTTTGCAGTCTGAACATTGCTTGGCATGGATTTGCCTGGATGTTCTCTTCTGTACAGCCAGTATTATGCACTTGTGCACAATATCTGTGGACAGATATTTATCCCTGCGGTATCCCATGAGATTCGGAAGGAACAAGACAAGAAGACGAGTCACACTCAAAATTGTCTTCGTGTGGTTGCTGTCCATCGCCATGAGCTTACCACTTAGTTTAATGTACTCTAAGGTAAAGATTTACTATAAATTATTCCATCTATGTTGCCTTGGCATCGCTCATTATTAATCTCTCATGCAATAATCATCACCACCGAGATTCTCTGCTCAAAATCAATTAGGCAGATTCTTATCCCACCTCTTATCCTGGAAACACCCACTCCATACATTTCCCACCTTTATATTTCATCTCCTCTTTTATAACGATAAATTATAGCTCGGCTATTGACATATCGCTATTCCAAGAGCACCACAACATTAAAGACACCCATAGAGAGAGAGTATATAGATCATGGAGAGAATGAGAACCTCAATAAAATAATAATCCACAATAATGGTATATTTATTATGGCATATCTATTTATAGAATCACGCCTCTGTTCTTGTGGACGGCACTTGCCAAATTCCGGATCCAGTGTACAAATTGGTCGGATCCATTGTGTGTTTTTACATACCTCTTGGTGTAATGCTTTTAACGTATTGCCTAACTGTGAGATTACTCGCCCGTCAGCGACAAAATTTGGGTGGCGGTACAACCGGGAATACAGGCTGGGCTAGTGGATGGCTTGGACAAACACCTGCCTTAGGTGATTTTCGTCATATTCATTCTGCCCGCTAGAATTCTCACCCCATAACCTCCAGATGCTCACCTAAGTAACACTGTCATACACTGCACATAACACATCTTTCTCTCCCTTCGAGCTGCTCATTTGCCCATCATTCAAATATACATTTAATTTTAGAAATTCTCCCCACGTACATTTTAATTTAATAACACAAACAAATTTTTTGTCATTATATTATCTATACTCATTGTCGAAACTTTTCCCTCGCATTCATTATGTTCTTTCCCCTTGACAAAAAAAAATCTCAGAACAAATTGAAAAATCAGAGAAGTTAACTTCTACTCTAACTTTTTTTCATGCTATCACACCTCACAATATATATATATATATATATATATACCTTATCGAGTTTCACCAAACAAGATACTTATAAAAAAAATTATGTACATCCTGCATATAGAGAGACGCTGTACGTGGAGAAGATTACTCAAGACGAGTCTCCCCTCAACACCAAATCATGCCCATTCAGCAGCGTCAACAGACACTGAACTTTCCACTCTAGATAATCATGAACTGTGGCTTCCGGACTCGAGGTATGGAATTTTAATCAAGTCATAAACATTATTGTATCCTCGCCAAGGCATCAAATATTTAAGATGGGAAACACATATAAAACATACATCATCACTTTTTCTTCCCATCCACATCATTTTTAGCAGACGGAATTTTTCACATCTCGCCTTTTCCCTGTGATCAATTGTAAAAGTTACTTTCACGAATAGAATAATTAATTTAAAGAAAAGTGATAATTATTAAAAGAAATGTTATTTTCACGAAAAGTTCAAAAGTTGCTAATAAAGGTGATTTTTTGCAAGATTAAAGTTTTCACAAAATGCAACAAGCTAAAATCAAATTAATGTCATTTGCACGTACCAAATTGCCACTCACGAGAGTTGTTTCAATTACCTCAAATTGATTCTGTCGCATTTTGAATTTTCCACAGAAATCCCATCTTCACATAAATTAGGCCCAAATGAGAGCTTATCTCGCTTTTTTTTTATGCTGAAAAACCTTTCCAAATTCCACTTCAAACTCAGGATAAATCTGTATATGTGAATTTGTGTAATTAATTCAATCCATATTCATGCTAATCTGTTATACAATGACCACATTGATGCATATTAATTACAGCATTCCCGAACCCACGCCATCGACAATGACAGCCCTTCATCAATTCGGGGCAGAGATGCTTAAACTGTCCCGAGGATTGGAATCTGTGGGCTCAACCATGAACAGAAGTGAGCAAAAAAGCAGCCAAAGTGTGGTGACCAATGAAGAAAAATTCACGAGAACCACAACGAACAGGTAAATGAATTTTCCCCCCCACACATACACGCACATAATATTTTATGTATACGCTGTATCACTTGACATATTCATTACTTCCTTCCATTTGTACCTCCTCTGTAAAATCCACTGCTAACGAGCGAAAATTGCCTATCAATATGTATCCTCTCATACATTCTGCTACATGTCACGGCACTAAAGCAGTTTCAATTCAATTTTCTCTGCACTAACTTTGCAATATAATGTTGTATGCACGCCGCCCTCTTGCCGCTCCATTACCCTATTTGCAATTAATAATCCTCCAGAGTGTGTTCGTTGAGGAATTATGATTTAATTAATATGAAAATCACTCGTAATTTGCAAATCATTATTATCAATTTATGGAATACCTTTGGGATTCTACCCCTTTAATTGCATTGACAGCACAACACTCTTTCATCTCACGTTGTACTTGAAACAATTTCACCCAATTCAAAGAATAAACCATCAAATTGAAAATTCGGTTTGCCTTTGTGTGCCCAAAGTTTCACACCAAATCCCAAACAGTATATAGCATAATAATTATATAAAACAGAACCGTTTTATGTAAATTACACCAGCGATTACCACACTTTTCTCCTCTTTTCAACCGCCCATCGAGCCAATTGTTCCCAATTGAGCCAATGAATTTAAATACATCATCCTGCAAAAATTCGCAAGTTGCCAGCGAACAAAAAACAATCACGTATAGTGAGAATGAATTTAATGCAATTCCCAAGTCATTAAGCGAAGAAAAATGAGGAAAATTCACAATTTTTATCACCTTTCATATTTTTTCTGCTCCTTCCTTTCACTCTGCGCCACTCTTTATCTCATTCTCATCCCTTGCATGCCTTTGTAACCTGAACAATACGGGCAGTTAATTATTAATTAGGCTACAAATTAAAGAGAGGATGAAGAATCCTACGCAATTTCCTATCTTTTTCTACCTGCATGGACATGAGGGCTATATTATGTATAATCTGCAGTCCTAATACACATCTATACATCTGGCGCAATGTGTTGGAAAATTTTGGAAATCGATTCTATTTAAAAAACACCCCAGCGGAAAAAGTGTCGCTATATATTCTCAGCATATAATGCGTATATGAAACACCTGAATGAAAATAAATTAGCTACGCAGTATACAAACAAACATTTCCCATCCATGGCATCGCGCACTCGAGACACACACGCGCCCAGAATCTACAGTAGGATTGATAGACATTTCCACCGGTGGAAAATTGATCAAATAATTAGAATTTTATTGTTTGCAATTTTTATTTTTAGCACTTTCCCAACCGCGTTGGTTAAATGACAACAAAACACCCACAGCAAGACGCATTTATAGGCGATAAACCGTACAAAATATCCTCACGCAATCACGACTTCGTGTTAATATCTTATCAATCTTTTATATAGATAATATTCAATGATTAGGTCTGGTCATTATGACACAAAAGAATCCAAGAGAATGAGCGGATTTTCCTGAATATTGTGTATGCTATACTCAGTAAAATCCGTAAAAGCTTTGTTTGGCTCGTAAATTGTTGCCGCAGGAAAATTTTGCGACAATTCAGAATATATTATGGAATTGGTCAGTTATGCGAAATCAATCATACGCTTAAAGACGTCAAGCTATCTTCTTTGCTTTGAATTCATGAATTTAAGTACCTATAGTATTAAAGAGATAGATAAATTGATTTATTTACAACTTTTACCGAGTTCCAGACGGAGAAATATTGTTCAACCTTCCAATACACTTTGCCACGTTTTGCCTGCAGCTAAAGGAGTTCCATTTCAATTGATTTCCAGGTCAATAGTTTTAATAAAGAAAGACAAGGAGCCAAAAGAACCATCCCAGCCTAAAGTGCGCAAAAGACGAGCATCAGCAACAACATGGACAACGCGGAAGTCGTCAAACGTGTCATTTCCGCGAAAGCGCTTCAACAGTTTACCTCGCTGTTCACTTTTAATGGATGATAAGAAGGATTTCTATGAATTATTCATCAAAGAAATTCAAGACAACAGAGAACGACGAAAATCCCCGCGGAAAGCTCCAAATATCCAACATTCATCGCTCAGTGACGGAGCCGAACAGTCGGAGTGCAATGAAACGGAACCCGAGGAGGACAATGGTCAAGTAACCCACCTAAAACTACCGCCCCCATGCACTTGTCCGTATTTCGGCGACAAGCCACGACATCAGCAACACCATCTGAAGCCCACCGAAGTGAAAATTATTTCCACCTCTGTCAACTTTCGTTCCGCCACGACTCTCAGTGAGCCAAACAACATCGACATCGATGCCATCCAGACACTCAGCTCCAGTTCAGCCACTATTCTCACGTCTACATCATCCACCAAGAGTCTCTCGACACTCCCCACAATATCATCATCCACGCCTCAGCGCAAGCTGAGCTACTCCAAGTCAAATTCCATCGTCACGTGGGATTCAAGGAGAAATCAGCGACGCGGCTCGAGTTTCGGCAGTTCAGGCACTCGCACATCCTTGCTTCTGACACCCACGAAAATCCCCATCAGCGGCGCCAGTTCGCAGCTCAGGAGATCCGCGACCCTGCGACAGGGCAGTCATCTCAGTGACACCATCATCGACCGGAAGTCGCCCAAGATTCCTTCGTCGCCGTGTCTGTTGCAGCGCACGGCCACCATCCGATCGCACCACTCGCGCAACTCTAGCGTCGTGTCGCGCAACTCATCGCGGCACGGACGCATCATTCGCCTGGAGCAGAAGGCCACCAAAGTGCTCGGCGTGGTGTTCTTCACATTCGTCATCCTCTGGGCGCCCTTCTTCGTCCTCAACCTCCTGCCCACCGTGTGCGCCCACTGCGAGAGCAACATCAGCCACTGGGTATTCGACGTGGTCACATGGCTCGGCTATGCCAGCTCAATGGTCAATCCAATCTTCTACACAATCTTCAACAAGGTATTCCGTCAGGCTTTCCGCAAGGTATTACTGTGCCAATATAGCAAGACAAGCTGGCGACCTCACAGGTAGCAGCAAAATGTCACATCACCAAAAAGATGTGCTAAGATTAAATAGACGTCTTTCCATAATTTAGACATGATTGATTCAAATGTGATTAATTGGTTGATTGATTGCTTCAACTACCTAATTGTTCAACTAATAATTCCCCCATTATACACGCAAATAAATCATATGTTGTGTACATAACAGAGGCTTCAATTTTATACACCACATTTCACAAAAGCGTCTTCATTGTCAATTCAATTCAATCAACAATTTGTTAAACTGCACAATCCCTGATTAAATACCGCGATTAAATCTAACCTAGAACAAAAATGTCATGTTCTGTCTGACACGGTTATAAAATATAGATTTTGTTGAAAATGTCACATTTAACACCATTGCAAATGCAATAGACAAACAAACATGGAGAATATTGAACATTGAAAGTCAATTTGACTATCCGAAAGCAAAAAAAATGGTGTGCCAAATCAAATCAATTTTTGCTGGAAACACGCGCGATATGTTTTCACTCCATTAGTAAAATCCACATCTCTGATAACTCAACCAAAAATCAACTGTTTGCCTACCAGAGAAGTTTCCTATCAACTAAAATTTCTAGATTTTTTTTCTTTTTAGGTTTTTCACCAAATTAAAGTATCACAAGTCAATTCTTTAACACATCAACTGAAGTTCAATGAAACTATACTAGAAATCCATTCTTAATTGTATTATTAGTGTGTATTTGAGAAATAGAATCAAAAAATTAACGTATCAAATGCAATTAATTTAATAAAATCTTAATGAGATTATGTATGATGGAGAATTAACAAGAAAAGGTGCTACCAAAGAAAGGATTATAAATCCAAATTCAACCTTCACAAAATAATGCAATTATTCATGAAAAGTATATAAATAACGCTCATGTAACACACATTTAAACGAACCTCTCATCCCCAAAATAAATATGAAGAGCTTTCTATGTAAGATTAGAACAGTATCACGTGAACATGTCTCATGAAATACAATTCAAATCCCCACCCATTTAGTGACATTTAGATCTTAGTACAAAATGCCAAAAAGTGTAGAAACATTTCGCAAAATAAAGGATGAAAGTGAATTACTCTTCTCCGTTTATTGTGTATGGGTTTTGTGTATGTGTGGAGAGGAGTGGAAGTTGCCATGGTAAGTATCACATAACTATCATTAGAATAGTGATACAAATTGATGGCCAATTCATTAAAGTACATGTAAATATGTCACATACAGCAATTAAAACAATCCATTTATACGCCGCAATCAAATTAACAATGCGTCCCAATGATATTTAATCTAATACTCTGTTAATATCGTCTAGCACAGAGTTCAGCAGCTCAATTGATATTCCGTCTATGTGAGTGAAAATTTCCCCAAAATCCAACTGTTAAATTCTACAGGCGCCAACGATTATAAAATTATTCAAAATACTCAATAAACATATGAGAAAATAAGCACACGTAAAATTGAAAAGTTCTGCGAAAGCGATGTGTTTTTCCTCAACATTATATGTATATACACACACAACTCCATCTCAAAGTACATAAAACTTTTGTTAAAATTCAAATAACAACGATGATGTACGCATATTACACATGCATATATTCTTCTCGGCGGTGTGAATTAATTTCTGTGAAAATATAATGTATCAAGAACAAAAGTATTCAGCACCCTTGTCACCCAGTTTCACATCTTAATGCCTTGACATCATCTCCATCATTCACTCTACGATGTTATCAGAATGTGTCGGAAGAAAAGAAGAAATGAAATCCACCTCCTACACATAGTTTCAAGAGTCTCTCTGTTCACCACTACACGCCACAAAGTTACTTCCTCTTCCTAACTTTACATTTTCACACTTCAACTTATTTCCTTACTCGCACCTTGTCATTCTTTCAATCCAAACACCTCAAAATCCAACCGCACGCACGTTCTCTCACTTTGCAGCGATCTCCAGAGAATTGTAAATACCATATCAATAAGGCAATTACGGCCTATTTCAAATATCACCACTTTAACCATCTTTAGAAAGCCATGAACACCATTTATTTGAAAATCTTCACGTGTCTACACACACATGAATTCTTTATGAAAACACGTATCAAAAAGCTCATCAACTCAAATGTCAGTAAAATGAATTGAGCTTTATCACTTCATCCCATTATTTTGTGTGAAATATTTCATCACATTTGCAAAATTAATTATATTGCATAGTATATCAAGAGGTATCAAATAAAATGTACCATTATCCTTTGAGCTTGTCTTGACACTCTACGAGACGTTGCAAAACTTCAAGAATCTAATATTCTGACATGCATATCACGTGAGACGAAACTGCACAATTGTTCATTGATCGAAAAGTAAAACATTTTGCCCTAACTCTTGAAGAATCATCTTAAGTGATTTTATTTTGTTTTGTTTTATTCAGATAAATCTGAAATAAAAGAAAGACAACTCGGTATCAGTTAACGACGAAATTCAGATGACTATAAAATCTTGATCTTGAAATTATTCGACGTCTGCAGCTTTATTATTTTCATATCAGATTCGAGGCTATCTGTAATCAATCCTCTTTCACCCGTTGGAATGAATTCTATTTACTGACTTTTCTAATTTGGAAAACGAGTTGCAAAAAGACGTGAAATAAATTAGTTTTCCTAGATAAAAATCACAACTTTTCCACCATTAGAGTATATAATTTCTCCAATATATAATACACAGAGCATGACTAAAGTAAAATGCAGTGTTTATTTGGAAACTTGGGGAATTTTCTTTGCCATTGTTGTGTTTTGATTTCATTAAAGTAAGTACATAATCAGCTGAAACACGTCCACATGACGCGTGAAGGGAATGATGTGCATGAAGGCCAACTAATATGGTATATTTTATCACTCTGTCTCTTTTGAATCAATCCATCACAGAAAATCAGTACGGCAATTATCTATATCTCTCTAATGAAGGTTACAAACAAGACAAGCTTATCCTCAATATTTCAGCTTTAGATATCAATTGTCAAAGTAACTTTGACTTGTATTGCTTGTCACTATTGATCCATTTCACGAAATTGATGCATTTCATAAGGAAAGTTTTTCACAAAAAGTTCTTCCATTGTGTGTATACACTGTTAATGAAATTCCCGGGGAAAAATGAGCTTTTATTAAATGTCTGTGCACCACAATGAGACCGCTTTTTAAGGAGCATAAAAGTACTCTTCACCAGAGCTTGCATTGCAAACACATTCCATTTTATGTATTTAATAATTCCATGAATCATATTGACAATACGTCCCGTTTGTGGCAATTTCTTCAGCAAATGATTCTTATTACACTCTGAATGTGGCGTTTCGCAATATATTTGCGTACAGATGTACATATAGTCACTGTGAAATAAGATTAGAATCTCTGTAGGAGAATTTATTGTACGCGAATTACATTGACGCTTTCGCCCTGCGCTTAAGAACATGAAGGTACTGATAGGAAATTATATTCTCCTGGGTGAATTCTATGAAAATTAGCATCATTGACAAAAATGTAAATGACGGTGTCATCTTTTGCTCAGTAATCCACTATTAAAATTCTCTCTGCGTCTTATTTGATTTAGTCTGCATAATATTTGAATGAAATTACACTGACTATACAACTTTGATGTCGGTACCCGGGATATAAATTCCTAGATACTTCTAAATGTTATTATATCTACGATATTGAGTGGGTGTATTTGCCATTGCGCTGCCGAACGAAGGCTCCCTTTGTGAGCCGATATTATGCAAAGTGTAGGAAATATGCTACAGTAAGTGTAATTTCTTTAATGATATTATGGTTTGAAGTAGCACCCACTTTATGGCTTGGCTGCCAGCTCAATAACTGACGGAGACTTAGAACATTGACAAATTGAGATTGCAAAATATGCCGAGGAGTTATTCAGACAGAACGATTTTACATGTTATGCAATACTGTAGTTTGATTTTCATCGCCTTCAGGCTGACAAACAGTGTGTAAAAGGGAATCATTAGGAATATTAATCAGAATTGCATAATAAATTGGTGTGTTCGTCAAATAATTAGATCGGGTTTTCCCCCATTCTATGCATAAAGAGCTCAATTGCTAATATTAGTAAATTGTTTGATTACCATCTTCCTTGTAAGCACACACATTGCATCGATCAAAATGTGGGAGCAAATTTGAACACTACATCATATTGACATGTAACACATGCGAAGCGAATTTCCCCATGTGAAATGTGAAATATTTCTCGAGCATATTTAATATTCCCTTTAGGCTCTCTCCCCGGGACTCATAGGAGAAAGTTTAGGGCTTTAATACATTATACCTATTAGAATTTTAAAGTATGATTGACCCAATTTTCGCGCTATGACTGATTGAAGCATGTTACAGACTTTTCTCTGCGCCTCGCTCTGCTGTCACTTGCAATTTTGGGAAATTGCCGCAAAGAGAAGGTGGGAAAGATAATTTTGTACAGTGAGAATTGAAATTGAAATACGTAAAGATACAGAGTCTGATGACGCAGGGATGAAAAATAGAGCGATTGGTACAACCTTTGGGTTTTTATTATATTTAAGCTCACACTGGAAGGCTAGAAAGACGGTAAAAAGGACGTAAAATACGAACATCTGATGTATACTTAAAACTTTTATATCCTACAGAGTCTATTCTTCTTTTTCCGTATAAAACAAACTCGGGTTAGTAGAAAAATGTGAAGAATAAAACAGATAGGGAGTTTAGTTGATCCTTTCGAACTAATCTCACACTTTCCCCATTAAGAATAGACACACTGAGAAGCAGATAATTATTCTCATCACTTGAAGTGTGACGAATTAATATTGTCGAATGTTTAAGTGTCTATCATTAAATATATCTACATAGCGTATGTGACATTGTGAGAACAAGCATCCGCTTTACGACTCTATGGGTAAATCTATGGCAGCTGATTTCGCGAAATTGCGAAACATGAGAAATGCTACGGGTAATGTTATGCGACAAAGACGTTTAGTTATAAGTCTTTCCCATACGATCCCATTTATTATTTTTAATGCCAAAATTAAGCACGGCAACTTAAGGAAGAAATTAATCTGTCAAATGCCAGACACACACACACACACACCCATACATATCTGCGAAATACTGTACTCCTTAGTTCATATGACAAACACTGTTCATATACAGGAGGCTTTCAATCGTACATTTCCGCTATTGATTGGATGCAGAGAGAGGCACACATAGTTAGAGAGATTTCCCGTTCAAGCGAATTTGAATTGAATATTCAATCTCTCCATCAATATGCCACTAGAATTTCCCACAGCTGCACATTACCTTTTTTGCCTTCTCTTTTGCGCTTTATAGATGTTCGCTTATCAAAGAGGGCAATATAATGCTTTAAATTTTGCACCATAAAATCATTTTCCATATGTTACAGCAATAGTCGAATGCAACAAATGGCAAGAAATATGACTTCCTAAGTGTCTCTTCCACCCATTTCATAGTCAAAGGGAAAGTATATCATAAATACATATAATCCACACAGAAGGAAACCATATACAAATCCCTGAAATGGAAAACTAAGATTTCGTATTCAGTACAAATCCCTCATATCCTTGACATTCTCTTGATTTAAAATTCAATAATTCCCCGACTATCCATCCTTACGTTTTATGTAAAGCATCCCTAATAACTACACGTAAAGGTTCCCCCGTTCTAGGGTCCGCACAAAGAGGCATAATAACGAGGAATACCTTACGAGATGGTTAATAGAGCCACCTCATGTTGAATGACTTTTTGTTGTTAACCAACACAGTGTGGAAATCCTTAGACCACGACTTGAGGAAATTTCAATACATTTCAATGGAAAAGCCAGCGCACAGTGTTTCTTTTATCCCCCACAAAGGGAAGAGATTACACATTTTATACATGAGATTTTTCCTGCATTCCTCATTAAGACCTTCCTTCCCCTGTTGCAATGAGAAATATCTCTAGTCAACTTATACCATAGAAATGTGCTTTTGTGTCAAAATTTTCGCCACTCTCAATTGCACGAAATCATTCATCAAAGAAAAACAACACAAAACCTATACGCCAAACTAAACATCATGAACAAACATTTCAAGCTTTCCTAAAACCCACAAAAGTAACGTATTATTCTGAATAAACTGCCTTTTTTGGCCATCCTTCTCGCTCACAATTTACCCTAATTGTGAGTTTTTGGCACAAAACCCCTGTTTTTATAGGATATTATGAACAACAATTTCTACATATAGAAAATTAGTGAATTCTTTTCATGAAAATATCAAAGAGAATAAATCAATTCACTTTTTTCTCCACAATATTTTTTTGTAATAATAAATTTTACACATCACATCCAAGTTGTGAAAAGTTAATGCTCAATCATGTGTGTAATGGATTCTTCAATATGTCAAATGAGAATAGATACATAATGCCCTATATATGTATATATATATAGTTGCAAAAGCGTTACAAGTTATTTCCACACAAAATACTTTCGCTATAACTATACAATCTTTTCTCTTGGCTATGTGTACAACCTTTCCCACCCCAGCAAACTGTATTTTCTGCCTTTGCCTGGTGGAATAATCCCTATGTTTTATTACACAATACATAATAAGTTTCCGCTGAGAAAGAATGGACATGGAGGAGAAACGTAAAAGCGTAAAATGATAAATTACAACACTATGGTGGTGAAAAGGTAATCAATTGGATAAAAATTACTTCCACCACTATAAACATTTTGTCATGGCCCCACAAAATGATAACATCATTTTGCAATTTTTCATCCTTCTAAAATAGCACTCAATAAATTTTCAGTTAAATTGATGGATCACAATTTGTGTGGCATAGGAAATTGTTTTGCCATACCATTTTCAATAAAAGGAAATCAATGTCCCAATCACACATGTTATATATAGACACACACACACACACACACGGCATTCATATATCAAATATTCATGCCTAACAAGCCACAAATAAATTGCAGCATGAAGCATAGTGGAAATTTAATCTATTATTCCGCAATACAATGTCTCACTCATTCCCTGCCTAACAAGGCGCAGAAGAGAGTTCACGAATAAGTCTACAGCATTTCATAAACTTTATCCCAGCAATACGCCAGCAACAGTATGCATCAAATCATGGTTTATCATGACCACAATGTACAAAAATACGCGATAATTGCAATATTCCCACGGAAAAACGACCAAAGTTAAGGCGAGAGAAGAGGAGAATTATTGTTCCAATTACTCGAGTCGCACCCCCTTTAATATTATGTGGCGAGCAAGGAGAGACTTTGAAATGGTGGAACAATATTCATTTGCGCTTAATTTAGACATCTCAAATGATGCCTATATATACACACACACCGAAGGAGTGGAGAAGAAAATGTGGGAAAATAGGCAAATGCGAGCAGAGCACAAGTATCATTATTCGAAAAATTTGCGAATCATCATCAAATTTGTCCCGAATAGCCTTCCAACTTTCGTGAAGACGCTTTGATTAGCTCGCTTCATTAGCGAGAAAACAATAATGTATACAGTATGAGTATCATTCTATATTGCAATGTTTCTAATACTGGCAAACAGCGTGTGATGGAATCTCATGATCCGCTTTCGCCACGAAAAAGTCCTCAAAACCCAGTCGAATGTCTTGTTGTTGAGAGAAAAGAAGGAATACAGAGCGAATGACTCTCAAAAAAAATTGTTGAGAAGTTAGTTAAACATTTGTAAATCAAAGACTTGATTAGATCAAGAAAGAACGCATGATTCAAACTAATAATTAAAGCTTTGGAGAGCCAGAATTGTATGCTAATTAAGCAAAATCACGTGAAACTTGAAAGCAAAGAGAAGACATTTAGCAACACAAACTCCACCCATTTGAAAGTCCCGCCCACTTGCGATTAACTTCCCTTCTTCCTGAGTGACTTTCAGATTAAATTGAACGATTAGGACTAATTACACTGCTAAACATTCGCTTGTATAGCGATAAATACACTACAGATTGAATAAGCATTAAAATCCCCCAACAAATCTACTGAAATTAAAGCTCTGCATTATATATTGGAGCATTCAGCAGATAAATTGCATCGAACCTATCTTGAACAGTTCTCAAGCGAAGCAGTGGTGCAATTCGATCGATTTTTTTTTAATTAGCCCCGATAAGAACCACTCGTCAATAAATCATCCGAACGCGGATTGATTTTCAAGCTTTTTTTGCAATTCACATTTTTCATCCAGTGAAAGAGAACGCGAATGACTCGCGGATTTCTGAAGAGTGCATTAGAGAATTGAAATAATTCTGGCCTAAATGACACACGTTTGAATGTACATATATGCCTAAATTTGACCCAAAAACCTACTTTGCCAGGTATAGTCGTATTAATTTTTAATGAAAAATTTGTCAAAGTGGTAAAATATGAAATACATTAATAATTCATATCGCATTTATACTCCACTTTAGACACTATCCACCCACAATACCACACAGATAAATTGCTGACCAAATTAAATTCCACCTCCTGACATAACGGAAATGTATACCCTCTCACAATTTGTAGAAATACGTGTGTAATTACGATAAAACTCCTCACCAAATGATGAAATCAAGTGTCCGAACTACACAACACACAGAAAATATCAAAGGTGAAAGAAAAATCCCAAGAAATATTTATGACAAACGACTCTCATTATTAAGGGAAAAACCTAAGATTTTAATCAAAAAAGTATGTAGCGATTTTTCATTCTGGGCACGTTCTCTTTGAGACATTCCAACCAGATTTATCGTTCTCTGGACATTTTCATCTCAAGTGTATTTGTAAAATTAAACCCACCAATCGATAGGGAAATTCTACACAGAAATTTTATGGTTAGCAACGCGCTTAGGCATAGCTCAACCTTATATATAAATAGTATTCATGGGAAATTGAACAATAAAATCTTTCAGGACAAAACGTCTCTAATTATTCCGCATATAACCAAAAAAAAAATACACGTCGTGTTATACTACAAACCCAATGTCAATCAGAACGAAAATGCCCAGCAAAAGGGAATATACTAAATTTACACAAATCACAAAAATAAACCCAAAACACGACATATCTTTTATTAAAGAACTTGAGAGGGACAATGCCTCACACAGCCTGACATATCGCTTAATGTCACGCCACCCGAAAACTCTCTTACTAGATTGAAAATTTCAAGCTAAACGCTTATGCGAGGGAACATATTTTGCGTCAGGTATGAATATAATGCCATTCACAAAATCCCACGCACCCAAAATTGATACCCCCGCAACATTGATATCCACTAAATTAAACCATAAACCTTAAATCGCACACGGTCGTGTGAGAAAGGTCAAAATGCAAGCTACAAAATCGACCCGTCCCTCAATCACATCCAAAAGCCCGACCCCATTGTATCTCGTTTTTGGGGGTAAATTGTAAAAAATCATACTCACCGGAAGAGAAGGAATCCTATGGACGTTACAGCAGCTCGCCGAACATCATCATTCACGTCTGACACCTACAAAGTAATTGTGTAATGGTAATAAATTTCCAGCATCCCACTTCAAAAGCACTACGCCGCTTGCATTATTGTTAAAATTTAATGAGAGCGAGAGCATCTCGCGTGGAGTAGAAAAAAAAGCATTGGGGATTTGCTCATCATATGTGTGAAAAGTGTAACACAAAAGGCGAAGAGTGCTTTAAAGAGTGCACAAAAACTCGAAAACTTACAGCAACATGTAGGAGTTTCCTTATCGCCTTATTGCTTCCTGTACCACAATATGCCATCGCCAAGGTGTACATGCCGGAACGACGCAGTACTGGATCCTTATCTGTTGAGAGGCTCGTGACAAGAGGATCTGCCTCCTCCAGGCGCGCATACATCGTAAAGGCAACGCCAACAGCTAATCCTCGCAGAATTTTTTCATGTTGTGTTTCTTGTGCATACTAAGTCGACAGCGGAAAGAGAGAGAAAAACAGCAATTTAGTCCCATTTCAAATATACACACACATACACACATTTTTCAATGATGAAACCAGCGCACAATACTTCATCAAACCTTAAATTATGCATTCTATGTGCCTCTGCATGTATCGATAAAATATCAACGCTTGTAAATATAAGCACGTGCAATTTAGTCCGTTCGAGTCGATTTTTCCCTCAAGCTAATTAGTGACTAATTACCCTGCTACGAGCCTTCAAGGGCTGATTCTTAAGCAGAAATGAACCATGGCGAACATTCGGTAACAGAATAATTCAGTATGAGAAGAAAAAGCAATTCACATTGAAAGTAGGGTTGTTTATGCACTTCCGCAGAAGAATAATAAATTTAAGAAAAAGTAGAACAAATATTTCTAGCCGTTATTGGACAGTAAAATTCTCGTAAATGCAATATTTGCATATATTTTTCACCAATTATTATATTTTAGATATATAAATGAATAAAATTTAAATTAAATTCTAATAACTAAATTATTTATCAATGGTTTTATATTTTGATACCATCAACTTTATACAAATACGTATTAACATAAAACTCGTTAAAATTCGATGTATTTGTAGTTTAATCCTCTGCTTTTTTCCTTCTTTCCCATTCGCTCCAGTTTGGAAAACATATATGACTGGAGTAACGAAAAACTTTGGCTATATTGGTTATCTCTAGTGATTCTGATAAAATAAAGCGAGCTTTGCTATTTATTAAATGTGGATCAACTTTTGTGCCCAAAAGAACACTTTGATCACTCACAATATTAACTTCAGTCCAATACGTAATAAGAAAATAGTTAAAGCTCCTCAATAAATCACAATTTATTATACACACATATACAATATGTGTTTGACGGCAAGCCAACATTCGCACAACCCCTTTTTCCCATTTTCCTACCGGGAAATACTCTGGTCAAAGCCCACAAATACGCACTCAAGCAAGTCCAATAAATTCTGTGTTCCAATATAAATAATCCAGAATTTAGCATTCCCACAAAATGTCCCACCATTCACATATGTATAATAAAGAATAGTAAAGGTCATCCAGAGGGAATTACCAGTGGCACTCGGTAATCTCTTATCCCCCCATCGCGAGGACACGACAACTCAGGCCATTTGAAGATATCGGAATCAATGGTTGAGAAGCAGAATTCCTCACAAAAATATCTTTATATTTATATATGCATTTTTATGTTGACAAATATAACTTTTTCTACAAGTTTGCCTGTCTTGCGAGATGTGCGACATTTCTTCCTTCTTTTCATTCTCTCTCTCTCTCTCTCCATCACTCGCTTTCCACCTCTGCCAACAAACACCAAGAGAGATATATTCTGACAGAAGGTGATGGAAAGATCAAAAATAATTCAATAAATAACAGATACATTAGTCAGAAGTTTTTCTTCTCTTCCCTGTACGTATTTTTCGCGTAAAACTTTCCTTCTTGTTTACCCACATTTCTATCAAAAGTCCCCAAGTATATTATATTATTCATTATCATGTTTTGCATTACAACAACAAAAAATAACTTCACTTTTCCACTATATAACAATGAACAGGAGTGGGAAAAATTAATACAAGTTCCTGATAACATACACAAAAGGAGAAATCAGCCATTCCCTCTGTTCTTCCGTAACATATTAAGCATACTCTCGAAATTGAGGCATCTTTGGTGGTGTTCATGTGAAGTATGGAAAGCGTTCATCAATATTCACAAACGGAATTTCAAATTTCCAAACCAAAACTCACTTATCATGCTTATCATCGATAGAGTATTGCAGCCGAAAGTCAATTGACTTCTTGTATTCTCATCAAATGTTAAAGAGCCCTCAGAGACTGCCTTCTACACACATATCGAGAGATACTAGTAGATTGTAAAGTAGTTTATTTATGGACTTTCCCAACACAAATTTCTACCCTTACACATGTAATCCTCTTGTTGTATACAAATCCAAATATATGTACATCTGTAAAAAATGCAGAGAAAGTATCTATAATGTCTACCATTTCCCATTGCCCTTTTTCTACCTTCAATCCTCACAGTTTCCTTCATCCGTCTATCTACTCACTTTGACATCGCCATTTATAACCCTCCAGAAACTATATATTACCAACGAGACTTTAGATATGAAAATAAATTAAATAGACGCCAACTTTTTCTCCATCAGCTCCATCTCCAGTAAATCCACGGAGAAAAGGGAAGTAAAATGGAATGTGTAGCACTTTTATACCATCGAAACAAGAAGATAAACAGATGAAAAGTGCTAAAAGCTGTTTGATTTCTTTTTAATTCGCCCTCAAACAAACAAAAAACACAGCCGGAAGAGCACTTTCATCAAAACTTAAATTGCTACTCTTACACCTGGTGCTGAAGTCACGAAAAGCACGTGCCCGTTGGATATATTCTCCCTTCGCCCCCCAAAAATTCTAAAGACACAAGAGAAAGAGAGAAAGATTTCACATAGAAAAATCTGGCACTCTTGCGTTCCGCCCCGTCGACGGCGCGAAGCAAAAGGTAGACGGTACACACTTTAATGTCTTATATTGCCAGTATAGTGAAAAGGAATTTCACTGGGTGTCAACAACAACAAATTCGAAAGAGACGTGGCTTAAATTTGTGATCAATAGAAATAATATGAAAAATGATTTTTTTTTTCTTCTCTTCTCACAACAAAACAACGTTACGCAAGAACACGAGAATTCAATAAGACTTATTTTTTCTATCGTATCTAAATAAAAATCACCATTTTTTCAGATTTACCACCTCACGCCGCATGACTTTTCCCCTTTCTTCGCACTTTCCATCGCATTGGCGTAGTGCGAATTTCATTTCACTGCTCAGCAAAGTCACATCAATAAAAAAAACTGCTGAAAACAATCATAATTTCTCATTCCCAAAATGTGTTCTCTCAGAACATTGCAATATAATTAAGGAATCAACTTATTTCTTGATGAGATTTATGTTTCTTTCTTCCTTCTCATCCACTCATTGCCGACTATCCGAAAACTTACGAGATTTTTCAATTCGAGGATCCTTATGTCTTAGAATTTTTAGAGGAAGTCCCACTACGCCTTTGACTAGTCTATAAATATAGACACGCCAATGCGTCTCAAAAATATATTTCAACTTAGCGTCAGAACATATCTGCATGATAAATCGTAACATAATATTGACGCAGAGTGTTATGGAATAGAACACAATGATAAATGATATGCACGGAAAAGACGATGGGAAATATCCCGCTGAAAGGGCTGCCAATATTTTCCCACTCCTCATTTACCCGTACATAATGATAATATAGCAAGAATAAGACTCACCGCCACCATGTCTTCAATGGCTGCAACATTCTTCGATCCCAGCATCACCATTCCCATTGCAATTCCTGCTGCTTCGCCGGTAATTGCGTCGTCCTGGTACAAATTGAATTTCAATTGCTCGTACACGTCGTGCCTATGCGTTCCCATCGCCGCCAATCCCAAGCCGAGACATCCTCCGTGACGAACATTCTTAAAATTTTAAGAAAAATAAGAATAAAATTACAAGTCTACTCTCCACCCGTGCAGATAAGGAATTCCGGGTTACACAGCGGAATTTTCGCCTTCCATCAACTTCAACATCGTATGTTGAACAAGGCTCATCACACAAACAATATAGTGTACATGTTTTTCAGTCCTCCTCACCTCATTCCTGGCATCCTTCAGCTGTTGCAGAAGATAATCAATGATATTCTCTCCGTGATTCGCATGAATGAGGCCCAAGGCATACAAGCCGCCGCCTTCGGAGTATCCAGAACTAGGACCAGCCTCTTTCGGCAAATAACTCTGCATTAGCGCCAAGGATTCCTGCTCATGACCTCGATGGATAACACCAAGCGAAGCAGTGGCCGTTAATTTGGCCCAATTTGTTGCACGAGCCAACCACTCTAGATTATCTCTGAAAATAATATCATTATACAGGGGAGAAGATTATAAAAAAGTCTTCATTTAATTATCCATCCCATGTGAATCCCATGGCGGCATTACATTAATTGATAATTCCCTTCAAACACACTCGCTTTCGCCTCTTCGGGCATGTTTTCGTTCAACGCCTCGGCCTTCGAAGGGAAATGCATGCGATCCTGTAGATAGCAAAACACACACACACTCGCTTCCTTTTGCCATGATGTATCATGAAAATACTCCATCACCCGTCTTTTCACCCCACAACTAAACTCTTCTTTCACAGTTGAATATTTAGAGGATATCAAGATAAGTGAATTCGACTTTATTGCTTCACCTCTTCAGGCCAAACACTGATGACGAGGGAAGATCAATAGGCAACAATCGATAAACTTTTACTGGAGTTTGAGTTTCGCGATTCAGTTGAAATTTCTCGAATCAGAAAAGTACTTCCTTCCCTTTAACGCACAAAAAGTCCTTTCGAAGTACAGTAGAGAGAATATAAATATTACATGTCAATTGCGTAAAATACTTGCACGTCTTATAAAAATCAAATAACAATAAAAGAGAAAAAAAATGTAAATTGTAAATATCCGGCAAATCCATTCGAGAATCATCAGCTGTCAACTGAATGAATTTCATGGGATATTCGTGGATTAAGATATCAAAACGTTAAAATACCAACATTTCCCAGATATCCGTCAATTTCAACTCTCAATTCAAAGATAGATTGACATCTTGATCCTCATATCCTTATTTTGACTCCAAAATCTTATCCTTTCCATCACATTAGTCGGCTAGACTTGACGTGCTATTTATTTTCCCCATTGTAAATTCTTGTCTACCAATCATTATATGTATTATTATTTCACTATATTGAGTGCGAACACAGGAAATCGAGATGAACTTCCCATCCTTTCGAAGCTGTCTCTCAACTCGCAATATCGCTGAAAACCTGACACGGTTTCCTTTGCTCTGTCATTTCTTTGCAATTCTCAACTGTGAAAAGCAACAAATTTAATTCTCAACATTCCTCCTTCTGTCCTGCATTTTGCATGAGTACAAATATCCTTGAGAACACTTTTTTTCTGCTCTCTCTCCCTCACTAGGAAAGTATTTATACATTCGAGTTTGCAATGAAAGAAAAAAAAAACTCATCTGACTGTTGAAGGCAAGAGAAATTACTACATTTAATTTCTCATGCTGAATTTTCTCGGATTCAATTAAAAATAACCCTCCCCCAAAAACAATGGGCATGAAAGTTTTGAAGGTAAAATCATTAAAACAATCCTGGGGAGAGCACAACATGCCAAAAGAGCGTTGATTTCAAATGAAATTGCATTCATGGCATGAAACTATTTAGCAAAATGTGAATGATTTATGTCTGCGAAGCTAAATTTAAGTTGAAACCTGAATATTTTCAAGTGAAAAATGCACCATTTGATTACTGACCTCGCTGCAATATTAATTCCAAGTCATTAGTTTAGCAACACACTGCAGAGTGGATTGTAAAATTTACAAGTTTTACTAAAATACTAATTAGAAAATGTATTTTCCCAAGCCATTAGGATAAGAATAGTACAAAATAATGCTCACTTTCTCACTATAGAAAGTTATTGGAAGCAATCTCATCTCGTCTCCGCCACAGGACATCAAAGTGGAATTAAACCGAGTAATTTCAACACAAATTGCAATTGCTTTAGCTGCTGGTTTTCTTAAAACTTATACATAAATTCAAAAAGCCATTCCACAAGTTTCTGCAAGTTAGCGTCTGGCTAGACTTTGTCTTTGGCTTGAGAAATTAATGTCATGAAAATATTGTACTTTATAATGGGGTGGAATAAACTATACACACACACACAAACATAGAGAGCATGGCTTTATCTTCATCCGTTCCTCTTTCTCGCCCCATCACGGTCCACACTTTCAAATCTTTAATCAATTTCCAACAAAACTCAGTGAAATGAACACCAATTTCACACAGTTCCCAAATCAGACTCTCAATGAATAATCTCTAAATGGATTCTGACATATGTATTGGGATTCGCTTTCGCTCGCCGGGAGCCTTTAAATTGATTTCTTCCATCATATTAGGAGAAGTTTGCATAGAGTTTCTCGGCCCGATATTAAATGGTTTAGGAAAACACAGTCCTTTGTCAATAAAATCAATTGGCATCATGGGAAATTTGTCACGATTTCAATTTCCCTCGTGAAAAGATGACGGTGCGCTCTTTCTCCCTCCCCCATCGCAAAAACACACACACTCCCCATGAGCTCCAATGGAATTTCGGGCGCTCACCTGAGGAATTGATCACTTGTTGTGCCGCTGTGCATGAAAGCGTTGGCAATCACCGTCGCAGTGTGGCAAATTGACACCCGGACGGCCTCTTTGGTCGCCCGCAGAATTTGCAAATCAGCGTGATTGCTGCGAATCAGGAATTGCAGCTGCAGATCGATGGAAATCTCGCCCGAGAGGATGTTCACTAGCTTCTCGATATTCGACTGGTGTTCCTTCTCACTCTCGTTCAGGCTGTCCACGCTTCGCTCCACCGTCACATCGCCGTCGTCATCCGTGCGGGAGTCGTTCTTCTCCTCGGCGCCTCCACTAGGCGGATTCAGTCCCTGCGGCTTGAAATTCGACGGCAAGGCGCTCGGGATCGGCGCGGTGGTCTTCAGAGCCTGCAACACTTCGCCCAGGAATTGCTGTGTCGCCGATTCATACAGATCAAAGGCGATCTGATAGGCCATCAACACGTTCTGACCTCCTTCTGCAAACACAAAATTTCTTTAGCTAAACAGCTAAAAATTTATCTAACGCAATAATAATAAAACTTTCTTTATAAATCTAATTTCTCATTCTCGAAGAAAGAAAAACGCCGCCGCGGAAATTATTCCCGCGCAGACTTCCCCGGCTCAAACTCACCTTTAGTCAGTTTGTCCAGAATCTCTGCCACTGCGAGGGGATCTTCGAGGAAGATGAGACACTGGCACATGCTTACGTAGTCCGGCACGCCGAGATTGCGGTAGAGCTCGACCAGAGCGCGCAAAACGGTGTTCCGGAAAGCGCGGTTCTGGATGAGACTCATGGCGACCTGGAAGGCGTACGAGAGCATGCCGGGAATGTCATCGGACTGCATGATGGAGGACTGGAAGATGTCCATGCGACGCGTCTCCAGGGCGATGCCCAGCGCCTGGCGGTACTGGCCGTCGTCCAGGCAGCGCTGGATCATGCGATTCACAATCGCCTCGAGGCGCGCGTCGATGGGCTTCGCCTCCGTGGGGTTCTCGATGAGCGCCACACGCTGCTGGATGTAGAAGTCGATGCACTTGGCCACAATCGTGTCCACATACTCATTCCGGGCGTTCACGTCAAACAGACCGCCGGCGCCTAGGGCGTAAGTCAGCGCGTCTTCGAAGGAGCCGAGATGGTAGTAGACCTTCGAGGCCACCAGAGCAGCCAGATCATGCTGCCCAAAGCCCTTGTCCTCGTGCAGAATTTCGCTGCAAAGTCGAAAATACCGCGTGAAAAACAATCCTTCCGCACAAAGAAAGTGACTCACATCTTCTCAATCGCCTCAGAGATTTCTGGCCAGAATTCATCGACAATCACGTCGAGTTTCTGCAGCGCGAACACCTTCAGCTCAAACATGGGCTCATCCAGGAGCGATATAATGCCGGCTGCAAGTAGAAAGAGCCCCAAAAGGGGCGGCATTGGAAGAATGTTTACATCATTCCTAACCTCAAACTCCATCATGACTCGGCAAATTGAAATCTGCATTCTTGCAATGGGAAAAAGCTTTTCTCACCGGCAGATGTGATATTCATCTTGTTGAGCTGCTCAAGATATCTTGTAGAGAAATTAATTGGGGATTTTCAGAGAGTATTTCCACAAAAACCACGCAAACACTCGCGAACACTACGAAGTCATTCACGAAACTGTGCGTCTGAAGTTTTTACCACGCACTAATACACTGTAAAATGAATGGAAGAGCAGCGAAAGAAATTTTTACTCGCGTAAATTCCATAAACCGCCTAATAATTCACTGTCATTCTTCTGTGCTTGAGTGAGGCTTGAATATTCGTACTAATTGGCCAAGTTTCTTCATGATTTGCCATTTAATTATTTGGAAAAATCCCTTTTTACAATTTTCTTCGAAGGCTCTCCGAAGCGTCTGCAGCGCCTCGGGTGATAAGTATCTGAAACCACTAATCGCGCTCTCCTCGTCGATTAATCGATTTTTCATTCTGTCATTCCGGGATGTTGGCGAACGGAGGAAAAACATAATTATCGGCATTTTTTCTACAATTTCTGTGTCCCCTCAATGTGTAGTGTAGAGTGTATCGTGTGTACATTTCGCCAAGATAGCGAGAGTGTCTAGAAGTTATCGCGCTGGTCGTGTAAACAGCCTCAAAATCTCATCCAGTGCTCTTCCAGTGTCCCGAGAACAAGGAAAAATCGCCTTTTTGCGTTTCCCCACGGCGCCGCGAGGGGCGCCCCCATCCAGAATGTCAATACGCACAAGGAAGAGGATTTAAGTGGAGGAAAAGCAGAGATTTTCGCTTGAAAATGGTGAGTTTGCCTCTTAACCCACTTTCCGTGAGATCTGGGGCTCCGATTGGCGGGGCGCTATATTGGACTTTGGCAGGGCTGAGCGCAGGAAATGCTTGAAAATTGCTCCTTTCGCCACAGAACGCAATGGAGTGAGACTTCTCACACTGCACGACATAATGAAAACAATCCTTTTTGTGTATATAGAAAAATTCACCTCATCTCTTTGTTGTGCTCATCATTCGCACGAATGATCCCGTGTCTTGTCTCAATGATGTATGAGTCGAATATTAGTCCTGACACCTCAAAAAGGGGCCTCAAAAGGACTGTCGAGAACCCTTATCGATTGTCTGACGATACAAAAGAGGCAATAAAACGCGCTCCCGGACACTGGAATTCATGAAAAGAATGGAGCCTCTGTAAATCGTGTGTGTGAATTAATTCGTAACATCCACAGATGCACTGAGAATATTCCCACAAGAAGACCAAGGAACTCTTATTGGAGCAAGAGAGAGAGAGAATTCCGCGATTCTCTCGAGCACACGTGTTCAGGGAAGATTGTGTGCTTCTCGCATTCCCTGGAGCTCGGAAATTTCTCCTCTGGCTTCCATTCCCACCACAAAAGCGTCAGTGTTAATTTTAGATGCCACACAGGGCTCATCATCGATCACTATTTAATGCCGAGTCGCGCTATTGCGAAGATTCCATTCTCACCCAAGGGGCTCGTCAATTGCTCAATGGGTGCCTTAATTATGAATTTAATAAATTCTATGAACCTCATTTATCAAATGGCTTTGAACAGACTCGATTTTGGAATTGTTAATCTTGATTAATTGATACCAATTGAAAGTCAGATCGTTTTAAATTCTCTGCAAAGATAAACCATTAATCAGATTATGAAGACTTAAAATGATATTAGAAAATTTCCAGATTATGCCCAGTGAATATTAAAAAAAATATTTAAATAAGTATTTAAAATTGCGAAATGTCTGAATATATTTTTTGATTTCAATATCGTGGACATCAATATTTGTATTGACACACCTTCTGGAGTGTGTTTAAAGTTGAGATTTCAACAGAGAAACCTCCAAACAACTCCAATTGTGAAGTGAAATAGCTCAGAATTGGAATTCTCAGGCAAAAAATAGACTTTGCATAAGATTCTACACAAGTAAGAACATTGTCGGATGGAAATTATTGCTTCACTTTTCCTGAATTTTCACACGAACTTGGTGTATGAGAGGAGAAAGAGAGAGAAAGAGATAAAGACGCACACAGAGAATTGCTGCGTGTGAGTGTGATATCAAAAATGCAGCTGCTTCGTATGGGAGAAATTAGTCTAAATTAACACAGTCAGTTGGGAGGAATTCACGGAGTGGCTTCTTTCGCAGATGAAGTGGTGACGGCGCGATGGAGGCGAGCGGGGAGACGGCCACCCTGCGGCAGGGCCAGAGTGGCCAGGCTGTGATGAGGTCAAGGCCGAGCAGCCTGCTGGGGCCCGAGAGGGAGCCCGTGAATTTCAATGTGAGCCTCGTTGGGGCGCCGCCAGAAGTGGAGCAGCTTGTGGAGCACATAAAGCAAGTTGCTGAGCAATTTCTCTATCACTGGAAGACATTTCCAATTGGTAAGTCGACCGTTTTGTCACCTGTGCGCGAAAGTTGCAGAGATTAATTGGCATTTCACCGGCAGTTCTGCCCAGTCCGCTATGCGGCGGCAACAGTACATCGTCCGCGTCCTCTAATGGGAATAGGAAATCACGTCCGATAAATCTGCGTGACTTGTTCGTGGCACCGCCTTTCGATGAGTTGGACGCCGTGGCGGCCGATGGCAGCGGCGAGCCGAGGAGATTGACCAACAATCAGCTGAAATCACTGCGAGAAAGAGGGTTTGTACACTCATTCTCTGCTCAGATACTCAATTCCTCTGGCCAAGAAATCATTCTTCCACCCCGACGAGAGAGAGAAAGAAAGAACCAATTTAGTTTTTAGCACCCACTCAAATCAGCTCTGAAAAGAGAGGAAATCAACAATAGTTGTACATATACTTTTCCGTTCATGTTTGGTTCATTTTCCCCACTGAGTATATTTGTTGATTGGGACGAAACAAATATGTGATAAATAACACCTCACAAAATTTGTCTTCTAATTTACTTCAATAGTTTTATTGTTTTGTTACACAGATAAGAACATTTTTCTTTATCTTAGCCATGAAAAAGAACAGTAAAATACAGGGTGGAGTTTATCAGGCGTTTGGGAAATTGGCGGTTTCATAAGAAAACAAAAATTATAGGTCTTGAAAGCATTGTGACTACTTTTCATGACGCAAATTCAGTGCAAAGATATGACGGAAATGTGATTTGAGTGTTCAAAGTATTGATTTGTCTCGAACATTGTGTAAGAGACAATTGTCATATGTGCAATCCATGAAAATTTGTAAGATGTATGATAGAGAATGTGGATTTCAGAGATTCTAGTCATGCAAAAGTCACAAAATGCCTGTACAGCGTTTGTTTAGGAAAACTAGCGAAATACGTCGATAAGTCACCTGATAAACCACACCCTGTATTTCTTGCCCATAATAACATAAAACAAACTGTTTGACTAACAAATGCACTCCAATTGTAAAGCTTGCAAAAGGATAAATTTGGGAAACCGAAGAAGCTAAGTTTGGAGCAATTGGAAACGATACGCTCGACAGGGTAAATAGATTTTCTCCTACCAAAACAAAAGCGAATGCGAAAGACAAGAAGAGAGAGAGAGAAAGATGCGACGAGAGTAAATAGAATGTTGAGAAAAGTGGGCATGCGGGAAGATCCGGGAGAGCGGAGGAGGCGAGAAGAAGAAGCAATCCAGAAAAATGTGCATGATTATGAGTGTGTAATTGTGAAATATTGTGATTTAATGGACGGGAAGTTGGAGTCTGTGTAAATTTCATGAAAATTGGTAGATTTATTGTCTCTGTAAATGTGTAAATTCTATTGGAATGATTGTTAGATGTTTTATTTTAATATTCTCTTCTACACTTTTTCGGTCACTCTTTCGTTTTGTAGTCTTCATCACTGTACAAATCATCAATTTCACTGTTTTCTTTTCCAAAGCAATTCTTTCTGTCCTATCTGCAAGATCATTCGCTGATTTGATTTGTGTTTTCTATATGTATCGTGTGGTAAAATTCTGGTCGTAATATTTATTGATAAATTTCAAGCAAATTTAAGTTTGAGATATAAATTGGAAATTCTTTATAAATATTTTAAATGGAAAAACGTTACGTTTTTTTGTCACTAATTCATGAATATTGGACCAGATTTCATCCCAAATCTCGATATTGATAAATGTCTACAGAAAATTCTCTTCTTAACTGCCTATGAGTTTGATGGATTTGTGTGTTTCAGCAAACCGATGAAATGGCCATTAAATCAATTGTGCTTCTCTTCCCATTTGCAGGGAGTTTGAAGTGGCGAGCTTGAATTTTCCCGGTCAAGTGCATCGCTGGCGGCTTTCGCAGCTGCTGCAGAAGGGCTGCGAGCGTGCCCACGATTCTCTACTCAGCGATTTGGCACTTGCGGCACGTTTCATTGTGGTGACGGCCAAGTCACGTCTTACGGGGCACTTTTTCAGCGTAGCGCAGGGCGCGCGGGCGTTCTTTGACGGGCTGATCAAGATACTGGACATGCTCGTCGGGGTGCCGTCGCTGATGGCACACAATCTCGATTACAAGATTAAGGAGGAGCGCTGTCGCTTCCTGGTGGCGGAACTTGTGTGCCGGGTAAACGAACGATTATCCAATTTTCTCTATTTATCAAATTTTTCATGCTGTCTCGCATTTCAACCGCGCACAGCCAGAGTATGAGGATTGTATGGATTCACTGACGACTTATGTGAGACACCAACTGAGGCGGGCGACAATGGAGAAGTTCGAAGTGGAGTGCGACACGAATGCGCAACCTATTCCGTATCTCTTCCTCACGCCAAAGGGCCAGGAGATTGACTTGAGGCTGTTCTCGCGCGATATCATGAGAAAGACGCTGCCAATACTGATTGGCATCCTCGAGAGGGAGACGCGCGGGTGGTTTCTGCACTTTCGTGAGCGTCTCATTGCCGAGATGAGGGAGAAGAAGATGCCCGACGAGGAGATTGAAGAGGTGAAGAATTCTCTTTTTTTTCTTCATTAATCAAGACACACATTTCAAGATTGAAATCTTTGTGCTTTTGAAAGGTATTTCCATTGTTATTCAAATTAGCACAGCAGCGTCTATATGAGAAGCGAGAGAACCTTTGATTTCTCTGTTTCTACCGAGAGACAAAAAAGAGAGAGGATATTTGATTAAATGACACGACAAAAGAGATTTTCTGCTTTGAGTTGGGAACCTCAAAAAGAGTAAATTGCGTTTCTTTGGATATATTTGAAAGATATAAAGAACAGTCTTGAAAACTCATAAACTCAATTACGATAATTGCGAAAATCCCCTTTTATATTCAAAATTCTATGAAGAGTTTGTCTAATCTGTATAATATCAAAATTGCCTAAGGAGTTACGGAGTTAACGAATGAGACAATTTTTTGGTAATTTTCAATCAATACTGATGGTGTTTTCAATAAAATAAGCATGAAAATATGACAAAGACCTAAATTATCAATGGTATTTATACGGAGTTTTAAATTTACAGGAAGTGAACGAGGCGGTGATGAAGGAATACTTGCAGCGCGTGTACAGCTCTATCCTGTCCAACACAGATCTTGAGGATCTGGGCGTTGGCGTGCCGCAATTGCTGGTGCAGCAGGCTCAATCTGTGGTGATCATGCACAAGGCAGTGGAGAAGATTCAGCGCGAGTTGAAGCACTGTCGCGAGGAGCAGCAGAAGAATCTCACGGAAGTTCATCCAGTGCTGTCTCGTGTTGCTCCGTGGCTGCGCTCGCGCTTGTCCTCTGCCGAGCTGTCAAAGCTCACCAAGACCACATGGTCAGCTCACGAAGAGGCACTGAAGGGCTGCTCAAAGCACAATCTTCAGCAGACGGCGTACTTCCTCAACCGCGACATGGTGTTTATGAAGGAGCGCGAGCCGGTGCTGCTGAAGGAGTTGCGGAACGCCAAGACCCCCACGAGGAACTTCCAGTGGCCGTGCAGAATTTGGGCGCCACAATCGTGGATTATCAGAAGGAACTTCCAGGGACAGTCAGAAGTGATTCCTACGGTGATTTGCCAGCAAGCCACGTCCATTGTCACGCCACGCAGTGACCCAAGCCAGCCAGTATTCCTCGTGGAGAAGGAGATCAATCGCACCACGAGCACGCGCTGGCCTCTGTGGCGTCTGCTGAATCTGATTCAGCGCACGTGGTGCTGGACGTGGAACATGATGTTCCTCCTGGGCATCGTGGTGCCGTGGTGCAGTCCTCTGGGATTGCGAGCGTTGTTCTGCATGAAACCATTCATGCACGATCTGGAATTGTCACAGATTAATGGCACACTCTTTCCACGGAAGACGAGCATCACGCAGACAATGGCGTCTCGTTTGTTGGAGCTCTGGAGACACATATCAAAGGTATAATTGCTGTGGGAGGAAATGTGTAAATGAGTGTCATTAATTGTCATTGTCTTCACAGGCACGAACACACTTTGAGACAGAACCGGACACGGGCTTCATCGGGAAAGGCATGACAAGACACATGAATCGTGTGTGGAATTATGTACTGAAAGGCTTCCTTGGGACACTCCTCATTATCTTTATCTTCCCGCTATTGTGCATCCTCGTCAGCCTCGCGAGTATTGCTGGTGCAATCACAGCTCCACTTTGGGTGCCAATAGTGACACTGCTTCTGCACATTTACATGATGCTTATCTACGATTTGGACTGTCCGGAGTCGTCGAGGAATCGCTACTGTGTTCTTCTGGAGGCTGTTGTGTGGAATATTGTTGTGCAAGGTTGCTTTCAGCCGCTGCTGGCCGTCTTAGTGGCCACTTGCATCTGTCCGCTGACTTCTGTGGCCGTTCTCTGCGTCGGTCTGACACGCTACTGGCTGAGACTTCTCTGGGATTCCATGACATTTCACCTGTTCATCAAGAAGTGCGGTCGCGTGCCAGCGAGTGACAGTCTGGCTGTGCGTCGCATTGCTGGACCGGGATTGGCATTGGATTACTACTTTGTCATCAAGCCCGAACAAGCACTAGCGGCATTTGAGGCGAAGATGGAGATGGAAGAGCTGAATGCCTTCGAATTCGCCATGGAAGCAGTGATAATGCAGCCTCAGAAGGACTTCAGTCAGTTTGTGAAGGCTTGCTTTGGACCATTTTCAGCGGAGCTGTCCAAAACGGGTCCTTATCGGAATCTTGAGCGTGAGAGCAACGATCTGATTGCCTCACTGCGAGAGAAGCTAGAGAAGAGACGCAGAGATTTGCAGACTGGCCTCACGCCGGCCGTGAAGGCGAAGATCAAGATGACAACGATGGATCTGAAGATTGCCATTCAGCAAGGAGCTCATTTGCTGGAGAGATTCTATCCAAGCCATGTTTTGCCGCACTTGTCGCTGTCTGAGGATGAATTTTGGGAGACGAAAGGCATATCGCATGGAGATTGGGCAGGATTAGCGGGTGTACACTATGTGGAGATCTTTAGTCTGGACTTTCTCACGCCCGCCGGTGATTCGGAGACACAGTTCAAGCTGGAGGCTCATCAGCAGCTCGATCTGTCGCGCTACAGCGAAATGGTACAAAATGCTAGCGATATCATGGGTGTGAATGGACCGGATTTGCTGGGCAATGTCTATGCTCCGCGCGGGAATATCCAAGTGCACTCGCCATATCTCGAGGTGTCGGCTTTCAATCCACGCTCCAGGATCACAATGAACTTCCGGAAGGCGGAGAAGCGACAGTGAGTCACCTGAACTTCAGCTAATTTGCATTGCTAATTGTATTTTTCTTTCAGTGACAATATTCCATCGGGTTTGACCACACCGCGAGTGCGCGCACGGCGGCAACAGCCGGTGAGCAACACCAATCCGCCATGGCGGCCGTGGAAGAGGAAACACGGCGAGTTGAATCCGGCTGAGAAGCTGCTTATCCCACTTCCAATTCCACATCCAGTGCATATTGCCATCGCCATCCACAATAGGGACTCTGAACAACCCATTCCTCTGGACTCAGAGCTCTGCTGGGAGATTCTTCGCGCCATCGAGGACTGCCAAGGCGATTTGCAAGTGAGAATCTAAAAAGTCTAAATGAATTAATTGTGGAAGTCTAGATTACCACTTGATGTTTTAACTGAAGCAAATGAATTTCTCTAATCGTCATGTTTGCTTACACTTGTGCACGTTTTCCTCCCTTTCCAGGCCGTGAGTGCGATCGCACGTTTCCGCGGCGGTGTGGCGGACTCGAGCTTGGACTCGCTGGGATCGCAGACGTCGGAGGACAGCAATGAGTCGCGGGAGAGCATCGCAGCCGTGACGGGAGCAGCACTGGGCACGACGGAGACACTGCCATGCGGCACGACAGCCGTGCAGACGACGCAGTCGGACAACAATTGCTTCCACTGGACGCTGAGCAACTGGGGCGCGGCGCAGGCGGCCAAGCGTCGCAACACTTCCGGCACCGTGCGCGTGGACCTGGCCAGTCCGGAGGACATCTCGCTGGACACTGATAGTTCCAGAGCGATGTACAGTGGCGGCGCGTATGGCACGAACGTGTAATCCAATTGCGCGCGGGATTTGTCTGTGCACACATTTATCGTTTCTCTTCTTTTGCGTTTCTGTGTGATAATTGTCTTGAAAAGGATTAATTTCTCTCTACAGAGTTCAATTATTTGGTATATTTAGGGGTTTAAGTGATGGAGGTGTTGAAAACAGCGCAATCCGCCCAATTTATTTGGTTTCTTTTGCACACAACTTTCTCACCCGCAATAACGGATTTCTAAAGAGGATTTATTGATTAAGGAGGCAAGTTTATAGTAGTAAAATCTAGTCTAAATTGCATACAAGAGTAGAAAAAATCATAAAATGAATATCAAGATGATTTACAAAAAGTGTTTACACATTTTAGAGCTATAATATTACTTATATTTCATATACAATTACAACTAGACGTAATCTATTAATATATTATATATATATAGTCTGTAATTGACAACGTAAAACTTACCCAACACCAAAAAAGTGAGACATAAAACATGAACAAATATTGACGAAATAAAACCATTCATGCTCTCTATTCTGCACATCATAAAATATTCCTTCGAAGTTGTTTGCAAAACACGTAGAATTAAATGTAGAATAGGAAGTAAAATTGACTAGAATTGTCAGCAATTATTCGAATCTACCTGATAAAAAAGAAGCCTAGAATTAAACTATTATGAGTTAAGGAATTTTTGCACAATTTATCTCTGGATGAAAAATAATACATTCTCATTGCGACATTACCGTGAAAAAAAGGACAAATTTTTTTCTTGAAGAAAATGAAAAATCCAAGCAAAGTGTTTCAAATGCTAGTCAATGAAGGAAACTCGTTTAACTAGAAATCTACATGATATTTCCGTTTTTTTGTAGAATTGGCGAGAGCCCAGACAAAATGTAATGAATAAAAGTGTTCTTTTTAATAAAGCTTTTACTCGAAAAGTTTTTTTTTTGGCTTTAAAGTTGCACTGTCCCAGTCTTTTCAAGCCACAAGATCATGGTCTCGAAAAGTGCATATTTTGAGAAACACTGTGAAAACTTGCCAACAGTTGCGCGCCAAGTGAAACCCAACAAAGCTGAAGCGAAATCATTTTGTTGGTCTCTTTCTGTCGCATGGAGATTCGATATCTTGCTGCTCTTTCTCACGCGAGAGCGCAATCAGCTGATTGACTTCTCTCGCTCTCTTGGAATTTTTTGGCGTCATATTTGACAGTTGTAGATTTGTTTGGTGACGTTTTCCCTGTGAATTTTCTCCAATTTTCGTGTGTTATTCGCTACTTAGCCAGGCTGAGAGCCATGACATCGCTCTTTGAGAATCTCAAGAAACTCTACGAGTACGAATTGTACTCGGATGTCATGACATTGGTAAGAAATCTGGCCTCTTCTTTCGGCATTCGACTAACCTTCCTGAATTGTCGGCTTCCTCACAGGCAAATCTCATTCTCTGCTCGTACGAGCGCCACCGGCTCATCCTGTCGCACCAGGAGCATTTCCTCACGCTGATGTACTACGGAGATGCGCTGTGGAGTGTACACAGGTACCGGAAAGCCGAGGGACTCTATCGACAAGCACTGCAGGCCAAGAAGATGTTGACGAAGCTGAAATCACCGTCCGGGAAGCAAACTACCGAGCCTGCCGATCCATTCCCGGAGACTGAGATCAAGTTCAAGATCGCCAAGTGTCTGGTGGAGGTGAAGCAGTCCCAGGAAGCCATCACAGTGTTGCAATCCATTCCAGTGAAGCAGCGATCGCCCAAGATCAACGCTCTGTACGGCCGGCTGTCTCAGTACAACGGCCACGACCGCTGCGCCGTGAGTTCCTATAAGGAGGTTCTCAAGGAGTGCCCGCTGGCGTTGGAGATCATGGAGGGACTCCTGCAGCTGGGCGTCAAGGGTATCGAAGTCAACTCGCTGGTCGTGGACGCAACACACTGGCCGCAGTGCTCGGACTGGTTGACGCACTGGATCGAGGCGAACTCCTTCATCGCCTTCCGCAAGTACCCACAAGCCATCCAGATCCTGAAGAACCTGGCTGGCGACTCCCTCATCCAGGACTACAACAAACTGCTGGTCTTGATCGGCGAGAGTTGCTACCACAACGCGGACTACAACAACGCCCTGAACTACCTGAAGCGCGCGCATACGCTGCAGCCGCAAGCAACGGATGGTATCATGATCCTTTCGAGTCTGTACGCGAAGAAGAACAAGATCAGTGAACTGGAGAAGCTGATCACGCCGTCGGCGTCCGTGTGGGAATACACGACGGAGAACTGGTTCATCATGGCTCAGTATCTCTTTGTCACGGGGAAGTACGAAAGGGCGGCATATTTCGCGCAGAAAGCGTGCTTTCTGGATAGCCGGAACATCGAGGCAATCCTCCTGAAGGCCAACATCTTCTTGGAGCTGAAGAAGTACAAAGATGCTCTGCTGCACTTGCGAACTGTCCAACTGGTGAGTGTCATTGTCTTATCATCCTGGTCAGCTGTGAACAACATTAATTGAAAAGACTGTTTATACGGTTTACATTAGGGGTTAATTGGGTGGAGCATTCTAGTGGGCGGAGTTTTTAGGATTATTCCTTTACCTCTTATCTTTACTTCTCCGAAACAATTACCATATAACGTGACTTTACGCAATTTGTTATGACACAATAATTTATTGAAAGGAGAAAACCATCGTTCTTCTCGTAAAAGTCATTTTAAAACGCTCTTCGTGCCACTGTTCGAGAGAAGGGTCAGTTCTTGACAAATCTCTATCTTCCGTGCTATTTTTGTCTGGAAAATCGATTTCCCGCCGTCTGTATATTATTCCAAGAACTCCCGCTCTGCGACGGACATAAATTTCGCATTGATGATTCATGCCTTCGCTGACGATGCGGCTTGAAATAGTGTCTGCACTGCGAATTAGATCATGTGTCTGATATTTTCTCCTCCTTTTCAGTACGCCCCATATCGCTTTGAGATGTACAAGGGCTTGGTGGACACGTACATGCGAATGCTGCGCTTCCGCGAGGCTCAGACCATGGCCCAAAATGCCGTGCGGTTTTTGGGCCAGAGTCCACGGACGTTCGTCCTGCTGGCGCGCACGTACGTGCGCGACGTGATGGTGAAGTTCCAGGCCACGTCGATGCTGGAGAAGGCGCTGGAGCTGGACGAGAACTACCTGCCGGCGGTGTTCATGATGGCGGAATTGCTGCAGGAGGAGGGCGAGAGCGCGGCGGCGATCGCGCTGCTGAAGCGGCAGGCGGACGTGCAGCCGAACAGCAAGGTGCACTGCATGCTGGGTGATATCCTGGGAGCGCAGAAGGACTACAGCGGCGCCCTGGAGAACTACACGGTGGCGCTGAGTCTGGACCCGGCGAACAGGAAGGCCATCACGAGCCTGATGGCCATGGGCCATCCCACGGGCAACACGAAGATTGAGAACGCCTATGTGACGCCCAGCACGCCGGAAGAGGGCACGAGCTACCCATACGAGTTGGAGGAAATCCCGCCGCCGGACATTGAATCTGAGAGCGAGGCGATGTGGTCAGATGTAGAGGTTGAGATCAGTTCGACATAAATGATCAACCCTCGTGTGAACTCTGTTGCTCTTGAACTTTCGCGCGAGGTTCTGAAAATGCGCTTCCTTTTAAGGGGGTGATCGACAATTTGTCTCTCTCCGGATGATGGTCAGTGCTGGCGGCGAGATGTGAGCGCTCGGGAAGAAGGCAAATGACCGCTAGTGGTGACTTTGGATGTCTATTTTTGGGTATCCAAATATCTACCATGCGGATTGTCGAGCGCACTCAAGGCGACCACCGACTCTGCAACACACTCGCGCCAGAGCTGCGAACAGTGTAGATGAAACATGAACGCGCGCGCGCGGTTGAAGGTGAGTTTGGCAAAACCCTTTCTTTTCACACTCTTGCGCGGCATTTTTTCCCACCGATATTCCGGTAATTATGCAAACCGCATTGTAATCTTGATGGTGCGCTATTGTTTTGCGCGATTTCCATTCAGTGCTTTGGCATCGGAATTGATTGGGTATTTTTTGCTCTCTAATAGTCTAATGGAATTTCATGAAGTGATATTTGGAAATAGGACGTTTTTAATTGGCAAAAAGCTCAATATTGTTTCATGAGATTGATTTGACTGTGAAAAACCAACAATTTTGCCACTGAAATGAGAATAGATTAATATAATATTGACCTCAATTCTGGCGCAAAAAGCAAGAAGACAACTCGGAATATGAGAGACTCATTTTAAAGAAGAATTCAACTCCAAAGCAATTGACTTATTTGCACAGAGTTTTCAGTTTTTAACATATAAAGAAGTCAAGTGATGTTGGGATTTCTGGAAACTGATTCTCTTGCATTCTTAATATGATCTTTTGGATCATTGAAAGGAAGTTGACCTAAGGCTATATTTTTACCTGATTGATAAGTCTCTCTATATCAACATCTCTCCGAACAATAAACCTCATAAATTACACTCAGCCAGTATCTAACCATAGACTTGAATCACGTTCAATTACGAGAAATTCTCTGAACACTTCTTATCTCAACTTTTCCTGTGCAAAAGTGACGAATTGTTATCGCAAAGCATTTAATTTTAGTGCGATAAAGAAAGTCGGTAATCATTTCTGGGGTGGCATTCCAACGAAAATGGCAAGTGTTGTGAATGACAAGATAATCTGATCTGCTGTCTGTCTCAACTCTGATGTAGATTTTCCATTCGGGAAACTTGTAAATCACAACAAAATCTGCCATAAATGCGAATGAAAATGAGGGAGTGGCAATTGTGTGTGTAATGCGCGATTAATTATCGTGAACGTGTAATTGTAGCGCCATTTATGGATGCAAAATTGTGTAAAATCCCTCCAGTAGGTCAGCAAGTGCGATTCGCCCCCGAACGAGAGGCGGAAGTGCTCTCCATGGCGTCTCATTCAAGTTCAATAGTGACTGTTGTTGTTTAATTGAAGTGCACTTTATTAGCCACTGTCGGCGCGAGAGTGTGACGATCTTCATCTTTTTTTGCTGATCTCGCAGAAATCGTGCTTGATTCCACGATCAAGTGGCTAATTGCCGAAGGTCGTTTCATTTAAATTCACAGATTTGGAAATGGCATGGTCACAAGAAGTGTTAGTAGATCATTAGCTGCGAGGGGATCGTGTTTTCTCCGCGATCATTTATCAAATGCGACTGAGAGTTTGCAGGTAAATATTTGATGCGGGTATTGATCGTCTGGCTTTTTGGGACGTATTATTTGCCAAAAGTGGGCAAAGAGGATGGAAGAAGACACTTGGAGAGTCAAAGATCCTGTGCAAGACATCGACAGATATTGTGTCTATCTGAAGAAAGCACTGTGGACTTGCGAATAGACAATATTCAAAAGGATCCATAGATTTTCTGCCTTTCCTGCTCCAAATTTTTAGAGACAACAAGAAAATTTACAGAGTAATAACTGAAATTAAGAAAATTCATCATTAAGAAAAACTACTTGCTTATAGTGTTGCTTATTTATTGAAGAATTAATTTAAAAATTATTTCACATAAAGTGAAATATTTGAAGACAAAATCGAGTATCTAATTCTGAATATTGGCATTTTCAATATATGTGCTATCTCGTTTTCTTCTACTGTATAGGAAATTCTTAGATGTAAAACTTTAGATGGTAAGGTGAGAATCTGAAATCTTCTGTGGTGTTCTGCAGTCTCTTCTGGTGTGCCTCGAATGTGCGTGAAATGGAGAGCAAATGAGCTCTTCCGACTGCAAGACGGCCGAGAGTCGTGCAGCCCTTTTTGCGGATGGGGTTCCGTTGGGGTTTGCGAGATCGCGGTTTGTCTCTCGCCAGAAAACGAAACCGTCGAATGCCAATAACTTCTCCAGCAACAGCACTAGAGCCGTCCCGCTCTCGTCCGCCTACCATCGCGTGCCATCTCGCTCTGGCGTGCCGTGCGATAGCGCGGCCGAGACTGTACACACCGTGCAACGAGAGTTCTCCGACTTCAGTCAACTGCAGTCTCCGGTTTGGTGAAGACGGTTTTAGCGAGTGATTCCGTGCGCATGCGCGCACTCGGCAGTTGCAAGGGATTCTCTGCCCACGAAGTGTGTGTGACGGTGTCAAAGTCACGGGAAGAAGGCTGAAAACTTTTCCGGGATTTTCCAACGAGACAGAAAAACGTCCACCGTATGCATAATGTGCTAATCGGTCGCAAATCCGCGCGAAGAAAGCCACCCGATTAAGCGCCGGCTCTTGAGATTATTTTCGACATAGAGTTTTATTTTTGCTGGGAAGCGCCTCTAATCACACACTCCCTGCAAAATTGTCATTTCGTGTGTGTTCTGCTCTTTTTTTTCTTTGGGACACAACTGTTCATATCGCATGACTGTGAGACAAACTTGTGGATGAGGTGATATAATTAATTATTCTATCGGATTCGCACATTTTTCCTTCCGTCTGGCGATCGCGCACAACAAACCGTCGAATGACTCACTTTGCCGTCTCATTGCCTGTTCCAACGATATTGCATTTCTCAGGCATTTCTAATTGTGATTTGGGAGAAATTTCCCTTATCACACAGTGAGTGTTGCTCGCTTTTGGGCAACAATATTCACACACACCAAACACGATAAGTCACTATCGGCTGACGAGACTTGTGGAGATTGATTGGCTGATAAGGAGTTGCGAAAATAAGGTAATAATCGACTATATTTTATTACTCCACTAGCACAATCTCTAATGCCGAAAATTAATTGATTTCCTGAGTTTCCTGGTGTGAAAAAAACGTGCCAAGAAATAATTAGCACGTCTCTTTGAGTGTGAAGTGTTAGCAAAATGATGTTTTGTTCCTTTGTTCCGACTCTTTTTTTTGTGTGTCGCGGCCCGTGCTTATCCATGATGATAAGAGAGTGTTCAGAAATGCGGGTTTTTTGTCGCCCTGAGGCCACACATCTCTCCTTGCAGTTGTGCCAAGTGCCAAGCGCACAGCACGGAATGTGGGTCAAATAACCAGGAACTTGGGAGAGAATCACCAGTAAATTTAAACGCAGGCACACTAAATTAAACACATTCGCGATTACATGGTGGAAATTACTCAATTGCACATTGCCGGGCGGTCAGTGAGCACGAGACGCCAGCTAAAATACCTGCCCTGAGCACTTCAGCAGCGTCATAATCGGCTGAACGCTGAAAGTGAAATGGGTCACGCATTGAAGGCATATTTTGGGAATCTCACTCCTCTTCCTGAGTGCGCTCATCATCCGACCGGACACATCCTCTGGCCCATCCCACGATACGTAGGACTCCTCCAAGGACATGCCTTCACCAACACACTCGCAAGGTTTCACTATGTCTCTCCTTCTTGGGGAGAAAACACGTGAAAAGGGCGTCTAGACGGCAGTTCTACTGTTCTTTTTCTCCGACTTCACCTTTTCGAGGAATTCAGCGCGATTTATTCATGTCACCTTCAACCAGCAAAGCCAGCAAACCGCTGAATCGATCGTCCGTGCCACTGAAATTGTGGAATTTCGCCTTTCCAACCGTCATTTTAATACCAAAACTTGCATTCCCGGAAAATTTTTCACACAACACTCCACAAAAATTGCCTCCCTGGATTGTGATTAATAGAGAAGTATGGTAATTTATTCCACTCCTCGAGGGTGAGCAACTCAAACGAGTACTGACTATTTCTGCATCTCACCTCAGAGCTTAATTTCAGGTGACATTCTTTGAATATTGGCTTACGAAATACAATTTACCCGACATAAAATTGTAAATTCTCAGAAATGATTGATGCAGGATTAAATTTTAATGAACTTCCTGATGGGAAAGCCATTAACATTGGGTGTCTGATCTGAACCTTCACGTCAATTCCCCCTTTAAATAGCATTTCATTTGGGTTTTAGGGCGTATCCCAGATCGGCCCTGAACTCATGAGGAACATCTTAATTAAGAGACTGGGGAAAAAATTGAGGATTAGGAAGAAAGGCACGGTTTTAGGGCGTCATATGAATTTTTGACAGAAAGCCAATGCGAGATTCACTCAAATGCTTAAATGTCTTTTTTCACTTGATCAGACTCTTTAAGACATTTCACCAGATTCTCATAAGACAGTCGCTTAAAAATTACTCGAAAGTCACCGGACAATTCTTACGATACATAAACTGTAAAGAAATCCTATGAATTTCTCCTTGGATATTTGCATACATTTTTTTATAGTGTTACAAACTCAATTTGTACAGTCAGATTCATAATCAAAATCACACCAGAACGACTTTGAGACCATTTTCACACACTAACGATCAGAAGTTTGCGAAATTTCACACAACGCATTTAATAGCGTTAGTCGATCTCACTCTCGAATGATTAATTAATTTTGTAGACTTGAAATTCTTATCAGTCGAACAGAAAGCGGTTAGAAATGAAAATTTCGCCCAATCAATGATTGATTGATGAACTTCTTCTCCACTTGAGCCCAAATTGATCACTTCAAGTGAGCAATATTCATGCTTTTAAGCCTTCTTTTACAGCACTAATCGCTTGGTAATTCAATTCTCCTTCAACTACAAGTTCAGGCAAATGAGAAATGATTTTCCTGCCACTTGCAGTGGGAGTAGAATTTCCATAATGGAATGCAGAGACGTTCCTTCTGTCCCACTTTCACTCAAATGGTGGGGTTGCAGTCAGGCGAATGCGCTCTGCGTCCTGAAACCACGTGGGGATTTTCACTCCCGGAATTCTAACACTTGCCCCGTTTTTTTTCTCGCTATATTGCAGCAAAAATGGCCACCGTTCTGCTCGAGGCACGTCCGTATCGGCCGTTCAAGTCCAGCGAGGAGTATCTCTACGCCATGCGAGAAGATTTGGCGGAGTGGCTCAACACCATGTATCCGGAGCTGCGGATCAACGTGGACAACTTCATGGATCGTCTGGACACAGGAGTGGCTCTGTGCAAGGTGAGTGCTTCTTTTTCTTCCATCCCGTCTGACCTTCTTTCCCAATCGGCTTCGCCATTCTCGAGGATGTGTCTCGAGAAGGCGGAATTGTGCAGAATTGATGATGGAGAGCCCTTAAGAATTGCACACAAGCATATTCCACATCGAGCGGCTCTATCGAGTGGAAATTCAGTGCTTTATGGCTAGCAAGATGATCTTAATCTCTCACTGATTTCTGGCGATGTTGAGAGTCTCGACCACAATCCATTTGCATCGTGTTGAATCAATTTACAACTCTGCGCTTCAAGGAGGCATTTGAATATTGAAAGCATACTTTGGTGGGGTTTACAATAGACCAAGGGGAAAATCATAAGTGATGATTTTCAAAAGTCTTGCATATATCTTGAATTTTTCATACTTAATGTATACAAAAATGAACAAGATGTCTCGTACAAGATGTTTATATTACTTGAGAAAAATAAATTTCCCATATATGACTATTGAGAGTATTTCAAGATCCAGAATTCATACTCTATCTAGACATTTTGTGACTGAAAAAGATCAGAATTAAGGCCAATAGAATCACTGTCTTCATGTTCCATATACATCTGGATCGTGACATCCTGTTAACAGCTGGGAAGTGTGTGTAAAAATAGCTCTTCATCAATATGCATTAGTTTTGGGCAGAATGCAAAAGAACCACACGCGTTAAAAAGGGGGTTCGCGAGGGAAGCGATCTTGTGGCTGCGGGAAAGAGTCTTTCAAGATGTACATAACTGCATCTCGCGAGAGTAGAAAAATGCCATGGGGGAAATTTTGTGTGTGCTGAGAGACAAGTGAAGGCTCAAGAAGGGGGAAAAGCAACTGAATGTAGAATGAAAAAGAGATTAACAAGAGAGGCATTAGAAGATGCGAAAGAAAGAAAGGTTAATGCCATCGCCCGCATATTTTCCTGCTCGATGTGGCTTAATTTTCTCCATATGGAAGGATTTCCGTGCATAATATTAAACCTGCACTCAATGAGGGCGAAGGATAAATAAATTTGTTGAATGAGGACAAGTGTAGGCAGAGACAAAAGGGCAAAATGGGCAAAATGTTGAGGGTGGAAAACCCATTTTCCCCCGCTATGATGTCAAATTTGCCATCGGAAAGCCGAAAAACCATTGAGAGATTAATATTTTCCCGCCCATTTAGGAATGTCTCTCGTTTGGCTCGAGGGTGCGTTTTTATTGTGTGTCTGTGGAAGAAGTTTTTGGGTGCATTTTTGCCATATATTTTATTGATACACTCGAAAGAGAGAGAGAGAGAGAGTGAGATGCTATTTTTTCCCATTGTATGATCCTTTCTGAGAATCCCTCTTTGGCCATGATTTTTTATTTCCCTCCTGTATTCCATTTTACACACAACTTCTCTGCATTGATGCCTTTTCTCACATTCTTTGTCTGCCAGTTTATTGTTGTGGGGCCGCCAAGGGAGAGATAATCGCTGAGACGAAGTGTACGCGGCTGTGCATATGTCAGGATATGTTGCACTTGTCTCAGTCTAAGCAAATATGACTAACAATCGCGCATATCTGATAATATGAGACAAACATGAGTCAGTTTAATGTAGTATTGGAATGCCATTGAAGTTAAGAGAGTGGCACAAAAGAGAATAAATTTAATTACTTGTTGTGTGTTTCATAGATATGAATGTCGTCATCATTTTATTTTCTATATGAGAAAGCGTCCTAAAAGTTTACTTTCGCTCTGAGTCACTTTTCGATTCTTACGGGAAACTTCAACGGAGGGGAGTTTTCTTTCAGAAAAACGATGATTCTTCGCGCTGGGAGGAAGTTTATTTATTGACAGCGCTGTGAATATGAGGAGGATATGGGTTTTTGTCCACTTGTGACGCTCTCTGAATGTCAATACTTTTCGGGGCGTTCGTGAGAGCTGCAATTGATGACTATATTCTCAAGCACAAGAACGGAAACTCAACATATTCGAATTGATGTAGGTCTTGTGGGATGTTTGTTCACATAAGAATTGTCTGTATTATTTGGGAAACATCCCGACGTAAATGGGTATTTTGTATGGAAATCTCATGTGCAATGCATATACACATTGGTGTGGAATGAAAAGGGGAAGGAAATGTATATAGTTTCACTTGCGTTTGAAGGGAAAGTGAAAATTGTCCAAATTCCACGAATGGTGTGGACAAAAAGAGAGGCGCGCACACGCAATTTGAAAGTGAAGAGGAGACAGTTTATTAATTTGTAGTTTTGCCTAATTAAAGCAAATTAATTGAGATGCTTGGGATAACTAAACGCCACACGTCGTGGAGCATCCCAACTTCATCATCTTTGTACATTTATAGAAAGGGCCACACAATCTCTCCTTTCAATTCCTCGCCTCGATGTTTGTCCTATGACGATTTATTTCTGGCCTATTTGGAATGCCATACAGTGCCTGGGATGTTTGTGTTTTGTTACTTGAGCTAGAAGAGATTAGCTGCCCGGCTGGAATACTTTGAACACCGTGTAAGGGGTTTAATTCTAATATTTTTCAAAATTATAATATTAACTTGATCACCCATCAATAACCCAACACTCAAAATATTGATTATCGCACAAGAACTCGTCGAATGCTGCTTGATTAGCTGATAAGTTAAATTATCTACAAGCTGTTATGTCTGTAACCACAGAATAATCTAGCTTTACCTAAATAGCATGATTATTTGTAATATAATCCCACAAGATCATCAATATTTTAGCTAAAATTACAGTATTTCACATGCTTATGCTTAGAAATTAGAATTTCAGTACGCACTCAATAGCCATTGGGTTGTGCTTGAGTCCAGCTGGGCAGTGGCGATATAAAGTGTGAACGTTATTGGGATTTCGCTTAGAAGCATTGTTGATTGGTTTTTATTGCATTTTAACAAAATGTGTTCTTCTGTGCTGCTGAGAAGCCAAACAACGTCCCAAGATTGGGTCGTTGATCATCTTAATATAGCCTAAATGTGCACATGAAGGACTCCTCAGTGTGCAATCGTGGTCTCGTTGGGATGCAGTCAATTGAATTAGATTTAAATTATGCTGGTTGGTGATTTTATGTCGAGGAATTGGTAGATTGCCTCAAGGGCCCTCTCTTCCCTCGTGCAAATGCCAACGCATTGATAATTGAGGATGTGCCACTTTAGACAAAGTCTATAATGGAGAGCAGAATTCTTTCATCATCAGAGAGTGTCATCAATTCTGAAGCGCATTTCTATCTTTAGCGCTGATTTTTTGTCTTCCGAGAAAAGCCCTTTTTCCCACTCCCTCTCATTCAGTATTCTGGTGCATTCCATGTGCATCTCGAGAGGTGACTTTTGAAAAGAAGTTAGAATTTCAAATTAGATTCTCACCGTTCTATAAATAATCCCGCACACAATTCATGTTTGCTGTGGGGATTCTGAAAAGGCTCTTCTGGGATGACGAGGGTCGTGACAAAGAAGTGTTTTCAGACACTTTTTCTGCGCTGTATGCGCTTGCTTATGAATAGAATTTTTGGTCATAATTGACTACCTCTTTTTCCATCCAATTTGACCAACACTATAAGAGCAACAAAACAAGCAATTATATCCACCTTTTTGGGATGACCTTCCCTCATATATGGGAAAATTATAGTGTCATTTTGTGTGTGTGATGAAATTGTGCATTTCACAATGACTTTATTGTGTGGTTAAAGCATTAAAATGAATTTTTATTCTGAGACATCATTTGAGGATGTGCCTTTTTTCTGTCCCAATTATTCCTTGTCTCTCTTTCGTGTCCAAGAGAGTTTCTTTGGTGATAAAAAGTGTGGGCAAAGTGATGAAATAGTGGCAATATCAATTTCATCCTTGAGTGAGTCTCTCTGTAAATTTCCTCTCGAATTTATCGTTACCTCTTGGGAAAAAAATTAAGGACACTCCTACGCTTGGAGAAGTCAATATAATTTACTTACCCCGCTGTTGGAAGTCTGTCGATCGTCATGTGGCGTGGGAATGTGCGCCAATTGATATCTGATCGTTTCCATTTGAGCACTATTTATATCATGTTAATCAAATTTTAACCAATTACACCATCTGATGCACTCCAGCGTCAAGGTGAGTTTTAATTGGACAGTCGCACTGCGTGGATTGTGAATAAATTGAAACACATGGCAGTGGCGATGCATCTTCTAATGCTCAGAAGTTCCAGTTGTCATCGTAAATTTCCTCCGTAATGCCACTCAGCCCTAATTATTATGACGCAGTCATATTTTACTATCTTGTTAGGTTGCGCTGTGTAATTTCACAGTGATGCTGAAAGGCCTGTTGAAAAGTTCAGAAGGTTCTGTGCGTTCTTTTTTCCTCCACAACATTGTTGCGATGTGATGTTGAAGAGGTGATTTATAAATAAATTGCGTATGATCCTTTTTTGCCGCTGACTAAGGGTGAAGACACTTTAATTGAGATCATAAATTCATACCTTGACACGCCAAGATACCATTTCTGTCTATGCAAAGCCACAGAATTGCACCATTAGTCATCTCGTGCTCGATGTGGGGTATTTTTGGTAAATAGAAACTGATGAGTGTGACAAAGGGCAACTTTCACAGTGTATTTACACTTTGTACTACACTCAATTTAGATGTTTGTGGACAATTTTTCAAATATGGAAATTTCGGATCTTCTCCTAATTATTGGCCTCTTTTGCTGCTCCAACTCGCTTCAGAGACTGGAAGAGCTTTATTGCATTCCACTGAACAACACAAGATCCATTGACAATATGACATGAGGCATTCTGCACATCGTTTTGCCTCATCTGGTGCATTTTTGTTATCTTTATGGACCATTTTGTCTGTCAACGCGCGCTATCAATCTCTTTGCTCTGTCGCATCCTCGCTCTTCTTACTTTCCGGCCTCTGAGCATCATCAAAGCTTTTTCTTGTGTGTTCCGCGATGTGAAATTTGGAGTTGCACATATGGTTTCGTGAACGTATCGCGTGTAATTTCGCCCATTCGACCCATGA